CCTAGTTTAACTAAAATATATCACGTTTTAAACCGTTAAAGTGTTTTATTTAAATTTATACTACTCGCGTAAACTTCAGACAGAGAGAAAGAGTGTTCTTTAATACAATTTGTGTTTTAAACACTATGCGTTTTTTGATTAGAACTTATGTAATGCGCATAAGAGCACTTTAAGATACTTTTGTGCAATCGATATTTTCTCTAAATAAGTTATCGATCATCTTTCACCCACTTTCGATGTGACCTGCTCTTTCGAAGATCCATTCACCGTGAATGAATTACCGAATAAATTCGTCATTGTCACCGCCCCTGACAACTGCGGTGGGAATCGCTTTGTTATGTAACTTTCCTTTAATTGTGGCCCATAGCGAACCAGTTGAACCTGCCCAGAACTTGATATGGGGTGACCAAGAGTTCCGAGTTTTCAAGACAATGTCGATCTAAAAAATGGAAGACACGGACAGGACTTGAACATCCTATGTTCATCCTATTTTTTATCCAACTACATTTATTTTATTTTTATAATAAATAATAACAAAGTTTAAAATTACAAACTCTCATATTTACATCGAAGTTAGATAAATTATATTTGAATGATATTTATGATTTTTGTATTCAGATCATAAAAATTGTTTGAGTTTGTAGTGTACACGATAAGTACACATTTGAAAGGAACACTATTAACGGTATAAAACGCGAAATGTATCTTACTAAATGTCGTTTGTAGTTGTCTAGGAATTATCGGGTCGTATTTAAAATACACTAAAAATAAGCTTATATATTTCACGTTTTAAAACGTCAAATTGTATTTACTGACGAATGAGTTTGCATAATTTTTTAAGGAGAATATGGTCAACATTTTGTACTCTGTCGGAAAAGAAGCATTTTATAGTTTTTTCGGGATTCGAACTCAGTACCTCTCGCACCTAACGCAATTCATTTATCCTCTTAGTTACGCTTCAATACATAGTTAATCATAAGTATATCTGTGCTAGTGAATGTTGTATTTTTGGCAGCAGTTCCCAAAAATTAGGAAAATGTGGTCACACTATGGATGCTGCAGAATTGTGATGTCATGGAGACCGTGACACCTTTACCAGCTCCGTAATACCCCTTGTGGATCCATACATAAATTTCGAATTGAAGAGTGTAATATTGCATATTGCCTTTTCGTCGGGTCAATGTTACGACAAATTGACATGTACCTATCAAAATTAATGCATTTTTTACGGATTATTTTAAGTGTACTTAAATAAACATTAAAATAGGACCTTGGCTATGAATTGTCGCGATTAGGTAAAGATTGCACAGATACAAAAGGTCACGAATGATTACCATAAACATTTCTTAACAAATGTAACGAATGCAGAATGCTCTAATGTTTTAACTGACTTCAAAAAAGAAGGTTTTCTTCTTTTTCTGTTTGATGCGAATGTTAGGAGTTATATCCAAGTATTGTAAATGTGGAACGGATATATGAAAACGGATAAATGATATTTATATTGTGGCGGTATTTAAAAGAGGGTGGATGGCAATAACGCGATAGATCTCATGTCTAACACTACATCAACAACGATTATGATAATGTCAACTTAATAACTTAGGTTTTGCGTTTTGTTCAATGTAAATTAATTATAATTTGAGACACAGATAAAAATATTAAATTTTTTCAAATAAACTTTTGTCTAATTAACCTTATACGCGAGTAAGTAACGTATGATGCGATCGAATTTTTGTAAGATTAATTAGATCGCATGTATATTATAGATTTTTATTATATTATGGATTGTATTCTGCCATCGATATAACATGCTTTAAGTTCAAATTCTCTACTTAAAAGTACTTATGTTAGGTCAGTCTACATATTGCGATTACCTCGCAAACAGTGTTTATAAATACGCAAAATAAATGCGAATTACAGCAAACGAATGGGATACAATCCAACTTCATTATCAGATTATGGCATGAAATTAAGCTAATTTTGGAAATTCTCTACGGTTCACGATACCGATAAATAAGACTTACGCTTAGATTGGCATATGACAATATTTCAAAAAGTCTTGAAACCGAAGTGATGTTTTACGTCCCTTTAACAGTGTTAGCTTTGACGGCCTACGTCACAGGAAAGCATCAAAGTCGTAAGCATTATGTTTGTTTGAGTCGATTTTAACCGACTGCAAAAATAAAGGCTTTCTTTTCATATATAAAGGTTTATAAGCCAATTTGACGATACTTATTTATGAAAAAAGGTATTCCCAAGATGGTTTCACAGTAGGGAAATCAGAGTAATCGAGAGAAAGTTTCAAAAATCGTAGAGCCGGCTAGTTTGTAAGAATTTTTATCAAATTAATGAAAAATCATCAATCAAAGCTATAATGTGATAAAGGTTTGGAGTAGATCTGGCGATAGAACCGAGATAGTCGAAGGAACTCTTCAACGATTCACAGCACCTTGTGTTTGTAGTTCAACTATTAGTTCAGATTTTAGAAAAATAACTACCAACCAATTATAAAGAAATTGTCTTAAATTGCATGTACTATTAAAAACTACTACTAGAAGAATGACCTTATGAAAGAACACTAAATCCAATTATAATTAGATCCATACTATCTTAGTTATTTCTTTATTGTGAATTTGAAACTATCGAAAATAATTGTGTCTAATATGTTTTTTGTATACTACTTTTATAAGTCAAACAATTCTCATTGTTTTTAATTTTAAAGTAATGTCTTTTAGATTGTGAAGATATTCAAATATAATATGAAATCTGCAATCTGAGATTATATCTCGGAAGATCAAACAAAATTCTTAGCGGCAATGTTAACCCTTGACTTTTAAAAAATACGTTATCTAATTATTAGGTAGATGACCTTTAAGATGTTATAATATCTTTAATATTACCATATCAACATTGATTCTGTTTGTGTCTGAAATATTATTATTTCCCATTGGATACGAAACTAGTAATTTAAACTAAAATGAATAAAATCAAAAACAACGTATTAATATTAATTTATTATTTATAAACCATGTGGTTCGCAACGTATTTAAAATGTATTAATATACATTTTAATCATCGGGCCGAAGTTAAAAATCATTTTCAAATAAGTTTAACTAATATATCGCGTTTTAAACCGTTAAAGTGTTTTATTTAAATGCATCAATATATTTCTCGTTATAAACCGTTTAGTGTGTTAACTGTTTAGTTCATCTATATTAATATATAATAAGTTTGTTTGTTCGAACGCGCTAATCTCAGGAACTACGAGTTCGAATTAAAAAAAATAAAAGAATCTTTTTGTGTTGGTTAGAGCATTTATCGAGGAAGACTATAAACCATCGCCCTGTGACTAATAGAAGTGAAGATACAGCGGGAAATATGGGTTTCAGATACGTACGCGAAAACGGTTCAAGTCATCCAAAAATATTTGTGAATGTTGAGGTTTTCAGAAACAAATTTGGATGCCCAAAAAGTATTATACGCGGACGAAGTCGCTGACACAGCTAGTTTAATATAATTCTAAATTGCAACCAATGTTTAGCGCGTTAGCTAGCTTAGATCTACAGACAAAAGATTCCAACCTCGTCAACAGCCTATTAACAAAGTTATAAAGATCAATGTTTACATTAATTTAATTAAATGCTAGGAAGTACTATTATTGATTAGTAGCGTGTCAAAATATACGGAAATTGTATGGAGTTCAGATGAGTTGACCTCACGAAATTGATGCTAACACAATTAAAGCCTTCGCTATGAGTATTTTCGTGACCTGACATTTTAAACTGAACCTCAGCACATTTCCCGCCTTTTTGTATGTCAAACTCATGAGTGAACAGTATTTTAATCGACAAAAAATATGTGTTTTTTAAAGCACTTTTTTGCTTTTTTGCACACACACTAAAAACTATTTTGTATACACATTGATTAAATAATAGTAAATGTTTAAAACGCTATATATATTAGTTAACCTTATTTGTAAATTATCTTAATCGCGTTTTAAACCGTTATAGTGTGTTATTTAAATGTGTACTACCCGCGTAAACTACATACAGTATACACATTGCAACACTAGGTGTGTTTTAGGTAATTAATTATAAAATATGTCTTATTCCCATAAGTCAATAAAATATAATTATAAATTATGAAACGATTTTGTTTTGCCATTTTAATTTTAAATATAATGAAATAAAAAAGTCAAATAAAACCCGTCGAACTAAAAATTGTTCTTCATTTTTAACAGTTGAACATGCAACAATCTAAAGCAATATAGTGCTTTTTCGTAGGTTCAATCGACATCGTCTATATTAAATACTGTCTATAGTTTACGCGAGTAGTACACAATTAAAACACTTTAACGGTTTAAAACGCAATATATTAAAATTTAATTATATCAAAATTCAACGTGTTTAAATAAGTTTTTTTTAATTTCAGGTCCCCATGAAGCGGCTGTCATGCGCTTAGCGACTTTGATTGCACTTGTGCAGGTAAGTCTAAACTACTGATCTAATATTATACATATTTTGTCTTTTAACAATGACTTTAAACTTATCGTTAACTTAACTAAGAACGGATTATATTTTTGTAAATCAATCACACATTTAATCCTTTGTGTTAACGTCTAGACTCTTTTAATATATTCTATTTCTGATCTGTTATGATAATGGAGCAATATATCTTTTTATAAATCATGATTTTTACATTTTAATCCACTGAAAAAATATATTTATGGTTAGTGAAATTTCACCACAGGCTTCAGTCAAATCGATAAAAAAAATCTTTTCATGATTAATAAGAAAATTCCTCATAAGAATTTTTCGAGTCCTAGCTTACACTATTATATATTTATGATATTTCTGTATTGATTAAACTTTTCCGTATATAGTAACTAATAAAAGTCACCGAAGATCTATTTTCCAATGAATTCATTTACAGCCATAAGCTCATTATAACCTTATAAGGATGCAAGTGTAATCTTAAAGTTTCGTCATAGCGGTTCAAGTATGTCAGAGGTCGGCAACATATCGAATGTTATGACTTATGACGTAAGCACTATTGTCTCAACATGGATGTGTGAAGCATGGGCTGTCAATTGTCATATATTATAATACACCCACATAACAATATAAAATGAAGGGTAAAAATAATTTGGTCATTATTCTATCAAAAATTAACCTTTTTTAAGTACTGTATTGTGTGTACTGTATCTAGTAGCATTTTTTATTCAAGGAGAGACGTGATTATGCTTATTTATTAGTTGTCCTTGAAATTTCAACTTAAAAGAACGACATACTGGCGCGGACATGTTTTTAGTTATTTACCGATGAATTAGTCTTTTGTATACATTTTTGGCTAATATTAATTGTTTTAACAGTACGCAACGGCAACCTTCAATGAAGAATAATTTTACCATTTTTTTACACATTTCTCTCAGTTTCTTCGATTTTCTTGGTCGCATACTGATATTATAGACTGCCCCAAAAAAAGCTAACACACACATGTGACTAACACAAAGAGAACTTTTCAATTGGAACCAGTAACTCCGGCGATTAGCGCGTTCAAACAACTCTTCAACGTTATAACATTAGTATAGAATAAATCATTGCTTGCTTGGGGTGTGTAGGAGCTCTACAAGAAAAAATATGTAATGCCCTTAACGTACGTGAAGAAGTGAGAAGAAGTGTAAAATTAAACTTGGCGATAAAAGGAGTGGCGGCGAGTTTCTTGCCGTTTCTCCTTGTTCGTTCTACGCCCTTGATTTGAAAACTGGTAGTTGTTGTAATGTTAGATTCTTTAGTTTTGTGACGTCCATAAGTGTAGCTAGTTACTTTCATGAATTCATTTTTTTGCATTTCAATTAATGACTTTCAATTAATACACAGAATTCTTCAGCTGTCGCTCGCTACAGCTGTTTCAGATGAGAACACACTAACTGCGGCAGAGCTGAATCTCCAATTGGCTGGAGACAATGCTCTTTCACCGTTCTACTCCTTTGAATCAAGCGATGAGACCGGGGTCAACTTCGTCCGGGGGTCAAGAGCGGCCGACTCCCCCCTGTCGCCAGACATCGACGTCCAATGTTCCGCTGATTTCATTGACGTGACAGTGGAATTTGCTGATGCTTTCGATGGTATTATATACAGCAAGGGATATTTGAACGATCCAAAATGCAAGTAAGTATTCTCACTGTGTTTCAGATTAATGATATATAAAATAATTTGCGTATCTAAACTCACCTCGGGTTCAGATGTGGAAATTGATCTTCTAACAAACAAATCATTTAAACTGTTCTAAATAATAACGTGATGTTTTAACACTGAGAGAGAATACGTTTTTATAAAAGATAGTCAAATTATAAGCCAACTTAAACCTAAATATAAGAATGTTCTGACGTGTTTTAAACCTATATATCTTATAAAAACTTAAGTATCTGATCTGATCTGATCTCATTAATTAGCACTACCTGATTTATGATAATATCTCTTAAAATATTGAAATATAAAATAGTACCTACTTCCTTCTTGTAGATGGTAAAACTATTATTAAATATAATTGTGTTATTTTTACAGATATGTGTCTCTAGGAGGCAGCCAATCCCGATACTCTTTCCGAGTACCGCTGAATGGCTGTGGTTCCAGACCTTTATGTAATGCATGTGGAACTATTGACAATGTCCTCGTCTTCCAGTCTGATGATTTTGTCCAGGGTCCTAGTGACTTTGCGAGAAAGGTACAATATTAGTATTTTTTTAAATCTTTTTGTAATTGGAAGCACTTCTAACAATTTTGCTTTCAATTCCAGGTGTCATGCGCAAGCACAGCAATAGAAGTAACTGCGGGAGGTGTAAGGAAGGAATCAGAACATGTACTCAAACTTAAACCCTTCATGGTCGATATGCTTGATGTTGTAGCAGTACAAGGTCCCGCCGGTGGAGTTGAATGCTGGATGGATATTCAGAAGGGAGTTTTCCCAAATGTACGTATTGACTTTATTCTTTAGCCAGTATCAAAGAAGTTGATGACTCCAGTAGAACTTATTTCAATTTTTAATACATGTAAATATTCATTGTTCCGTCAGACTCACCAATTTACCTGCGCATCAAACTCGTTGAAATAAAACTATTTATCTACAAATAAAATATTTCGATCAAATTAAAAAAAAATCTTTATTTTGTCAGATAGAGTAAAAAGTTTAAAAGCCATTAATTTTACCACATATTTTACAATTTAGTAACTAGTAGATGGCAAAGAAAAGGACAAATGCTTTTTTTTGAAAAATAATTAGGTACTTCGTCTATACTCTTAGTCAATTTTATTATTATTATTTTCAATATTATATCAATATTTATTATAATAACACTTTACAGACGACTCCGTTGGAAAATTCTATTAAGATTGGGGAATATTTAACCATTCTTATCTATTTGAAAGATGTGAGAAATCAATTCAGCCTCAAGGTTCACGACTGTTGGGCGTATGACAACGAAGAGTATGACAACGTCAAGACAAACAAAATTCAGTTGACCGATAAGGAGGGATGTCCTCAGTAAGCATTTTTTAATATTTTTTTTTATTAAAACTAAAGATAATATGAGTACCTTCTACAGATTACGCTTAATTCTCAAGTTTAATGCTAAGAGTATAATGGAAAACCTTAAATTACCACTACATTACAATTTCTATTATATCTTCTTACCTGTCGTCAATTGGTGAACTGTGATCTTTACTCAATTTGTTTTTCATTTAATTTATCAGAGTGAAATATGTGACACAGCGTGTAACAAGTATTATAATCTTTCAGAAAACGGAAGTTAATAGATCTTTTCCAAAAATCGACTAATACCGGAAAGAGTGGTGCTACATTAATAACGTACAGTAAAGTCAGTGCGTTCCGCTTCCCGGAGACAGACCAAGTTTATTTGACATGTAATGTCGAGGTAAGTTATTTACTTACTGTACCACAACATGGCAAGGCTATAGATGACCATTATAGTTAACGACAATAAATAGAACACTTTTAACGGTTAAAATTAATATTATTTAAAATACTTTAGCCTAGCCGTGACTGGATCGATCGATATGGAGAGTGTCTCTAATGACTCACAATAACAACTGTTTTATTCATGTGTCTATAAATTTATTTTAAGAATCGAACCGAAACAACTTTTTTTTGTTCCCCTGTGATTTGAACCCAGGACCTCTCGCATAACGCAATGATAGGCAATATGTTTAACCATTTGGTTACAGAGGCGGTCTACTACTACTAAGCTACTTATTGTACGATGGCATAATTATAACATTTGACGCTAATATTTTAATCTTTACCTTAATAAAGATATTTAAGAAATCTGTAACGTTGTCGTCCACTTCGCAGTTACATCGATCAGTGAATGACGACCTGTCAGTAACGCAATAAGACTATATTATCAAAAAATTTCACAATTCAGCGCAAATATTTTTTTCAGTTATGCACGAGTAACTGCGAATCAAACTGTGGCGGAACAATAACAGAAATAACAACCACGTATAGACCAGAAGTAAGGTGTTATCCAGGATCAAATGATCCACAATGCAAAATAACAGCACCACCTCAAATTCAATGTGGACCCGAATCCAACGATCCACGGTGCCCAAATCCATCAACAATAGTGACACCGGATTGTTACCCTGGTAGCACTGATCCACTTTGCCCAAGACCAACTACAACGGAGAGCCCAAGGTGTTATCCGGGAAGCACTGACCCACGTTGCCCAAGACCAACTACTACGGAAAGACCAAATTGTTTCCCAGGAAATACTGACCCACGTTGTCCAAGACCAACTACTACGGAGAGACCAAATTGTTTCCCAGGAAACAATGACCCACGTTGCCCAAGGCCAACTACGACGGAAAGACCAAATTGCTTCCCAGGGAACAATGACCCACGTTGTCCAAGACCAACTACTACGGAGAGACCAAATTGTTTCCCAGGGAACAATGACCCACGTTGTCCAAGACCAACTACGACGGAGAGACCAAATTGTTTCCCAGGTAACACAGACCCGCGTTGCCCAAGACCAACTACTACGGAGAGACCAAATTGTTTCCCAGGAAATACTGACCCACGTTGTCCAAGACCAACTACTACGGAGAGACCAAATTGTTTCCCAGGAAACAATGACCCACGTTGTCCAAGACCAACTACTACGGAGAGACCACATTGTTTCCCAGGAAACAATGACCCACGTTGTCCAAGACCAACTACTACGGAGAGACCACATTGTTTCCCAGGAAACAATGACCCACGTTGCCCAAGACCAACTACTACGGCGAGACCAAATTGTTTCCCAGGAAACACTGACGAACGTTGTCCAAGACCAACTACTACGCAGAGACCAAATTGTTTTCCAGGTAACACAGACCCACGTTGCCCAAGACCAACTACAACGGAAAGACCAAATTGTTTCCCAGGAAACACTGACGAACGTTGCCCAAGACCAACTACGACGGAGAGACCACACTGTTTCCCAGGAAACAATGACCCACGTTGCCCAAGGCCTACTACGACGGAGAGACCAAATTGTTTCCCAGGTAACACAGACCCACGTTGTCCAAGACCAACTACTACGGAGAGACCACATTGTTTCCCAGGGAACAATGACCCACGTTGCCCTAGACCAACTACTACGGAGAGACCAAGATGTTTCCCAGGGAGCACTGACCCACGATGCCCAAAACCAACTACTACGGAGAGACCAGATTGTTTTCCAGGAAACACTGACCCACGTTGCCCAAGACCAACTACTCCTGAAGTTCTTAGATGCTTCCCAGGCAGCACAGACACTCGTTGCCCAATACCAACCACCCAGAAGCCTATTTGCTATCCAGGTTCACCTGATCCCAAATGTCCACAGCCGCCTAAACCAACAACATTAAACCCTCCCACGTATTTACCACCAACTACTCCCGAAGCGCCTAGATGCTTACCTGGTAGCACTGACCCACGTTGCCCACAGCCTACACCACCTGCACCTCCAAGGTGTTTCCCAGGAAGCACTGACCCACGTTGCCCACAACCTACAACACCTGCACCACCAAGGTGTTTCCCAGGAAGCACTGACCCACGTTGCCCACAACCTACCACCCCCACTCCGCCTAGATGTCTTCCAGGAAGCACTGATCCACGTTGCCCACAACCTACCACTCCCGCTCCGCCAAAATGTTTCCCAGGAAGTACTGACCCACGTTGCCCACAGCCTACAACACCTGCACCGCCAAGGTGTTTCCCAGGAAGCAGTGACCCACGTTGCCCACAACCTACCTCTCCCGCTCCACCTAGATGCTTCCCAGGCAGCACTGATCCACGTTGCCCACAACCTACCACTCCCGCTCCACCAAGATGTTTCCCAGGAAGCACTGACCCACGTTGCCCACAGCCTACAACACCTGCACCGCCAAGGTGTTTCCCAGGAAGCAGTGACCCACGTTGTCCTAAACCTACCACTCCTGCTCCGCCTAGATGCTTCCCCGGAAGCACTGACCCACGTTGTCCTAAACCTACCACTCCCGCTCCACCTAGATGTTTCCCAGGAAGCACTGATCCACGTTGCCCACAACCTACCACTCCCGCTCCGCCTAGATGTTATCCTGGTAGCAACGACCTACGTTGTCCAAAGCCAACTACCCCCGAGAGCCCGAAATGTTATCCCGGTAACACAGACTCTCGTTGTCCAATACAAACCACCCAGAAGCCTTTTTGTTATCCCGGTTCACCTGATCCTAATTGTCCACAGGTATCTAGACCAACAACATTAAATCCTCCCACGTATTTACCACCAACTACTCCCGAAGCTCCTAGATGTATTCCAGAAAGCACTGACCCACGTTGTCCAAGACCAACTACTCCAGAGAGCCCAAGATGCTACCCCGGAAGCACTGATTCACGTTGCCCACAACCTACCACTCCCGCTCCACCTAGATGTTTCCCAGGAAACAGTAACCCGCGTTGTCCTAAACCTACCACTCCTGCTCCACCTAGATGCTTCCCCGGAAATACTGACCCACGTTGTCCTAAACCTACCACTTCCGCTCCGCCTAGATGCTTACCTGGTAGCACTGACTCACGTTGCCCACAGCCAACAACACCTGCACCGCCAAGGTGTTTCCCAGGAAGCAGTGACCCACGTTGCCCACAACCTACCACTCCCGCTCCGCCTAGATGTTTCCCAGGAAGCACTGATCCACGTTGCCCACAACCTACCACTCCCGCTCCGCCAAGATGTTTCCCAGGAAGCACTGACCCAAGATGCCCACAGCCTACAACACCTGCACCGCCAAGGTGTTTCCCAGGAAGCAGTGACCCACGTTGTCCTAAACCTACCACTTCTGCTCCGCCTAGATGCTTCCCCGGAAGCACTGACCCACGTTGCCCTAAACCTACCACTCCCGCTCCACTTAGATGTTTCCCAGGAAGCAATGATCCACGTTGCCCACAACCTACTACTCCCACTCCGCCTAGATGTTTCCTAGGAAGCAATGATCCACGTTGCCCACAACCTACTACTCCCACTCCGCCTAGATGTTTCCCCGGAAGCACTGATCCACGTTGCCCACAACCTACCACTCCCGCTCCACCTAGATGCTTCCCAGGCAGCACAGACTCTCGTTGCCCACAACCTACTACTCCCACTCCGCCTAGATGTTTCCCCGGAAGCACTGATCCACGTTGCCCACAACCTACCACTCCCGCTCCACCTAGATGTTTCCCAGGAAGCACTGATCCACGTTGCCCACAATCTACCACTCCCGCTCCACCTAGATGCTTCCCAGGCAGCACAGACTCTCGTTGCCCAATACCAATCACCCAGAAGCCTATTTGCTATCCAGGTTCATCTGATCCCAAATGTCCACAGCCGCCCAAACCAACAACAATAAACTCTCCCACGTATTTACCACCAACTACTCCCAAAGCGCCTAGATGCTTACCTGGTAGCACTGACCCACGTTGTCCACAACCTACGACGTCAGCACCACCTAAATGTTTCCCAGGGAGCACTGACCCAAGATGCCCAAGACCAACTACAACGGAAAGCCCAAAATGTTATCCGGGAAGCACTGACCTACGTTGCCCAAGACCTACGACACCAGCTCTACCAAAATGTTATCCGGGAAGTACTGACCCAAGATGCCCAAGGCCAACTACTCCGGAAGTTCCTAGATGCTTCCCCGGCAGCTCAGACTCTCGTTGTCCACAACCAACCACCCAGAAGCCTATTTGCTATCCAGGCTCACCTGATCCTAATTGTCCACAGCCATCTAAACCAACAACATTAAATCCTCCCACGTATTTACCGCCAATTACAACTAAGGAGCCCAAATGTTTCCCAGGAAACAATGACCCACGTTGTCCAAGACCAACTACGACGGAGAGACCAAATTGTTTCCCAGGAAACAATGACCCACGTTGCCCAAGGCCAACTACTACGGAGAGACCAAATTGTTTCCCAGGAAACAATGACCCACGTTGTCCAAGACCAACTACTACGGAGAGACCAAATTGTTTCCCAGGTAACACAGACCCACGTTGCCCAAGACCAACTACTACGGAAAGACCAAATTGCTTCCCAGGTAACACAGACGAACGTTGCCCAAGACCAACTACGACAGAGAGACCACACTGTTTCCCAGGAAACAATGACCCTCGTTGCCCAAGGCCAACTACGACGGAGAGACCAAATTGTTTCCCAGGTAACACAGACCCACGTTGCCCAAGACCAACTACTACGGAGAAACCAAATTGTTTCCCAGGAAACACAGACCCACGTTGCCCAAGACCAACTACGACGGAGAGACCAAATTGTTTCCCAGGAAACAATGACCCACGTTGCCCAAGGCCAACTACGACGGAAAGACCAAATTGCTTCCCAGGGAACAATGACCCACGTTGCCCTAGACCAACTACTACGGAGAGACCAAATTGTTTCCCAGGAAACAATGACCCTCGTTGCCCAAGACCAACTACGACGGAGAGACCAAATTGTTTCCCAGGTAACACAGACCCGCGTTGCCCAAGACCAACTACTACGGAGAGACCAAATTGTTTCCCAGGTAACACAGACCCACGTTGCCCAAGACCAACTACGACGGAGAGACCACATTGTTTCCCAGGAAACAATGACCCTCGTTGCCCAAGGCCAACTACGACGGAGAGACCAAATTGTTTCCCAGGTAACACAGACCCACGTTGCCCAAGACCAACTACTACGGAGAAACCCAATTGTTTCCCCGGAAACACTGACGAACGTTGCCCAAGACCAACTACGACGGAGAGACCACACTGTTTCCCAGGAAACAATGACCCACGTTGCCCAAGGCCAACTACGACGGAAAGACCAAATTGTTTCCCAGGGAACAATGACCCACGTTGTCCAAGACCAACTACGACGGAGAGACCAAATTGTTTCCCAGGTAACACAGACCCGCGTTGCCCAAGACCAACTACTACGGAGAGACCAAATTGTTTCCCAGGTAACACAGACCCACGTTGCCCAAGACCAACTACGTCGGAGAGACCACATTGTTTCCCAGGAAACAATGACCCTCGTTGCCCAAGGCCAACTACGACGGAGAGACCAAATTGTTTCCCAGGTAACACAGACCCACGTTGCCCAAGACCAACTACTACGGAGAAACCAAATTGTTTCCCAGGAAACACTGACGAACGTTGCCCAAGACCAACTACGACGGAGAGACCACACTGTTTCCCAGGAAACAATGACCCACGTTGCCCAAGGCCAACTACGACGGAGAGACCAAATTGTTTCCCAGGTAACACAGACCCACGTTGTCCAAGACCAACTACTACGGAGAGACCAAATTGTTTCCCAGGTAACACAGACCCACGTTGCCCAAGGCCAACTACTCCGGAAGTTCCTAGATGCTTCCCCGGCAGCTCAGACTCTCGTTGTCCACAACCAACCACCCAGAAGCCTATTTGCTATCCAGGCTCACCTGATCCTAATTGTCCACAGCCATCTAAACCAACAACATTAAATCCTCCCACGTATTTACCGCCAATTACTACTAAGGAGCCCAGTTGTTTCCCAGGAAACAACGACCCACGTTGTCCAAGACCAACTACGACGGAGAGACCAAATTGTTTCCCAGGGAACAATGACCCACGTTGTCCAAGACCAACTACGACGGAGAGACCAAATTGTTTCCCAGGAAACAATGACCCACGTTGTCCAAGACCAACTACTACGGAGAGACCAAATTGTTTCCCAGGTAACACAGACCCACGTTGCCCAAGACCAACTACTACGGAGAGACCAAATTGTTTCCCAGGTAACACAGACCCACGTTGCCCAAGACCAACTACGACAGAGAGACCACACTGTTTCCCAGGAAACAATGACCCTCGTTGTCCACGGCCAACTACGACGGAGAGACCAAATTGTTTCCCAGGAAACACTGACGAACGTTGCCCAAGACCAACTACGACGGAGAGACCACACTGTTTCCCAGGAAACAATGACCCACGTTGCCCAAGGCCAACTACGACGGAAAGACCAAATTGCTTCCCAGGGAACAATGACCCACGTTGTCCAAGACCAACTACTACGGAGAGACCAAATTGTTTCCCAGGGAACAATGACCCACGTTGTCCAAGACCAACTACGACGGAGAGACCAAATTGTTTCCCAGGTAACACAGACCCGCGTTGCCCAAGACCAACTACTACGGAGAGACCAAATTGTTTCCCAGGTAACACAGACCCACGTTGCCCAAGACCAACTACGACGGAGAGACCAAAATGTTTCCCTGGCAGCAATGACCCACGTTGTCCACCTACACCACCAGTTATATCTACCCCAAGCTCGTGTTATCCCGGCTCCAAAGACCCTAAATGTCCACAACCTTTTGCACCCAGTAGCACTAACCCACCTTTAGAATACTTACCACCTGTTGATAATGAAATAAAATCTGGCATCAAAGGAAAACCCCCGAAGAATAACTTTGATTACTACGATGATCCACTGCTCGATGCCGGTGAGTATTCTTGTTTAAAATCGTTTGGGTTATCTTGTCTGTTTCAGAATTATTTATGAATAAAATTGTTTATTATTTTTCAGGATCGTTCGAATTTTCCCGTACTCAACCTAAGACGAGAGTAGTGAGAGATTTGAGCAAATCGTCCAATAGTATCTTAGAAATATACAGTAACGGTTACCTGTACGGAGCTTTTATTGGCACATCATTATTTGTAGTCTTGGTCTTGGCTCTGTCGATATTCCTCTACAAACGACATGTTAAAAATACAAACACACAGAACCTTAGTTAATGTTGATGCTAGGTTAATGAATCTATCATGATGTGATATTACGTTTGCTTGTTAATATATGATCTAATGTTAGAATGGCATAGAAAGGAATTGTGATAATGCTGAGAAATCACTGCCGTTAAGATTAAACAACCATTAAAACCGTAATTGTTAAATAGTGCCATAATTTTATTTGACCAATTATGTATATATGTAATTTTAATAATGGATTTATAAAACAGATTCACTTCGCAATTTATTATACTTTAGTCACTAGTCAATGATTCCTGAAAATACTTTTTTTTATATATTATGTTTGTGATACAATTATTAATGTAAATAAAACACTGCCAATTGTCTGTGGCCATTCTATTGTGTAGAAACATTCTATGTTGTCTGTTTTTCTTTTTTTTATGTCATTTAAAAAATTGTATTCTAAAGCTTTTTAAACTGTTATTTTCATATTTTACGATCGTATCGAAATTATAACACAATGATGGTTACATTACAAGAAAGGATTAGAATGCAAGGTTTTTAAATCCGGCGAGTCTCAAATAAAATGTTAAAAAGGATCTCGTTCAGGTAATGAATTGAGTCTTATTTTAGTAAGACCCACACTTCAAACGATAATAGTGATGATTGTATTTATATTTTTAAAAAAATAATGTATTTAATTGCTGTCAAAATACTGGAATTTTGTATATAACTCAATATATTCGGAATAATAAAGAGGGACAACAAAGATTGTTAACCACTTATTATATACAAGTATCTATGTATAATATAATAAGTTGAATTGCTTATTGACTCAATATAAGTAAAACATTCTATGAATGTCACAAATTGTGTTTTATTTATTTCAATCACACGGTAGAATATAATGCTTTAGTTAAGAACTATTTAATAGCTATATTTCAACACATTTTAATCGCTTTTTTTGGTGTAATGTAAGGGTAATCCACGGTTCATTGGTTCGATTCCCACTAGGTCCGGCTGAGTCCCATGCTCTAACATTTAAAAAAAATCTCCCGTAAATAGAGGTAACTAAAAATTCAAAATGCAGTACTTCTTTACAGAATATCTTTATTTTGAATACATTTGTGTTTGACACATCGGTAACAAGATTTATGCAATAAATACAAAAAAATATCTTACTAATAATTATATTTATTACTATTTATATAAATGGAGAATTTCATTCTCAGAGACATAAGAAGCTGATACTTTAGAGTTTCTTAACAAAGCGCTTTCAACATAAGAGCGCGCTTTTTTAGCCTCTTTGAAATAAGAAAACTTAAGATACGTATGTAGTACATTTAGTAAATTCGTTATTATTTTACTTGTTATATTATCGTTCGATAAATTTAATTTTGAGAGGCCCATTTGGAGTGTACATCGGATGGATGTGGTAGTCCAACGGTTCGTGATGATACTCCATTTTGAAGTTTTGTACAATCTGTAACAAAATAACATTCTTAAAAAATATAATAAATTCAAAATTCAAAACTGAAATTCAAGAAGTACTTTTCTATTTGATATTTATCTTATTACTATTGTACGTTTAACAATGACATTAAAATCTTTACAATATAATAAAGTAGAAGAGTTCGTTTCTTTGTTTAAACGCGATATTCTCAAGAACTATTGGCTCGATTTGAAAAATTCTTGTTGTGTTGATGAGATCATTAATCAAGTAAGGTTGTGTTTTTTTTTTTATATAACATCACGCTGCGGTTAATAGGGGCGTCGAAACAGACGGAAATGAGGAAAGAACGGGGTAAATTTTTAATTTTTACGGGAAAACGGTTGAAGATATCAAAAAATTGTTTCCACTTCAAATGATTTAAAATTGGCCGTGTCTATCTATTAAGGTTAACGACCTTATAGAGACATATAGAATTTATAAAGCTGGGGAAGTTGTTGGCAAAAAAAATTAGTTGCCCGTGGACGAAGTAGCAGACACAGCTCCAAAATCTTACCTTGCAAATCATAATATGCATTTCGAGTTCCGCGAATCTTCTTCCTAAACACATGCGCCTGCCAAAACCGAAAGGCAACGACGCGAACGGATGTTTGTATGAAGACTTTTGCAGCCAGCGTTCGGGGAGAAATTGCTGCGCTTCCGCAAAGTACTCGTCGCTGTTGCCCATTACGTAGTGTTGGAATATGACTTGGGTCTGTAGGTTTAAGAATATGTTTTATTATTATTACAGCACAGTATGTGTACCTTCGTTCGTGGGTTCCCCAGTCGTAGAATCAATTATACCTACTTGTTAATAAAGAAACAAAAACAATAAAAACAGTAAAAGTAAAAAAAACTTACGCCCTTTGGTATTTTGTATCCACAAATTACAGTATCTTTGGTCAACTGTCTACCGTTTCCAATCACAACTGGATATAATCTAAAAAAAATATTAAATATTTGAAAATTGAATATAATTCGGTTTCTGAAGTAAGAACTGAAATTAGGGGATTTTTTTACTATGTTTAATATTTTTCACATGTTGCACATGATGGCAAAGAAGCAGCGGGATATGTGAAAAACACGGGTTATAATTTTCATCTTTGGAGATTAACTTGCAAGAACGACGGGTCCCTACCCGTCGTTCTTGCAAGTCGCCTCCCTAGGCGACTGACGTCGTGGATAACAGCTTAAGTTAATAAAGATGGAGAAGTTTGCAAAAAATAATTTGGATACCCAACATAACGACTCTCGCGAACGCTGTACTTTTTCAATGGGCTAAGCTTTTCGCAGGAGTTGGAGGAATGAAGGTGTTAATGTGTCACGAGAATCGTATATATCAACATCAATCTTAATACCTTATTATTTTATCATACTAATGATGAATACTTAAATAAATAAAATACTTTACTTACCTTAAGACCTCCTTAACACATGCCTTTAAGTACGGCATCTGGTTAACATCACCTGGCTTCAATTGCCGACCTTGTAACACGTTGGATATTTCATCATAGAGTCGCTCTTGTACTTCTGGTCGCGATGACAATTGGTACAATGTGGATGCTACCGCATTTGAAGTCTGGAATTGTAAAGATAATTTTAATATCAGTGTGATGCACACACTATAAAAGAAATTGAGTAAATTATGTACATATTTCCAAATCTGTTAAGTTAACGAACATGTTAGTCAGTTGCCATTGGAGGCCTAATAGTAACACAATAAATTATGTGAACGTGCAGAGTAAGTAAGTACTTGCCTCCAATTAAAATTGGTGAAAATGTGTTCAACCCATATATCACACAATTATCTTTTTAAAACCCTTGTAACAGTTTAAAATGCGAAATCTGTTACTTATTTTTAATTTATTTTAACTACTAATATGTTTCGCTCTTTGAAGCGTTTAAAACAGACAATCCTCAATGTCTCTTTTTATTCAACTATACAAATTTCGTAGCAATTACAAAATTTTAAACTAAATACTGTCTGTAGTTTACGCCAATAGTACGCATTTAAATAAACACTGAAAATTTGCAACAGCCGAAACCTTTGGCCGTAATTAGAATAATTTTCAAATAAGTTTAACTAATATACATCGCGTTTTAAACCCTTAGTGTTTCATTTAAATATAACTTACGTATAAACTGCAATATTCGTTACTAAAGGAATGGTGATAAATATATTTCTTTATTTTAAAATTACTTACTGTGTCTATTCCTACAAGAAACATGTCAAGTGAAGTTACGGCCGCCACTCTCGTACCAGCCGCACTTACTAAATCTTGTAATAATGACTTATTACTATTATCACATTTGTCTAGAGCCCTCTCTACGTGACTCAGGGTAACACTGGAATTTGAGAAATATATCTATATAAATTAAAAATCGATTATAAATTGAAAAATTTACCATTCGGGCAGGACTTGAACCGGCATCATCAGCGTTCCGTGCTGTCTTACCAATTGAGGTGTATGGTTAAAAAAAACATAACTATTAAATTGACAAAATGTTACCTAAGTATCGTATCTAGCGCCGCGACATATCTCTTAAACATAGCCGTCGGGTATATCCTCCACCAGGGAGTACGCAGTTCCAACTCTCCAACGCACAGGAAGAACGTGTGGACAGCATTTATAAGCCGTTGGCTATCTGATCCCTCATGAGATTGGAAGCAACCGAGCCGGGTGTCCAGGGCTATTAGACCAAGAGCTAAAAAGACAACGAGAAATATGTAATGCTTAAAAACTGTAGTTTACGAGTAGTACACATTAAAATAAAACACTTTAACGGTTTAAAACGCGAAATATTTGAGTGGAAAACGTCGCTACGGCCCGACGTAAAATAATTTTTAAATAACATATTCCTGTCTATAGTTTACGCGAGCAGTACACATTTAAATAAAACACTTTAACGGATTAACTAATAAAATAATAAAAGGAGTGGAAAATGTTTAGAGCTTGCTTTGAACAGGTAAAATTTGCTCTTGAAAAGTAATATTTTCGAAATTATATTGTTTCATTAAAATTCTTTTAACCGTTTTAAACTATATAATTATTATACTTGTTACTCACATTCTAGTGACCATTTGTGTATTTCGTTGAGGAAATCGTCAGGAGTCTCCAAGTTTTCATCGCGTATTTCCTGAATTCTGAAAAAAAGACAAAAAATATAATTGTTATACATGAAAACTAATTTATCTATCAGTTAATTAACAGACAATAAAGTAGTTCATATTTAGAGCCACTCTAAAAGCAATACCTTTTAATGAAACAGTCTGCAACATCAGCAACTTGCTCAGTGTACTGGGCCGCAGCGCCTGCACTGAGCGCCACTCGGGAAACTTTAGTACGAAACGCGGACCACGAATCGCCATGGCTAAGAACAAACACACCGTGTATAAACATTTATATTTTAACCGACTTCAAAATGAGGATTACAAGGCACCGAATTCAAAATTATTATCTCTTCAAGTGCCTTTTTAGTTTGCTGTTTGAAGTATATTTTTTGTTAAAACGTACTGTTATCAATACTGAACGAAACAAACATAAAGATCTTACAAAACTTTATAAAAACGGCAGTGAATGCTATATATTTATATATAGCACGTTAAACCTCCATTATCTGATGAATTAAAACCAAAAGGTCGCGGATTTTAATTCCAGGGAATCCTTTTTATTTCTTTAAATTAAATTGATTACTGATACTGACATACAAATGTGGCCTCATGTTTCGTAAGCAAAAACTGATATCATACATAATATTAAAAAAGGTACTTAAACTTACACAGCAATAACTCCAGCGCAATCTTTTTCGGCGCCGAAAAAATCCTTTCTCAATGTGTGTTTATAATAATTAAGCGATGGCATTGACGGTCTGAAATATATAAACATAAAATAAGAAAAACATAGCATTATTCAATATATACTCAAATACCCGTATTATCTTGCTAAAAAGATATACGTTATACGTTACGTTTGAACAAAGTTGAAATAAAAATAATCTTATGACAAAAGTCGAGAGCCCGTTGGTCCAATGCTAAATTTAATAAGCTAAATATTCAATGAATATGAACATCGAAATTATGTCCGTAAAGTTAGGTCGCGTTTCGGTCCCTAGGTTTACGAATATCCAAAGCCAAAATAAGTCTACATCGGATTTTATTTAAATGTTATATGGCTAGGGACTAAACCTCATTCTCTTCTACCTCTGATATTAAAAAAAAGACTTTAGCAATGACTGGACTGTTTTGAATAAACTTTGTGTCTCTTTGTATACATAGAAATGCGTAAGGTATTTATTAAATAATTTGTGTTTTTTACCTGTGTGGTGCTGCATCCTCACTCCGAAAGACCCTTTCTACTTCACCAGCGTCGAAGACAAATAGCATATCTGGCCTCCCCAGCAGTCCAGCTATTTTGACACACTTTCCATATTCCCTTCGTAGAGACATACAGACTTTGTCTACATGTTCCACTGAATAACCACCTAAAAAAGACATATTCATGAGTGGAAAGTGTTTTAGGCTATTGAAACATGCACACATATATGTGTGTGTCATGAGGAGTATAATAATTACGGAGTAATTTATAACAAACTTAGAAAGCTTGATATCTCTGTTTCGAATCTCATATGTGCAATGTATGTATAACACATAAGGATCTGTATTTAAAAAGCCTTATAACAATATATTGGCCCTATTACAAAGTAAAACTATGTCTTTATAAAACTAATTTCAGTTACTTTTATACAGGCATTGTTTACTTATAACATAAAGCTCATAAAATAAAGAAGATTTCGTTTGTTGAAAAGCTTTAATGTCAGGAAATATTTATTCAAATTTAAAAGTTATTTGTTGGCTGGAACATTTATCAACGATTGCTATAGGCTATGTAGCCTATAGCAATCATTGATAAGTATTATATAATATCACGCTGCGACCAATAGGAGGGAGAGACAGAGAGAAACAAAGGAAAAAATTGGGAAAAAATATTCATCTTTGTGGGGGTTCGTTGAGGGCGCTGCGAAAACGGTTCGAAACGAAAAAATATGTATTAGAGAATGATTCTTCTTTAAGTAACAATCAAACTTGATTCGTAATTAATGAATTATTAGAAATATTCAACTTGTAACAAAACAAAATTTTCCAGATCAGCAAATGTTTATACAAAAACATATTCCTTATTATATCCGAATATCTAAACCCAAAACAGATCGATAGCACATCTTCTTTTGGTGTTAATTGGCATTGGTATTTCACCTAACATCAAGTGACAACCTATATTATCTGTGATCCTCTATCACAAACACAGAAACTATTTTATTTCTTTTTTATTAACCACCAGCATTATTGACGTATTTGGTAAAAGTACGTATATGGGACCGCAAGCGTATGCCTAATAATTTATTCATTAGTTCACTTCTTGTACACTAGGCAACATGCCATCGTCAGTTGAATAAAAGAAATTAAAAATAAAATATATAAAGCTGAAGAGTTTGTTTGTTTGAAATTTAAAAAAAAATCAGTATTGATAAGAGCATTTATTGAGGAAGGTCATAGGCTATGAAGCATCGCGCTGTGGCTAATAGAAGCGGAGATACAACGGGAAATGTGAACAAAACGGGGAAAATTGTTCATCTCTATGGGTTTCAGATGCGTACGCTGCGAAAACGGTCGAGATACCTAAAAATGTGTATGAAACAATGCTTTCTCTTTAAATGATCTAAAAAAACGCAACGCGATATGTATATCTTTTAAGATTAACTTGCAAAAACTACGGGAAGAGACGCGATCGACGTTGTGGCTAACATCTCTCGTGATCGCTGCTCTTTCGCCGAAAAGTGCTCGGCCGATTATTACATGCCAACTAACGTTTCGAAGAATTTTCTCTTTGACAACTAACGACTGTCAAATTTTTGTATGACAACGTTTCATTTGGTAAAATTATTGTTAAGCTGATTATTGTAATGACGAAAAGACGTCTGGGGCATTTATCTCTTGTCGAATTATTTATTAGGCCAGTCAACTTTTAGACGAATAACGATCTTCTAAAAAGGTTCAAAAAGAGTTTGCCATTCCACATTCATCAGTTGGTCCTTAGTAGTAGTAATAGTATTTATGTGGCGACAGTCGTGAAAGCCCAACAACCTTCTTTGAAACAGCGTTGTGGGCCCAGCAAAGAGACATTAATTAATTGAAGCAAGTTACAATATTGTTTAATACTCTGTGTCTTCGCTAAATTACGACCTAATAACATGACAACTTTCCTAATGTGCATATCATTCCCCCAAATATCGTATGCTCATAGAAATAGTAGCCTTGTCCCAAAAATCATCTTCATTATGAAATGAAATTATTTAGTATTCCGTGTATGAAACACATTGACGTCGTGCGCTGTATACATAATGTATGATATGGTCACACTTAATTAGATTTGTTTCTATTTTATAGCATTAAGTTTAACGATAGGTAAAAGCCTTTTCTTTGTTTCGCTAGTTGAAAATAACATGGATCAAAACTCAAAATTTTCATAACTTTTTCATTTAATGATAGTAATTTTATGTTAATTTTTAAAAATAACAGTTTTTGCGATTATTTTGGTAATTCAAATTTATAACTTTAAAATCCATTAACTTCGTTTAAAGTTTATGATCTCTTAAAAAGGACAAAATAAGTTAAGTATATTGCACTATTTTTCTATTAGCAATTTAAAATATTACAAATATTTAGACATATATTACGTTTTCTGAGTTGATACGGTATAAATTATAAATTAAGATTTCTTGTGTTTTAAGTACGCTTAAACAATAAAAAAAAATACATCGAATAAAGATGCGACGCTTTTGGTCGCGAGTTTGAGTCCCGTCGCTATCTTTTTTAATCAAACAAATTAGCAAGAATAAAAACGTTTAAAACAGTACGATTTCTTCTTATACCATTTTATCACATACACAATTGATTTGTATAATACCATAAAATATTTAGATATTTTCCATTTCATTACATGTATTTATGTCATGTGTGGAGTCGAGTGACAGAGTCGCACATTGCTCAATTTTATTGCTATCAAATACGTTGAAATCTTAAGACCGTGGGATACAAAGAATAATGCCACCTCGTTAAATTTAATTGGTTGTGTCATACTTTCGCAAACACAAGCCACAAGAAGTACATAATTATTATATAAACTAGACATTGTACTTGAATAAATTGCACACTTATATAGATTTAAACTTTTTTAAAGATGCCATAGAACTTGACGCCTATCGAGTCAAAAAGTATAACATTTTTTATTGTAATATATATATTTTTTAGTTTAAATACGACCTGTAGTTTACGCGAGCAGTACACATTTAAGTTAAACATTTTAACTGATGCGATATATATTAGTTAAACTTATTTGAAAATGATGGTAAATACGGCCCGACGTTTCGGATGCTTTGCAGCAGCCGTGGTCATGAGGAGTGAGTGTTTTATTTAAAAGTTTTAGTTTAAAAAATATTGTTATATGTGTTAACGTCACCTTTTTTTTATCTCCGAAAAACCAACATCGATCTAAAACGAAACATATTTCACAAATTGGTTTTGTTCTTCTCTTAACTGAAAAAAACAAAATGGATCTTTGGATATCCACAGACTGAAACCAAAACGCGATCAAGCTTCACGGCTTTATCATCTGTGGACGGTGGTTCAAGACCCGGACGGAATTTCTACATTCCTACCACCTCTTGACTATCCAGATTTTCAGACGAAGTCCAAAGGTGTTTCAGAAATATTATAAATTGAAGCACTGGTACATATTGGTACATTGCTATCTTTAGACCACCTAGCCCGACAATCTTTTTATTACATTTTAAATAATATTATTAAATTCAACAACTGGATACAAATTACATGGTAACTGTTTATCAATTAACAGCGCTTCTTATAAGTAAATTGTTTTCATATGCTAATTGAATCCTCCTACATATATGACGCAATGCAAAGAGAAGGAAGTCATTCTTAACACGTGAATCACAACAAGATGTCCTTTCCTAAATTATTGATTCCTTAAACAAATTATATTTAGAGAATTGGGCTAAACTAAGCGCTGAAGAACTAGCCGCCCTGGCAAACGTTCTTTTGCCATGTGAAATGTTTTTATCTACACTAATATATAAAGCTGAAGAGTTTATTTGAACGCGCTAATCTCAGGAACTACAGGTTCGAATTGAAAAATATTTTCGTATTGGAACAATTAGTTTCTGATATTATTACATTCAAACAAACAAACTCTTATTACACTTCTTGTCTATCATTTCTTATTGACAACCGTTGATAATATTAAGTCTTTAAATCACACCTATCAAGTGGTATAAACTAGTTTTATAAATAGGCAATTTCTAATACTGGATGGTGAAACACATATAAAAAGTATAAGCGACAGACCCTACATATAATATCGATCCAAGATCTACAATTAACATGTAGCAAATACAGTGACACATTGTATGTAGTGACATATTTGCAATTCTTATAAGTCTGCATTCCAATAGAATTTCATAAAAGTACATAACTAAACATCGTTTTCAAAAATACGTGTTAGTATATTAATTTAGATTCATGCAGTATATCTTTCTTAATAAGACACTATTAAAAATATAAATATATTTTTTTTAATGATAGAGAAAGACAGACAACGACGGAGTTCACTCGATGGTAGGATATATACCCCAGCCTATAGCATCTAAACATCGCGCTGTCGATGCCCTCCTTTTGCTTTGGATATTCGGAAATCCTAAACCTAAACGCGATTAAGCTTCGCAGCCGTTTCATCTGTGGACGGTGGTTCGTGATCCGCAAGGGATTTCTATATTCCTACCCATTTATTATCCAGATCTCCACACGAAGTCCAACATGTTTCAAAAAATTAGAAATTGAAAAATTTTTATTTTTTAACCGGTGAGATTCGAACCCACGACCCGATGATTATTAGCCACATATTGCTACCATTAAACCATTGAGCCCGTCAGTTTGAGTTACATATATTTACAATATTTTATAAAACTACGCACATATTAATAGCTATCATTCCTTGCGTGTTGTTACATGAACACCGATTTTAATTATGCAGACAAATAAAGGAATTATTAACCGTTGCCATTGTTACATATTATACTTACTATTGTGTATTATCCTTGTATAAGTGAAAACGCATAGCTAGACAGAAAATCTAATAAGACAAAAAAAGAAAAGACTTAACACTGTCGGGACTCGTATTCATGTCCAACACTGTATGTTCAACGAATTGAGCTAATGTGTTCATTCTGCGATAATAAAACATTTTAACGGTTTAAAAAACGAATTATATTAGCTATACTTATTTGAAAATTATTTTAACTACTGCCTGACGTTCGGGATGCTGTGCAGCAGCCGTGTTGTCGGGGAGACACGGTGGGTATAAATAATTTTCAAATAAGTTTATATTATATATATCGCGTTTTAAACCGTTAAAGTGTTTTATTTAAATGTGTACTACTCATGTAAACTACAGACAGTATTTGATCGTAGAACTTTTTAAACCTTTTGTACAACGCAATCCAATTTCAACCTTAAATCTTATACATTATGATATTTTTTTATTAAGTCTCACGTACACCAATTTAAAAAATCTCACCAATATGAGGAATAAATCGCCAAGTATTCCCGAGTAATGGCAACGGTTTCGGCCCAGGCACCTCCTCCCAGCTTTTAACTGAAGGAGTGAGGTTTTCAAACACCGATGTTGTGACTGCATGCGTAGATCTGGACCGGTGGCTATGTACGGGACACTGTGACGACCTGCTCAAGCCTGAAAGATATTACGTTTGAAAAGTTTAATGTTATTTTCACATATCATAACATGATTATTTAAAATAAAAGTGCATTTAGGTAAAAGGTTCAAGTCTCGCTCGTATCGTCAACTTGTTTCAATACAATAAATTTTAAAAAAACGTGTGAAATATAACGTTAAATATGTTTATGTATAATTTCACATGATGTTCACATGATTATATAAATTAAAAGAAGAACAACAGAACCTTGTGGAACCCGGTTCAAGTCCTGCCCGTGTCGTATTTTTTTTACAATGTATAATCAATGTTTACATATAGTTAGGTAATATGGAGTACGCCAAGGTAGCCAGTATAAATAATAAAAAATAAAAAAGCCTAATAACTAACAGGATTTTATACATTTAATAATAGAATCTAGATGTCAGAATCAAAGAAAAACCAGAGCGAGAATTCAACCTAGCCTAAGTTCAATTCTCGCTCCGGCACTAGAATTAATCGATCTTCATGTAGAACTCTGACACGTGTTTTCAAAATGAAGGAAAACATCAATCGTTCAGATGAATGTCCTTCTGCAACATTGATGAAACCTTCTTTTGAATACGCTACTCCATCCATGGGAACTAATAAAAGTTTCCGCTTTTTAACGGTCAAGCAAACCTGAAAGTTCTGATCACCTACTTGTAGATAAATTCGGACTGAATGCTTTGGATAAGTGGACAGATAAGTTTGTTTAAATTTAAATACTGTCTATAGTTTTCGCGAGTAGTACACATTTAAATAAAACACTTTAACGGTTTAAAACGCGATATATTAGTTAAACTTATTTGGAAATGATTTTATATCCATCTTTAGTCTCGCCGTGGCTGCTGCAAAGCATCCGAAACGTCGGGCCGAAGTGATAAATCATTTCAAAATAAGTTTAACTAATATATCGCGTTTTAAACCGTTAAAGTGTTTTATTTAAATTGTTTAAATTTTGCAATCCACACCTTCGTTAAACGGTATTCACAATGTAGACACGAGCATAATATGGTAAATTTATTTAAACGTCAAGCGTCCATTCAGCCACGGATTACAGACTCTTAAGAATTTATGCCTCTTAAAGCTTAAACAAATATGCTAAGAACAAACTTAGGCGTTTTTATTTGCATTTCAAACCGTTCTTATTATGTAAAACCAATATGAAGACGCAAATTATTAATTGTGTGTACATATTTATTTTATACCACGCAAGTTTCACTAGTAATTTGTTAAAATCAATAAATATTTCTTTATTAGCTGCTAACCGTAGTATTTGAAGAGACACACATATGAATGTGTCAGAGTATTTTTTAAATTACATAGTCTTAGGAAGTTTTATCTTTTCATAAAGATAGAAATCGTTAAAGCTATACAAATACATATATAAAACAATTAATGTAAGGTAGTAAAAAAATATTTTTTAATTTAAGATTAACGGTGTTTTATCGTATAACATTTAAAATTGTTTGTTATTGAAACATTATAGATACTTTCGCGCAAGATGTGACAGTAGACTAAATTAAATTGTAACGTTACTTTTTCTACCCTATTATTTTAAAATACAATATTTTTACGCCAGAATTCAACATCAAACGTCGACCGCATTCACAAAATACGTACTAGCTATAGTTACAAACTATTAAATTTAGAAACAACTGTGACACAATTGTGACTTCCACCATGACACAATGGTTAATGATAAAGTCGTATACAAAATAATATTCGCCTCTACCCAGTGGTTTTATACAATACATACCGATTTCACTTCCATCAGGCTTATCCGCTGAGGCGGTAAGTTTCTCACGAGCAATCTCTTCAACGGCCATCTCACCACATTTACTCGATGTCTCATTCTTTGTTATCTAGAAATACGTAATAAGAATAGAGTCAAATAGAAAACAAGAATTATACTAGAGTTAAAACTGTTCTATTCGATGCATTAATAAATAAATACATCTGTTATTGTTAAAATGTAATTATTGCCATATAATAATAGAAAAAAAATACAGTAAGGTAACGTTCAATTGTGTTTGGTAACACTGAGCAACCTTTCACTTAGATAATGAAGGATATGTAACGAGCAACGAACTATGCACCGGAAAATGAAAATTGCACGTGTAATTAAGGCGTAATTTGACCGCGGGAGGCGAACCGCTGAGGCCGTTGATAACGCAACACCTAGTGTTGAGTCAGCAGAACAAGTAATGAGTACTTTTAATGATAAGTAATGTCTGCAGTTTACGAGTAGTGAACATTCAAATAAAACACTTCTAATGGTTTAAAATGAGAAATATTTACAATTTATTTTAAAAACTTAAATATTTGTCGCATGTTATTGCATACTATATAAATCAATTAGTGATAAGGTTGATGCCGCTACAAGTCGTGGTCGAGACGTTACATTTTTTCATTTCATAATCGGTTTTCATTTATTTTAACTACGGCTCGGCCCTGTGTACTCAAAACTGAAGCCTCTGTGTGTGTGTGTGTCAATCACCGTGTTCAACAGCGTATGTTTACTATAACCGAATCTAATGTAATTCTGAAATTAATTAATATTTTTTCTGAAACACGTCTGGAAAATGTTGATATAAAATGGGCAGTAAGAACCGACTGGGTCACGTAACACGTGGACCACCACAGATGAAAAAGCCGTCAAGCTTAATCGCGTTAGAATACAAAATAATGTTATTCTAAAATAGACTAACTAGAAAGCTAAACCTCAGAATATTCTAACAAGGAGGCGTGGTCGGAAAATTATAAACTAGCTATTGAGACAAGAGTAGTTTGTGAAAGCACAAATTGTAGAGATTAAGATAGCCTTTGAGAGAATATGCTAATATATAACCTTTTAACATATAACAGTAAATACATTTATATGTTAAAGGCTTTAGTTTTTCCATTTGTTTATGATAAAAAAGGATAGATAGATGATGTTAGGTGAAATACGACAGCCATTCAAATTTAAAATTTAAACAAGATGCACTGTCAACCGTTTTAGGCTTAAGATGTTCTGATGATTCTGTGGACGGTGGTTCGTGACTCAGATGGAATTTTGATATTCCTACCACCAAATTATAATCCAAATTTCCAGACGAACTCCAACATGTTTCGGAAAAATTATAAATTGATTACAAAGATGTTGGCCTCGGTGGGGATCGCACACAATCCGTTGACAACGAGCCCTACATATTATGTTACTCTCCGTCCGTTATCAATTACCTAAAAATTAAGTAGATTCGTTCCTGAGTTAAGTAAAGGATAAGTAAACATCGTTTGGAATTGAATTGGTATTGATATAAAAAAAATATCATCATACAACATACACTACATACAAAATGAAGCCCAATGGTCTAACGTGTTTATTTAATAAGGCTTACGAACTAGATAAACTACTTAAGCTAATTATAGCAAGGATAATTCTTATGTACCGAACCTAGATTGTTACGATCGGACAGGGCATGGAAGTTTGATTAACTACTTGCCTTTTTTAATAAAACACTTTAAAGTTTTAAAACGCGATATACGTAAATTAGTTAAAGTTATTTGGAAATTATTCCAACTACGACCCAACGTAAAGGATGCTTTGCAGCAGTTGTGGTCACGGGGAGTCACGAAAGCTCAGCTAATATATATCGAGCGATCAGTAAAACGGACACAAAAATGTATTCGCGCCATGCTCCACGCAGAAAACATTTGCTCAAAACTCGTTTAAAATGTTGAGATAATCTTGACAGCATGATTAAATATGCATATAAATTCTTCGTCAGGACTTAATGATGAATTTTTATTCCGGTTTATTTAAAGATACTGTTAAGAGAACCGTTACTTTCAAGTTTATACATTCATATATTTAATTTGTGCCAGTAAAAAATCTGAAATCAAGGCCGAAACTTAAATGGTAAGCTTTTTAAAACAGCAGAGTAAAAGTCCTTACGGTAAATAAAGAGTAATATTTTGAACACACTTTAACGGTTTAAAAAGCGAAATATGTTAGGTAAACTTTGAAATTTAACTACGGCCCCATGTTTTAGATACGTTACAGCAATTGCGGTTACGGAGAGACCAATTTTCAAATAGGGTTACCTAATATATATCGCGTTCTTTTTTGAATGATCTAAAAAAATATCTGCGGCAGTATAAGTCTATCTTTTATGTTTAAATCGAAAACGGTTTTATGGTACGAACGAAAGGTCCGTTATTATGGTAAAAATGTTAGACGAAATCTTTACCAATATATTGCTTTTTTATTTTAGAGAAAGTTTGTTTGTTTCAACTTTGATAGCGTACATCGCAGGAGTGACGTCATGTTGTTCCCTTAACAAATCATATCAATGAAATTTTTGATCTGACTTCTGTGTCCTGCTCGACCGAAAAAATCTATTGTTTCCCTAAGATACTATCTTAGGACCTATCTATCTATATCTAACTATTAACGCAATGCAACATGTTGAACAATTTGGCTACGTAGCGAGTATTTCGTAGTGCGTATCAAAACATGTACGTATTGAATTCACTAACAGTTACAACATTTCCTGAATAAAGTTAGCAATTTATCGACGATAAAAATCGTTAATTTGTTGTGCTTACTTTTTATTTATTTAGATGTTTCCGTGGGAGAGTAATAGTACCTTAGTATGATTGGGCTATTATAAAGAAACACGTGTAGTAAAATCTAAAAAAAAAGATAGAGATTCAGATTCATTGGACGAAAAAAGAATTAACACGAGAAAAGTTTTATCTGAGAACTGTAGAAAAAAGAGCTTTTAGGTTTTTTTTCATTACTCCATCGAAACAAGTATATCAAGTATTCAATAATCCAAAAAATACCTGCACACTTTCCAAAATCACTATAAACCTCGTAACCACACACTGATGTATATATAATCGGGCTATTGTGTTCTTACCGCGTGATACCGACAGACTGAACGACGTCTATAATGTAAGGTGGAGTATCGGCTTTCTTGGCGTGTTTCCATACAGCAGCGCGGCACGAGAATACGTTTCCCATCATATGATGCAGTAATTTATTTGAAAACTTTAACATGTTATTGCTCATGATCGCAGTATATAAAGAAGAAATCTATATAGATTGAAAAAAAATTGCAGTTAGAGCAGCAGCACGAAAGATGGTTCCAGCTCGTGTAGTAATTTACTTCAATCTATATAGATTTTTAATATAAGACATTTGTTTTTTATTCCAAATAATGTGAACTTCCAATAAATGTTTAAACTTTACTACTTTAGTACTCTTTACGGATTCTAGGTGGAGTTGTAATAGTTTTACACTCTTTTTTCCACTTTTCAATATCCCTACCATCCCACACAGATTTATAGATAATTCAAATCTGTTACTGATAAATATAAATTTTGAATCCCGCGCCTGGCAACATCAAAACTATACTCTCTGTTCTATTTTTCACACAATAGTTTTACAATGTTTACAATGTTAGTTTTGTTACATGGAGTTTGTATAATAAAAAAACACTTCAAATAATAAATTCAGTCAATAAATTAAAAATCGATTAAAACACGTTTGCTCTGATGGTGATCGAAGCCACGACCATTAGACCAACGAACTCAATACAATGAAAAGAAATTATGTGTGAAAATTGTTTAATAAATTCGCTCAGTGACATTGCCGCTCCGTTGTACAGTGGAAACGCGGCACTATATCATTATCGGAACGATATAATATCGAGATACATAATATTGAATACATGCTTGAAGACGTTTTTTAACCCACCATACACACCAAAACGAAAGAACGTACTGTTATACAAAAGTAGAGTTAACTTTCTCTCCGAATGAAATTTGGAATCTTTTTTGCAATCTACGGATTTTATCTCACATCTTAATTATTGGACCTCCCGTCGATACGAAACACAGTTTTAAAACTATCTGTATAGAATAAAGGCCACAGAGATCGGATTTAGTTTATAAGTAATTCTAATATAGATGATGTATATCGATATCAATAAATGTATTATAGAATTTAAAAAAGTTTGATGCGCTTTCCTCCAAGCTTTCTCGTCTTTACATATCTATTATAGTACAATTATTATGTGTTTCTTTGCTATTTATTGTTTTTTTTTCATGAATTATGATTTTGTAACTTATATTTGTCTATAATTATTATGTATTATGTGAGCAATAGTCTTTAATTTAATATATTGTCCTTGTGGTATAGTGAATCTCATTATAGAAATATATTTATAATCTATATGAAACAGACGGGTATAGGCAAGATAAAAAAGTAAACAAACAATTTTGAAGTCCCAGAAACATTACAAGCATCTACTGTAATGGACTTTTTGGGAAGACTTATCATTATTATGTGAGTAAAATTCGTTTGCAAAATTTTAATTAAGTACCTAGATAAGGGATGGACTTTCACTCACAAGTCAACTAAACAATTCGTTCTTATAAGGCGAGTATTTAATAAAAGTGTGAATGTAAATAAAAGAATACGGTAAATCGAGCCAGGCAGTACTTTTTTCTCAGAAATAATTACTGTGCATACAAGTACGTCTTCGGTATCTTCTCACATTGCCTATTCAGAGCGACACATGTGTATGCCTCGTTAACCTAGCTCCGTTTAGATTTTAAATGCCAAAAGTCAAATTAGCATCCCACAATTTTAGAAAGCTCACGAGAATATTTTAATTCTGGTAGAAATACCATAATCTTGGAGAGCGCTAAAGTAAAATGTAAGCTTGCAAAAATTTGCATTAATAATAAATAAACTTTGCCACTTTTAGAACATAGCTATAATTTAACTTTTCTTTAGAAACGTGCTGGCATTTTTGTTATTTTATTATATGGAATATGTTAAATACGGGGTTTGGCTGCTCGTTGGTCTTATGGTAGTAATTTATGGCTAATAAACAACGGCTTGTGAGTTTTAGCCTTACCGGGTCGTACATGTGAATAATTTTTCGATAACGTATCTAGAACTTTGGATATTCCATGGGTGATCACAATAATGTAATTCCCTGGGTTCTAAGCCAAAATAAGTCACACAGCGCATCGTCTTAAATGTTATATGGCTGGGCACCTATCAAGTGTCCTATCTACGCTTGTCTCTCCTGTTCTATCATACACATATAAAAATCAAAGATACAGCACACATCTCTACAAAATTGAAGTAATATTTAAATTTATTTTGTTCCATAATTCAAAATGTAGCTGTTCTGGCCATATAAATTTTAGCAAGTTAGTGGGCGTGTCCATACCTATCAACTGGAAACGAAACCTACATTTGTAACTCGTTTTATCATATACAGGTTTCTTAAGTACACGTTCGGTTTTCTTAATACTTTCCTTATGTGTAGCGAGAACGATGTGAAAACTCGAATCAAAGTAAAAAATAGTAGTGATAAGCGATGATCTCAGAATTGAAACGTACTTAAAAGATTTAAAATTTTCTACGTCATTTAAAAATCGAAAATAAATTTAAAAAATTTTCGACTCGGGCAGGACTTGAACCGGCAGCGTCAGCTTTCCGTGCTGTTGCTCTACCAATTGAGCTACCGAGTCCTACACCTCATCGTCGAATTTTTTAATAAATATTGACACAGCGAGAGCAAGTGTGAACAAAATTGGGAAAATTATTCATTATGGGTTTTCGAGGCGTACGCTGCAAAAACGCTTCCAGATATCCAAAAAATATGTATGAAAGAATGATTCTTCTTTAAATGATCTAAACAAAAGTCCGCGACGCTATATGTCTATCTTATAAGATTAACGTACAAGAACGACGGGAAGGGACGCGTCCGACGTGGTGAGTTTATAAAGATTGTAAAAACGAATTTGGATGCCCAAAATCATTGTAACCTTGAGAGCTGCTCAAATCGTTATAATAATATTTTCTCTTCACCATCTTTAAGCTTTAAGTCGTGACCTTTACCGCAATTATTATTGAAGTGCTTTCAACTTTCAAGTGATCACCTTGATTATTTCACGGAACCCAATGCAATTACTTTTAATAAAATTCCACAATCACAAGATCTCGGCACAATAACAGACATATTGCAATATATTTTATGACATACATTGTTTTACACTATTAACACCGGCATGCTAATATAAGGAAATATCTTGTCTTAAAACGTTAATGATGAACATCCAACTGTTTTCATAGTCTCTTGTTATATGGTGTGATATTTTGAGAGAAGAGCAACGTTTTAACACTAAGCGTGTTAAATGCCTTCCGTAATTGAGGCAGGTTAAAAATTTATTTTTTCATTTACACAATTCGACAGTAATGTTGTATTACTGTCAAATATTGAAATGGTATATAAAAAACAATATGAAAACTGAATTTTAATAATTATTTTTATTACTAATATTAAAAATTACGTTAAGGAGAGTAATTAACTCTTCTATCGTATCCTAACTGTACTAATGGTACTGAAACTGCAGAGCTGACTTGTTTTTACTATCTTTGCAAAGTTTGAATCTAGGTATATATTATTTTATTTCATATTATGTTTAAATAATAAGAAATTAATTATTCAGACGATCTAGTCACTTATATGTATAATGAAATCTAGTTGCCCGTGGTCATGGGGCGAACACATTTCTGTGTTCGTTTCACTGACGGATTACATTAAGTAGTTTATCAAAAATCTCCACTCCCTCCGACCGAAATACTGATTATTTAACGGGATATAAACCCACGACTTCTTTAACGCAATTTTTTGAAGCGCGTCTAACCATTGTGTTACAATGGTGATAATGATATAATATTTACTTATCTAATTGTAATAAGTTGTAAGCTTGTAATTGTTAATAAGGTTGGATCCTAAATATTAAAGATGAGTAAAGATTTAATTGCTCTTAATATTACGATTGCTATTATTAGCAACAATAAAAATGATCTATATTTTATTAAATTTTGTTATATAAATACACAAATATTTTATGTACTAATAAAGAAAAACGGCCGTTAATAAAAATAAATGTTTATTTACACTGTATAAATAATTACAAATTAAAATTGCGGTAAATGATACAAAATTAAACATACAATATGCATATGAACCTTGTGATGTTAGACAATGGTAAATTGTCTAACATCACAAGACAATCTCTTAAAGTCTTAGCGACATTTATTGAAATAAAAAATTTATAAAAGTTTGCGACTCTTTAAGCAAACAAATTAATTAAATGAATAAAATGTGTCCCCAAGTTGGGCAAGAATTGATTACTTATATGCGAGGTTGATTAAAATTATCGTTCAATCATGCGCAGACGCAGAGGTCCGTCCGGCGCGTACATGAATGTTACAGCGTAGTCTAATGGCTCGTGATGGTATTCCAGTCGGTAGCGACGAAGAAGCTGTAAAAAAATAAACGATTAAGTTAAAACTTGTAAAAGTTAGATATTTATTTTATTTTTCTGAAATAAGTTGGACTTAGTCTGAAAATCGAAATTTTAAATAGGTGCACAGATGAAAAAGGGTTAGTCGCGTTTCGGTTTCAGTCTATTTTCGAATATGCAAAGCCAAAATAGGACGACAGCGCATCTTGTCAGATGTTATTAGTTGGGGTATTTGACCTACCATCGAGTACATTCGAGCCCCTTGGCTTGTCTGTTCTTCTCTATTATAAAACAAACTAGATTAATAAAACAAAGTAAAGACAAGTGACTTACTCAATAAATTAATTGATTTAGATTTTTCATTGTAAAGACAAAATTACGTTTTACCAGAATTTGAACCTTTGACCTTTTGGGCTGAGGCAATGCATATATTCTGCTTACCTTAGCTAACAGAACTTGTATCTCAAGATCAGCAAAACGTCTTCCTAAACAGATTCTAGCTCCGAATCCGTAAGGCAGAGACGCAAAGGAGTGCAAGCGGCCATTTTGTTCTAGCCAGCGTTCAGGTCTGAACTCTTGTGGATTGGAGACGAACTGGTCCATGTTCCCTGTTACTATTGTCGGAAATACTACTTGAACCTAAGAAATAAAAATATTTTTTAAAAGTATAGTTTCAGTATTGTTAGTTTTTAACGCATTAAATATTTAACGGTTTCATTCACGAAAAATATTAATCATTATTGGTTACAATTTAATTCAACAACCAATACAAAACATTTGTAAAAAAATAAATCCTGAAAGGTCAGGCCACTGTTAAAATAAGTTAACCAATATATTTCACGTTTTGAACGGTTAAAAGTGATTTATTTAAAAATAAAGCTTCATTTACATATCCTCAGTAAAAAAGTTTATGTTAACTTTGACATCTTTGTCGAGCATTATGCTTGGTATACCTAATTGACAATCAGCTCTGCGCACGATCGTAGCATAAAACGAAGATTTATAGATCTATTAAATAATGTAGTTCCCATTTACTTACGCCCTTCGGTATGTGATATCCGCAGATAACGTCATCTTCTTGTAATGTCCGTCCGTTGCCGATAACTGTGGAATACATTCTGTAAACAAATAAGTTCTTATTAAAACACCTGCAATGGCTGATTTTATCATAGTATTAAAGCTTAAGGTACTTTAATTTATTTATTACAGCTTTATTATTTATAATACATATTACAAAACAGGTAATATAACAGAAAAAAATCTTATGTTCTAACTTATAAAAAATGCGGTCTTATCGCTAAGCAGCGATATCTTCCAGGCAACAAAGTACAGGTGAAGAGAAATAGAAAAATACTTATTAAGTGGGTAGATGTAATAGACAGTAGATAATGATATTTAAATAAAAGATGTAAGTGAAGTTAACAATTCAATTTTCAAAACGAAACAATTTTATTTGTGGTTGATGTCTTGGTGAGACCCGGTCGGAGTTTCCATATTTCTACCACCCTTTCAATGTGCAGATTTCTTGACGAAGTCCAACACGTTTCAGAAGAAATTATTATATTGATAATAAAATTTTCTAATTGATACCCACGCACCGTTCATTATCAATTATTAGCATGGTTCAAGGACTAACGGGAAACTTTAATAGTAAAAATAATTGATAGATACGTTTAGCGTTTTAAACCGTCAAAAGTGTTCTATTTATATGAGTGCTGTAATTACAACTGTAAACTAAAGGTCTATAGTGTCATTGTGAGAAAGCAGAATAATATAAGTAACATTTCATATTCTGAATCTCTTTTTTATTTACCTGAATACTTCTCTAACGAACGCCTTGGTGTAGTGTAGTTTATCCAAGTCAGCATAGGTGAGGGGTTTGCTGGGGTCAGGAAGCACTCTGCGGATTTCTTCAGCCATTTTTTCCTGTTGTTTCAGTCTGGTAGCCGCTTGGTAGAGGATAGAACATACTGCCATTGATATCTGAAAATATAGAACTAAGGAGATAAAGAAATATTGCGCTACCAATAGACAATAAAGAGATGTCACTTCGGAGACAGAAATAATCAAACGTACTGTTAAATACTGTCTGTAGTTTACGCAAGTAGTACACATAAATAAACCACTTTAAGGTTTTAAAACGTGATGTATATTAGTTAAACTTATTAGTTACAAATTCTCCCCGTGACCACGGCTGCTGCAAAGCATCCGTAACGTCGGGCTATATATAAAATATATTTTTAAAATAATATATATCTCGTTTTAAACCGTTAATGTGTTTTATTTAAATATAAGTACAGTTTTTTTAAGTGAAATTCTTGGGGATGGGGCAGACACAATTTTGTGCCTGTATCGTTTTATTATTGAGCCTTACAAGTTATATAAATGTATACCTTAGCAATAACCTAATGTTCATAAAATTCCAAATGATTTCTTTTTTCTACAATTAAATTTTCATTCTGTCGTTGTAAAACTGTACCCGTTGTGTCCGTCTATAACTCCTTTACACAATTTCGTATTTCTCTGCCTATTTAAAGTTAAATTTTCCTATGAATGTAACTAGTTATGTTAAAATGTCGACAGTAATTAATTTATTAAATAAAAGCGTGTATCTTTTGTTCTCTCTACATAGGCTATTTTAAACTTCTTTTCGTATATTCCCTATACTTTACCGAAATCCAAAACTTAGTGCCTTTCGAGTTATGCATCAAACGCACCAATATTTTCAAAAAGTGAACATGCTTGAATGTTTTACTGACTTACCGTATCGATACCAACTAGTATAAGATCGAGGGCCATAATCGTAGCTATTTTCGGGTCTCCCTCACTCTTCAACACTCGTTCTAGAAGTGACAAATCGTTCTCTGAAGTCACCTTCTTGGTCTTCAAACGTTCCAAAGCTTCGTTTATGTAACGCGAACAAAGCCTGAAACATTAAATTGTAGTTAAGTCGTATGCATGACAAGTGATATTTTTATGATTTAGGAGAATAGATAAGCATTCGAATTAGCAAGCAAGATGCGCGGTCGACTTATATTGTCTTTGAATGTTTAGAATACCACAGCTCAAGCGACGTTAAACAAATTTAAACGCTTATACTATCAAATTTATTAAATTAAAATCGGATCAAACTGTTTTAAAGTATTTTGATTTAGGAGTAGCAAAAAGTAGTTTTTTAAAGAATATGAGTACTTCTTCTTGTGTCACTTGTCTTGTTGGAAATGGTTCAACGGCTAGTTTCGGTCTAGTTTAGTTATTAGTCTTTAATAAATTAGTTTTATCAAACGCGCGTACGCAATGCCCGTGCGCAACCCTATGTTTAAAAGCTTGCATCCACCACTCCGTTCTAGTACTTACTCAACAAAGAAATTCATATTGTTAACATATTTGGTCCATAAGGGCGTTGGTATGTATCTCCAATATGGCGCCTTTAGCTCTAAAACAGCAACGTTACGTAAAGCAAATTTTGCCGCATCTATAATTCTTTGAGGCTCCGAATTGCTAGATAGATCGGTTGATAGACAGCCTAGTCGCACATCTAGGGCTACACGTCCAATGCCTGGAAAATAAAGGCTGGTCAGTCCCCCATGGCCACGGCTGCTACAAAGCATTCAAAACGCGGGGCAGTAGGAAAATAAATCGTAATTAAGTTATTTTACTTACGATTTATTTATTCTAAACTAATAACAACTAAATAATAATTACGCCCTATATATTAGTTAAACTTATTTGAAAAATATTTTAACTTCGACCCGATGTTTTGAGTGTTTTGCAGCAGCCGTGGAGACTGAAACGTCGGGCTGTAGTTAAAATTTTCAAATAAGCTTAACTAATACATATCGCGTTTAAAGTGGTTTATTTACAGGTAAAAACGTATTAATGTATAAATACTTACATTCCAGCGACCACTTGTGAATATCATTGTCGAAGTCTTTTGGCAGATCACCGATTTCATCCCTGGCGTTTTCCATGTATCTGATGAAGTCCTCTGTCACCATTTCGATGGGAGCTACGTACTTCTTCACAGTTTGCGGCTGCAATATAGGACGTTGTACTTTCGATCTAAATGTACGCCATTTCTCGCCGTGTCTGTAAAAATAGTACTTGTTAAATTATAATTAAATTATTGATTAAAAAGCGATTCAGAGTAAATTATATTTTTTTTTTCACGAAAAGAACAATCTTCTACAACCGAAACAATATATTTTGTTTCGGTCGCATATAATACATATATTGGACATGTGTCTATCGTCGCTAAAAACGTTCTTAGCTTCCTTAAAATTGCAAACAAAAAGCTACACAGCTTCTATCTATACTAATATAATAAACAAAAGAGTTTGTTTGCTTTTTTGTTTGAACGCGCGAATCTCAAGAACTACTGATTTGAATTGAAATTCATTGAGCATTTATTGAGGGTGACTTTAGGCTATAAAAAATCAGGTTGCATCCAATAGGAGTCAAGAAGCCGAGGGAAATGTGAAATACAAAGGAAGAATTATTCATATTTGAGGGGTACCGTTGCGTGCGCTGCGAAAACGGTTAAAGAAAGCAGAAAACATATATGAAAGCGCGATTCTTCTTTAAAAGATCTAAAGATATGTCCGCGACAGTCTATGTCTATCTTTTAAAGTTAACTCGCCAGGACTACGGGACGCGAACGACGTCGTGGATAGCATTGCTTCCAAAAATAAATAATCTGATGAATACCATATTATCGTTACACGGACAAAGTTGCGGGCACAGTTAGTGTAAAATAAAGGTATAATTATCACTATACTGTTTTCGAGAATATGTGACATCTGTCTATCATTTAGTAATAAAATATTTCGTAATGTTGCCAAGGACTATGTTTTATGTCAAAACGTATAATTTAAGCGTTGATCTAAACACGCGAATCTCTAGGATTAGGCAATACATGTCTTGATGGATTTTGAAATATACAGACACAGATTTATAATTCAAATAGTCCCAAATAAATACTGTCTGTAGTTTACGCGAGTCGTACACATTGAAATAAAACACTTTAACGCGATATATATTAGTTAAACTTAATTAGAAATTATTTTATCTACGGCCCGACGTTTCGGATGCTTTGCGGCAGCGACACCCCCATCTTTAGTCTCCCCGTGACCACGGCTGCTGCACCCGAAACGTCGGGCCGAAGTTAAAATTATTTTCAAAGAAGTTTAACTAATATTTATCGCGTTTTAAACCGTTTAAGTGTTTATTTAAATAGACCAGGATTATTATTATTATTTTTTCTTAATTATTGCCGTTTACAGCTTATATGATATAAAAATGATTCGCTATTAATTCAACAAATTTATTTTTTTAACTTAAATTAAAAAAAGAACGGAAAGAAACTTGAAAAGCACATCGATAAAAACAGTTACCGAACGTAACCTTAATATTTATCAATGAGTTCATGTACCTTTTAGCACAATTAAATTGTTATTCAAAGCGAATCTTCGATGGATTAATATAAGCAAGATATAAATATTCATGTAGCTCATATGAAAGCAATGATTATTTATAGATTTTAATAGAACATTAGTACCAGCAATATATATTTAACGGTTTGATGCCATTTAGATTAAAGAAAATACTTAAAAAATTAAACGAGCCGGGCTCGAACCCACACGAACAGCCACAGCGTGATAATCTATCATTTTATCTATCCTTTCATAATTTTAATCTATTAATAAAATTAAAAATAATTAAATAAATTAAAATTAATAAAAAATTTAAATCTCAATGATTTTGAAAAGCAAAATAAATAAATGTAATATGTGAATTGGCGTTTAAAAATCCTTATACTCGTTTAAAAGTTTACATTGGGACACGTTATATATTTTTAACGTGCTTACTTTGAGGACCATGAGATGGCTGAGACTTTAGTCTAGTTCTTTTCGTTAGTCTTATTCGCATATTTATATGCGAATATAAAACAATATTTTAGATCGTTTTCGGTGTAAAGTAAGAGAATATCACTAAAAAACATAGTAGGCTGAAAAGACTACCTATCTCATAGTTTTTATTTAGACATATATTTAAAAAAATATCGATTAAAAATAATTGAATAATCGATAACTGTTTTTTATATATCTTAATGTCTTTCTTTGTAAGTAATAGTATATGTTGTGTGAAATAAGAATGATGATTATTCATGTTTAATACCTTGTAATGTATCACACGATAATTCCTATCAGCGTATATTAAAAATCATTTCGCATCTCTAGGTCTAGGATGTTTGCTGCCATATTATTAGCATATTATGACGAAGAGATCGCCTTCGGAATAAAAATTTGTCCTCTCATTGTATGACGTGACTCCGCGTGAAAATATGTCTTGAGATAAAAGTACACTTCTGTTCGCGAATCAAGCTAGGTATTGAAGTCAGATGTAAATCTAATTTAATTTATTATAATAATGTCTATAGATTATTATAATAAATTCAATTTTATAGATTATTATATAAATTAATATGAATATATAAAGCTGAAGACTTTATACTAGTTTTACATCGAAAATAAACTTACTTTATTTTCTTATATGTAATTTTAAATAACTTTGTTCACAAGGACATATAAAAGGTTAAAATTTTCTTTTTGAAAGTTAAATAGTACCATCAAATAGACTAACCCTGACATAAAACATATGTAAAGGTCCCGTTTAAATATTTAAGCTCAATTTCGAAACCGGATTGCGAGAAACAGCACACCTTTACCGGTTTAACATATAGCCATAACATACATACAACATAATTTAGACTAACTCGTTGGGCCAATAGTAGTAATGGCTAATAAGCAAGGACTCGTGAGTTTGACTCCTGCGCGGTACAACAACTTTCTAAAATACAATTTTAATTTATCTTAATTGTGTAAGACTTCAAATCGGCTGAAAAATCTTAAAGTTACGAACCACGCTCCACAGTTCTCTGCGCATTTCTGAATTTTAAACCCAAAAGAGGCCAATAGGGCATATTAAATCGACGGGGCTATTTCACCTTCCATTAGGTAAAACCCGAACGTGTCTGTGCTCTGTCATAAAAAAAACAAACGTCATTCTTTTAATGTCATTTCATCGTCATCTACGTATGGTATTTAAGTCCTCGCTTTCGCTGTGGTCCACTTGCCAAGTAGGGCAGGCATCTAAGTAACACGTAGCATGCTATGAGATACTTTTATGAATTAAATTTAAAATCGATGGCAAATAAAAATATCCAATAGAAAAAGGGTTAAAAGTAAGTCGTATGGTATACTATATAATAACGGTTTTGTATATTGTATGGTACTCCAAATTTAAATTATTTCTATAATAAGAATTAAAACCTAGCTACATACATTTAGTACACCCAACTCAGTAAGGAATACAATTTTTCGTTTACTGATATAAGTATTATTTTAATATTTTTTTTGTCGTCATACAAAATACGCTCCATAAGCATCTATTACGGACTTCCGATGTGACACTCAAATGACAAAAATAAACAAATCAGAAGTTGACAAAATGTATGCAAAGGTTATGCTAACGGTATTTTCTTGAAATACGTTTATTTCACGTAATATAAACGCGTAAGTATCTTGTAATCATGGAAAAAAACTATTAATTATAATATCCTAAAATAAGTTATATTGTCTAAGCTTAAATATTGTCTGTAGTTTATGCGAGTAGTACACATTTCAATAAAATACGTTTAATGGTTTAAAACGCGAAATATATTAGTCATCTTATTTACAATTTATTTACCTATAGCCACTTAATCATGGGTAGATTGAAGATGGAGGGTGTAAATATGATAACTATTATATTTACCGTTGTAACCGTTATAAGTGTTTTATTTTTGAATGTGTGATACTTAATTTAGTGTTAGCTTAGATGTATTTATTATTTGAAATAATTATACAAAATTCAAATCATTTTACTTTATAGCACCTAAATTAGATGAAATATTAACCATTTAGAGACAGCTGAACTATAATTGATGGATATAGTAACAAATGCGACTGGTTCGATAATATTATGTCACAAGTGTTGGCATATCCGCGAGGTGCTAATATCTAGTGCTAAATACACTATCAACATCAGCTACTTACTTGACATTGTCATACGTTTTAGCATTGTTAGTGCAATTATTGTCTATCTATGACATTGTCCTTGTACGCGCCAAGGATGTGTGCAAGGACGGTTTTAATATTTCCTAAAATTGGGCGACTCATCTGACATCATACCCACATGTTACATGCAAGGATACTTTTTTTAATGATAGAGTTTAAATACCTCAGCTTATAGCATTTGCACAAGATGCGCTGTCGGCCTATTTTGGCTTTGGATATTCGGAAATCCACAGACTGAAACCAAAACGCGTTTAAGCTTCACAGTTTTTTAATCAATGGAATGAACACAGATGTATTATAAACATTTTAATACATACATTACCCTCACTTTTTTATACCTAGAAATGTAACCCACGATAAGTTCGACAAAACATATCTCAAAAAAATGCGAAACTAGTAAGACTTTCAATGTTTGCGGTCTTAATGCTTCGTGGAGTCAAATTTCCAACTTATATCTAGGTCAAAGGTACTTAGAACATTACGAAATCGAATGCTTCACTGCCTAGGTCTAAGTTATGCCCTATGAGATAAATAAACGTGACGAAGCATACATTTACACTTACGCTGCAAGGTTCTCTTTCTCAAGTTTATTCTATAACAGTGTTTACTGAATCATTTAATAGCACTATATCGGGTTTTCCTATGACCTAGAGACAAATCGTATATTAAAGTTTAATTAGGAATAAAGGATTATATTAAACTTCAAACATAATGTATTATCATATATAAAGACTAGCTGTGCCAGCGACTTTGTCCGCGTAGAATCATTATTTTGGGCATCCAAATTCGTTTTTGCAATCTTTATAAACTTAAGCTGTTACGCACGACGTCGGTCGCGTCCCTACCCGTAGCTCTTTGCTTGGAAGATAGTCGTATATCGTTGCAGACTATTCTTTAGATCATTCATTATTTTTTGATATCTTGAACTGTTTTTGCAGCGTACGCCTCGGAAACCCATAATGATGAATGATTTTTCCAACTTTTTCCTGTTTCGTGCTTATATTAGTCACAGGGATGTTCCTTCCCAGATAAATGCTCTAACGAACACAAAACACTGAGTTTAGAACGTTCAGACAACAAACTCTTCAGCTTTATATATTAGTATAGATATATTTTAATACAATTTTGTTATGTGGGTAATTTATAAGTATGTATTACTGAAAATATTTTTAAAAATTAGATGTTCTGTATCTGTTTTTTTTTTAAATTTAACGTTCATAAGGAGATTCAAATATTACATGTTGTTTGTGTAATAAATATTGTTTGAGTCCAATCTAATATCGTATATAAATAAATAATTTTATCTTTATTTCAAGAGAACGCCATGGTTGCGTGAGAAAAATGTTTCGTAACTCAAGGCTCTCTAGTATATTTTAAACAAAGTTGAGCAACACAAATTGAGCCACGGTCTTAATGTAAAATACAGTTATCACCTTTTCTTGCTTTAAATAATAAAAAAATACTAGATGGCGAGGCATGATACAATGGTACAATATCCAAAATCAATTAACATTTTTCCTCAAAATCGTGATAATTTTTGTTTGGCTGACGTGAAGTAAAATACCGCAACCTTAAAACATCTAAACAAGATACGCTGTCGCCCTATTTTAGCTGTGGATATTCGGAAATCCACAGACTGAAACACGATTCAAGTTCACGCTTCTTCATCATGTCTTGAAACATGATATACTATATCTGGAATGTATGGATATCAAATGGGAGGTAGGAATATCAAAGTGATGTCCGGGTCAGGATAAAAAGGTCAACATCTTGTTTACCTGGAAATTATTTTACTTGGGTTTTTCACCTTCCATTAAAATACCCCAAAGTATATTTTTTAAATACTGTCTGTGGTTTACGCTAGTAGTGCACATTTAAATAAGCTGTGGTCACGGCTGCTCTAGTTGAAAATAATTTTCAAACAACTTTAACTTTTTTTTACGTTTTAAACCGTTAAAGTGTTTTATTTAAAAGTATATTTTTAAATTTATATAACCTTTGATATGTAGTTTCACTCTCATTGTTGTTATTTGAGTATTTTGTTTGCCAATAATAATTGTTAAATGCCATTTGTCGCATACTCTATGAATGTATAAATTATAAATGTATGAAAATGATTTAGCGCTCGCAGACCAGTAAATAAATAAATTAAAAATACTAAGAGTATGCAGATATTGCAATGAAAGAAAGATTTTTCTCGTAAAATGTTGTTAACATCCGCGTAAACACAAGATAAATTATATGAACATATCTTATTATCCAGTTATTTTATACTACATAGGACCTACCTACATTCCAAAGAGTATAGATGTTGAATAATTTATTACATTTTCATGTCCCTAGCGAGTACTTTACTAGTACCTATACTCAAAGTTATCCTTGATTTCTATTAAAAATACATTGATAAACGAACAATATCTTTATTAGTACCGTGTACGTACAACTTACAAAGACATTCATTAAAAAGTTGAATGTTTTAAACTTCATTAATCTACTGTGTTTTTGTTTATTAATTATAAATTATACTTGCTTAGGAAACTTAGGGCCTTTAGGCATACGATTTATAATAATAATAATATTAAGTAAAGTTTCAAAACTTGAAGGATTTTTACCAAAGGGCTAAGCACTGACTGCCCCTATTGCCGGATGGTTCAAGGTACTGCGTTAAGCATGAGGTTCTGAATTCGAATCCTAGGGAAACGATTCATTGTTTGGGTCGGGCAGGACACAGAACTGTAGTCAATTATTTGTAAAAGAACCGGTCAGTGAAAAAGAGACAGAAATATGTTCGTCCCTTGCATGGGAAGCGAGAATTTAGTACGCTAAGTGCTATTCTACTTCGATTAACTATTGTGCAAAGACATGCAGACAAAAGTAGAAATGTGCGTGTTGATATCACAAATAATTCAGATTCGTGTAGGAAAAAGGTAGCTATTGTAATTAACATGAATACTGGTTTAACGCATTTGGCTGGGTGAAAGTTGGCGCGAAAGTCGAACTTGGGTAAATGAGTTTGACAATACTAATTAATTACTAAGCTTTGATATTAAATAGAACACAGATAATAAATATATTTCGAAAATATTACGCTTAATACAAATGTTTGAACGTATAGAGTGTCCGTCTTGTAAATTCTAAACTATAAATAAAGCATTTTAATGGTTTAAAACGCGAAGTATATTGCACTTACATATTTGGAAATTATTTTAACTACGGCCTGACGTTTCGAAAGTTTTGCAGCAGCTGTGATCACGTCTCCCCGTAAACAAATATTCATCAAGTTTTAAACCGTTAAAGTATTTTATTTAAATGGATACTACTCGCATAAACTATAGACAGTATTTAACTCTGACCTTATTAATTTAGACATATAATTCTAAAATTATATACTTACACTCCAACAACGCCCGGGAGTTCCCCGAAGAAGTCCTTGCGCACTTCCGACTTATATTTGACCAGGCACGGCATAGCTGGCCTGAACGGAGTCGGACCCTCGCGTCTGTACATCCTCTCAATTTCATCTGCATCATAAACAAATAGCAAATCCGGCCTGCCAATCAATCCGCCCAAACGCACAATCCTTCCATACGTATCCAGGAACCGTTGGGTCACTTTCGCGAACTCGGATATATCGAACTGGCCTATCACGGGTACCATTCGCCACGTATTCCCCAAAAGGGGGATGGGTTTGGGCCCGGGAACCTCGGAATAAGGTTTTGCGTTCGCGAATATCTCATCTGTAAGGGAGGCGGTGGGGGCAATTTGGGAGCGTTGTCTTTTTGAAAAGGGGCAACCTGTGGCGGCTTGCCGCGTCCCTTTGATTGAGAATGGGCGTATATAGCCCGTGAAGGATTGTAGCGAACGCCCCATGATGCCCACTAGGGACGGCGGTCTGCGGATGACTGGTGCGAGATTAAAGTCGGCGGCAGATTTACCGTTGGGTGGCGATGCAGTCACGGACGCGCGTTCTCTTTTTTTATTAAACTTTCTACAGCGACGTAGCGTGGAATGTTTAACTGTTTTATTTTAGATCTAAGATCTTACGTTATAATTTAGTCTTTATTAATTTACATATATTGTAAGCAATCTAATGTTTAAATAAAACACTTTAACGGGTTTACACGAAATATATTAAGTAAGTTAAATTATTTTAACTACGGCCCTAATATTTCGGATGATTTGCAGGAGCTGTGGAAACGGGGAGACCACGGTTAAAAGATGGTTAAAAGATATTTAATATAAGCAGTTTGTAGTGTAAGGTTTCACAATTGAATGCCAGGATTTAGGTAAACAAATTTAAGATGGTTTCTAAACGTTTGTCCTGTATATAAGCTAAAAAATGTATAGTCGTCTTTTGTGCGAGGCAATCGAGAGAAAAGCGAATTAGTTTTGTAATCAAACCACAATAATAACCGAAAAGAAAGCGTGAGTTTGTTGAGTTTTACAAGTATGTATTATATTACTTATGACAAATAAAGATATGCCAAAGAACAATGGCCAAATCGTATCTGACGACGACCGACAAAGATATTAAAAAATTCGCAATTTTTTTTATTTACTTTAGGAATAGAACGTAAAAAATATTTCATGATAGCTTTATCATGAAATATTTTCATGATAAAGCTATCATGAAAAAAAATGTGGATTTTTTATTTCTGAACGCGATTTATAAATACATATTTTTAATCTGTTTATTCAGAACGTAAAATATTTACAAATATAAATACTTTTAGTACTTAAATTTTTCAAATACGCAGATAATGACAATACTAATATAAACTATTAATAATAATAATTTATTATTAATATTTTTTGATAGTTTTAGCTTTTTTGTGGTTAAACAACAGCATTTTGAACATTTGCGTAGAATGGAATGATTTGCCATGGACGCGCTCATTGGTTGATATTTGACTTTTAATATCACTAACTGTTGTACCTTTGTATAATACGGCCGACGTAACTTCGCGAGTCTGAACATAGCTTAGGCGAACTTTGGCACATGTACACTCGTAAAGAAAACGAATACTGCCATTTATTTTCGTTACTGGGTTAAATGAAAGATTTTAAATATAGCAAGGAAAAGTAACATACCAATAATTGATTCAAAGAGAATAAGGGTCACTTATCTTTCACTAAAATACTGAAACAAAACAAAAATATAACAAAAGAGAAATAATAGTAGTTAATTTAACAATAAACAATCACTTTTCTAACTGACAGCGCTTAAGACAGAGATAACGAAATAAACGCCAAGGAGTGACCGAGCCAGTTTACCGAACATTACCGAATAATATATGTACGAAGCATACCGAAATATTTGGTAATATTGTTGTTAAAGTTCATTGAGAGTGTCGTTTAATCGATTCCTATTGAAATAGACAAAATTAGATCGTAGAAATATATTTGTTTAAAAAGCTTTAAAGAAGGTAAAAATATACACAAATAGTAATTATATAAATAGGACCTCATATTTAACTAAATCAAGTCGTTCAATAAAGAAAGTTTTGAATTATTTCATTTTCCTTTAAAAGTAATCATGATTTCGTTTATTAACAACACCATTCAACGTTTGATTGACAGTTTACCTAAAAATTAAATGTCAAAGTGACAGTTTTGACAGAATGTACTATAGTACATTCTGTCAAAACTGTCACTTTTTATGCATTATTTGTTTCGAAAGTATACTTTCGAATAATGCATAAACGACCATATTAAATATCCTTATACTAAATTATATCTAAATTAAGATTTTAAAAGTATTAAAATTAACAATGTTATCAGAGTTTGAAAAAGAAAAAGTGTTTTGGACACGAAACATGAATTTAAATTTAGTGAAGTTCATTCAAAGCAAACCGAATATCTGGCATCCAAAACATCCTAAATATACGTCGAGTGCAGCTAAAGATCACACTTTTGCAGAATTCGCAGCTAAATACGGAAACCAATTTTCTGGTGAAGCAGTAAGAGGCAGGTGGACCAATATCCGATCTACATTTGCTTATTATTTAAGAAAAGTAAAGCAAAATGAAGTAAGTGGAAATAATTTACACATCCATTTATTAATTTTAACAGTAATGGTATTTAAATTTAAATAAAACACTTTAACGGTTTAAAACGCGATATATTAGTTAAAAATCATTTTCAAATAAGTTTAACTAATATATCGCGTTTTAAACCGTTAAAGTGTTTTATTTAAATGTGTACTACTCGCGTAAACTATAGACAGTATTTAGTAATGGTATTATCTAACCTCCGGGATTAATATATTGCTTTTTAAGGCGCAAACAGCTGTTGCTTTGCTGTATAATTACCATTATCATATAATTATTGACAATGATGTTCAAATGTTATATTTTTGTGTTTTATTTCAATTCAGATACAGATAAAGTACAATGAGATATAATTGGAGAAATTTTAATACGTTTCAGGATTATAAAGTTAAGTGGCCTCTATGGGAGCCATGTCAATTTTTACTTAAGATAGGAAAAATTACAATACAGGAAATGCCCTCTGAGAATAAAGAAATATCAATTGAAGTAGGTTACTTTTTTTATTAAAGGTTTTGAAATTGATTAGAAAACTGTCTTAAACAGTCTGCATGCATTAATATTTTACATTTTATAATGAGCTTCTTACTAACATCATACTCTTTCTCCAGGATTTTTCTGATTCGGTAGAACAGGTAGATGATTGCAAAAGTGACGATTTTGTTATGGATAATAATTGCCTATATGATTCAAGGGTTTCTTGCCAAGGTGTAGCTGAAAGTATATTAAATATTTTCCAAGGCGTACAAAACGACGCCTTTGGCTTAGTCCAGTCAAGAAATGGCATGGTTGGAAAGGCAGTAACTGAACAATTAAGTAAATTAAATTCCCTGGAAGCTACAAAGATGTCTATGAAAATTATTAATATACTTTGTCTTTATGACCAAAGTAATCCAATGAATCCAAATAACATTAAATCAGAGGAATATTGATCAGTTAAAGAAGTTTGAATAGTGCAGGAAACAGCCATAGACTTTATAAATTTAGTATCTTAAATACTAATGATAACCAAATTTTGTAAATTGTCTAATGTCATGTTGACAACTGACTAGCTAATGTCACCCCTATTGGTCCTAATGTGTATATTGATTATTGTGTCTACAAAAGAATATGAATTCTGTAAACTAGAATCATGTTTGCGTTTGAATATGAAGGAAAATTATATTCTAAAGAAAATTTTGATCTGATGCAAAGCCTGATAGAGAGATGGGATAAGTTACATCAAACAAATATTTTTAGATATAAGTTAGATAATTTGAGAGAAAGAGTTATTGGAAATGCTTATGTCCTACAGGTTAGTAAATATGTACTTACATCCACGTTATGGTGTTCAAATATGAATTAGGTATTTTCAATTTGCCAATTTTCCATGTAAAACATGGAAACTTTTTCAAATTTTGAAACTTGAACATTGTTTAACAGTGAACATTTTTCATGTTTTAAAAATATATATGCTTTAAATTTTACAGTTAAACTGTGATAGAAGTGTTAAGAGAAGGTTACCTGAGCAAATTACTGATATTCAACAGCCATTTGATAAGAATAAATTTAATTTTACAAAGGTGTCTGAAGATGAAATTTTATTTAAATTTTGGGATACACTAGACAAAGGTAATTAGTAACTTAATGTACATGTACATATGAAAAATACCATGGATAATCTTCAGGTTATAAATACCACCTGTTCAAATTTATAAGCTACTAGATGTGCTGTGGTAAAATATGCAAAGATCACATAACCAATAAAGTTGGTTATGTGATTACACCCTGTTCCACTATACCATTACACCATTCAGGATATTAGAAATATTTGACTACTTTGATACTTTTTGAATGAAAGTTATCTTTAGCAGGGTATCATATACACCAAACCTTATACAGTTAAAAAGTATGAACATAACTTATATTATTATCAACAATTCTTGTGTTAATGAAAGTTATTATAAAAATGTATGTTTGTTTCAGCTACAATACATACTGTACTAATAAATGTGAGTCCTATAAACCAGTACCACTCACTTTTGTGCCCATATGTGAACAGAATGCTACCTCAAGTTGTCAGTTTAGAGAGTCTCAAGTTGGTACTTGATGTATATACAATGGCTCAACATCGGTGAGTTTAGGCAAGTAATAAAAATACTCAATGATTTTTATAAAGCAAAAATATAATTTACACTACAGATAGTAAAATGAGTAGCCAATGTATTAACTGTAAGTACATGTTGATAATGATAAATAAACAATGCTAGATTTTTTGTATATCATTCACTTAAGCAACAAATAGTTTGTGTATATTATTCACACAATAGTTCAATACACTTTTTTAAACATTAATTGTCACTGTGTTTTTTTTAGTGATCTACGAATAGCCTTCAACAGTTTATGTGCCCTGGCATCTGTCAACCACTTACATTATCACATAATAATGGAAAAGCAGAACTTACCTGTGGAATCGGCGGTAAATTAAATTTATTCTATATCATAAAAGCTGTTCTGTGCTTGCTATTTGAACCACAAAATCTGAAATATATTTTGTTTATGCTTTTTACCTCACTTTCAGTAACTTTAAATGTATAAAATCATATTTGCAAAAATTAAATTTCTCCCTTTTTAGGAATGCAGAAAAATTAAAGGGCCCGTGTGGATAACAGAAGGCTATCCAATACCAGCATTTTGTTTCAATGCATGCTCTAAAGGCGCCGCACAGAACATATTCAAATTGATCCACTACTTCCTAGACAACTCAATAGCACATAATATTTTCATAACCAGAGGCTCTTCTTTTGATGGAGAAGGGGAGATAACAAGGGTGTTTATTTGGGCCAGAAAGAGTACAGCAGGAGCAAAACAGTTGTCTGCATTCAATGTAGCAGCTTTGGAGTTAAGTGGACTGTTTGCTGTGTACTGTAAGTGTTATAATCTTATAGTGAATGCAAGAGATCTTAGATTAAAATGCCATTGAATCATGTTTCGGTATCTTACTTATACCATTATTATATTATGAATTATTATGCTATGAATTTCATTTTTTTTTTGACATTGTTACAGCTATGGAACATTTTGATAGTTTAGATACAAAGGACTTGGAAAGAGAGTTAGTTAAATGGAAAGTGGACAATTTGGAACAGTTATGTAGAGAAATCGCAGATCTATATTAATGCTTTAATAATAAGGAAAATAAATAAATTATATTGTTTTATAGTAAAATATTGAACATGAAATATATGTTTAATTATATTATTTTGTTTATGTAAGACCAAAACCGGATTTCCTTGATCTAAAACTCCAACTGATAGTGATTAGGTACTCTTACCTAAAAAAAAAACCCTAAACAAAATGTATCCCTAGTTGAACAAAGTAACACACATTACTCATTCCCCTTGACCTCCTGATTGACATTACGCTACAATAAATAACATCCACTTCAGTCCGTTTAAGACCATATGCGCGTGCGCATCGCAACATGAAACTCTACGTTTTGCTATTTACAGTGTTCATTTTAATACAGTACAGTGATAGTCGCTACGTCGATTGGTTACCGCAGAATTTAGTGGATAGGTTCACAAATAAAACCTCTCAAATCACAAACTATGTGCGAGAAAAAGGACGCAGTCTAAAACAGTTCTATGTCGAAAATGTCCGCAACAGGATCACGTCTTATCTCACTTTTAATCAAACAGAGTTGAATGATAAACCGACTAGGATGAAGAGAAAGTTCCACGACTATCTCGAAGACGCGCGGGCGACAGATAAGAAGGTATTCGATGTTATCGCCCCAGAGAAGATAGAACACCCCTGCAACGATAATGATCCAGGCATACATATGACTACGCCACAATTGATCGCACTGCACGGTTACCCGTCTGAATCTCATACAGTCGTCACTTCAGATGGTTACATTTTAACCCTCCATCGGATACCTTATTCGAAAAACTCTACCAAAATGAGTCCACGCAAAACTGCGCTGCTGCATCACGGTCTTTTGGGCAGTTCCGCTGATTGGATCATTCCTGGACCAGAGAAGGGTCTGCCCTATATTCTATCTGAGGCGGGTTACGACGTGTGGCTAGCGAATGTCCGTGGCAATACTTACTCCAAAGCCCACGTCTCATTGAACACGGATACTTTTGAATTTTGGAACTTCACGTTTCACGAGGTCAGTCAATATGATCTGCCAGCGGTCATCGATTATATTATGGACATCAAAGGATGGGACGCTAAAATCAATTACATAGGCCATTCAATGGGTACTACCGTCCTATTCGCGATGCTATCGACTAAGACGCATTATAATAAGGTATTAAGAGCCGGCTTCGCACTCGCCCCGGTCGCGTATATGACAGATATAAAAAGCCCAATACATCTGCTGGCAAAATACAGCGATAATCTTGGCTATCTGTTGAAATTACTCGGAGCGAATGAGTTTCTGCCGGCCAACGCAGTTTTGCGATGGCTGTCGAAGCACGCATGCGAGATAAACCAACTAGAAGAAGCGATTTGTGAGAACTCCATGTTCGTTCTGTGCGGGCACGATGAGAAACAGTTCAATAAGAGTCTGCTGCCTCTGATTTTGAGCCACGACCCTGCCGGCGCTTCTACAAAAACTTTAATACATTACGCGCAAGAGATTCGCACAGCGGGAAGATTCCAGCAGTTCGATTACGGTCCGGAAGGGAACTTAAAGCAGTATGGTACACCATCGCCACCACAATACCCGGTGCACAAGATAACCCTTCCTATCGCACTAATTAGTTCACAAAACGATTGGCTAGCCAGTGACGTGGACGTCACTAATTTGTATGTACAACTCGTTAACCCGATAGAGCATTACATAGTGCCTTTAAAGGAATTTAATCATGTAGACTTTTTGTGGGCGATCGACGCTCGGAAATTGGTTTACGATAAGCTTTTAGATTTGTTGGAGGAGGGAGTTAGTAATCCGTCACCGTATACGCTTCAGCAGTTAGACTAGGAGTGGGTCCTAATGGTGTTATTTAGTTAAGATATATAAAATACACTGTTAACAATGCAAACGAAAACAAAATTGTCAGTCAAAAGTTTTCTAGTAGTACTTGAGTTAAAGATTTTCATGGATAAGTAGATTTTTTGTAATGGAGAACTATTAGTCTTTCAATACCTATGTGTTAAATGTAACTACTTGATACCAAAGTTGTATAGTACTGAAAAAATAAATAGATAAAAGAAAATTACCTATACTCGTTTGTCTTGCTTATTAAGGGCAAGAGTTCCTAAGTTTGAATCGAGAGGTATTCCATAACGCAATGAAATTATTAATCGATGATAACAGTATCAGTGTTGGGTAAAGCACAGAAATTCGATCAATTAAAGATCAATCAAAAAAAAATCCCCATACCCCACATTAGAGACCCAAGAATAATTTCCTTGTTTTATAATTTCATACATGTTAGTAAAAAAGGATAAACAATTACAACTCGCCTACCTAATTGATAAGTAATTTAAAACAATAACTGTAGATACTAGGTATTTAATAACAAACTGCGTGAATCACTCTGTTATTGATGCAAATAATTTAATAAACAATATTATGACTCATATTATGTAGTATAACAGTTGACCGCGCGAAATGAACTTTGTACTTTGAAATTCTGCATTAGATTAGGAACCTACAATACTGTAATAAATACCTAGGAATATAACTAAATATCGGGTAAATGTATGGGAGCCAAATCCATAAGATATAAGATTTTTTATAACTTCTGCACAAATTCGTTTCTCGGAATGTGTATTGCTGTGAAAGCAATTTTTGTAATTAAAAATGTTTAAAGGCTTCTTACGCTGCGTTTATCGGGAAATATATCTACAGCTTGACATCATTTTTTACAAAAAAATATATCACCAATTTGTTATTTTAATATAAACGTACGAACTTAGCTCAGAAAATATAACTGTACCTATTATAATAACTCAATTTCTTCTATTTTTATTTAATGAGCTCTTGTGGCTAAATAAATGCATGCAGAATTACTTAAGTAGGTATAAGACATAATGTGAATTTAGAGTTTTAAATACAGTCTAATCTACTTAAATTTATCGAGTTTTATAAGTATCATCAGTGAAAATTCTGGCCAAGCATAAAAATGAATACAGTAAAAAAAATGTACAATACAGTAGCAACAATGTAAAAGAATGTTTATATAAAAATATATTAGGCTTGTAGAAGTCAATTGTCTTTACATTATTGTCCATTGTCAAAGTCAAATTCAAAACAAATAAAAACGTAAATATAACCTTAAAAACCCAAGAATGAATTTGGTTATTTAACTAATATTAACTCAATTATTGTTTAGCAAGTTAATTGGATGATAAGAATGTCATGGCGTTTTTAAAAGGTTGGCGTTATGGTGCATTGATAGGTGGTTTAGTTGGTTTCGTTGGGTTGACTTTATATCCCATTGCTTTTAGTCCTATGATGGATCCGTCACAATATAGTAAGTGCGAATTTCTTGCATTACAGTACTATATAACTGTAAAAATAAACAGCTGTTTTAGTGACAATATGTTAATGTTTATGAAAATTTGTGTTAAAGTATACTTTTGAATTTTTAGAGGAGATTCAAAAGGAAACAAGAAAAAATATCAAACAAGAAGATATTCAACCAGGCAGTAAGTAAACATTTGATATAGATTGTCTAATAGTAATTATATAAATATAATAGCGAAAAAATTTATGAAAATGTGTGATAGTAACTATTTTATTTATGGACCACCTATATGGCTTAAGAGCAATAAGTATGTACAATAAAATTAACAAAATTTAAATTCCAAAGCAATTTAATGTTGACTTGTAAAACACGGTTCACTTTTGTTAACATTTTTAATCTACTTTATAACTTGTCAACATATTTAGTGACATTTTCTTTTTCAGACATGAAAGTTTGGTCCGACCCCTTTGGCAGGAAGTAGCCACAAAATGTGAAATTGAAATGTTACTTAATGTATATATAATTTATTTAGAGTTTAATATAGTTTAGTGAAACATTTTTTTCTTATTAAGCACCATGTATTCATTGTTTTCCAGTGAATTCTGAATTGTGGACATAGAAAAAATAAGCTATTTATAAAAGAAATCTTTTATTGTGAAAATTGCAAGTACCCTATTGAGAACTCCCCAACACTAGCATTTCTATAAAAACAGTGGAGACTGTCACAATTTTTCATAAAAAAATAAACCTAAATATATTTACATAAGTGCGGTCTTTGTAGCCAAATTTTAACCCTTAGTGATATAAAGATATATAACACTACATGTCAGCATTGTTATAGCGTCGCAAACTTTTATCATATATCTGCACAACGCTGAACTTAATTCTACCCTCTGCAGTCACCGTAGCTTACTGGCTGTATTTCCACCAAAAGTATTATATCAGTATTTATAACCCTTAAAAATATATTTTTAACAAGCCATCACATATTTATTTCTATATATTATAAATCTATAACATGCAATTTATTTACATGCATACAACATATAGGAGTTGTATGCTATATTTGTCAGTACAATTCAACTATTAATTTAACATAATATAACTTAAAAATATCTTAAACATGTTATATGACATCACATTTCAACGGCCACATCCATTTAGAATTCGTTGCTTCACTATGTTAATTTAGTATAGTCATTAAAATACTATGGGCTGAAAATTGCCTTACACTTTAAGAAATCATGGAAAATTATCACTAATAAGTTGCATTGAGCGATATATTTTCTCACACGCTCATTGGAGTAAAAATATTAAGTGATTAAAAGTTTATATTAAAACACTAAAGTAATAGATAGAAAAGCTATATAATGACGCATCACAATTTAAAATTATTATTATGTACATTGCGCGACAGATTAATAAAAATTTTAAAAATGTAAAAGTTAAATCATTATACAAATGGCCTTTGTAGCAGTGTAAGTTAAGGTATTCTGAGAAAAATAGCTAAGTGTGAAAATTATAATTTTTAAGATTGACTTAAAAAAGATATAAATTATAAATCATTTTCTGAGGTTTATATGAATTAAGTAAGTGGTATAATCTAAGAAAAATGCACTTATGTTTTTTAACCTGCTATAAGTATGTTAATTAATAGAACTAACCAGGTAAATTACTGTCGCATTTTTATTAAAATAGGAATACATTAAAAACATCTTGACTTGACTGACATAACCTCAGCATGGAAGGTATAGATTAATATCAATACCCTTATAATGAATATGTTATTACAATTGTAATAACATCTCCATTTATAACTGTATACACCATTTATATAAAATTATATGTACCCACAGTCTAACAGTTAAACTACCCACATCGCACTGTGAAAAAGCGGGTAGTTCAATTGTTAAACGATTTCAACTGAGGAACTACGTAAAAATAGGCATATACTAAGATATATGACATTTTTGACAAAACTAAATATTGTATAACGAACTTCCTATTTTAAAGATAACCAAACCTCTTCATCTCTAAGCATATTGCATATAATATAAACATTTTTTTTCATCGCTTACTTAATATGATATTGCATGATCACTATAATTTTGTACTGCAATTTAAAATTATCCTTTTTACCAAAAATAAATTGATCTCATGCTTGACCGATTTGTACACTGCTTTATTGGTTAAAAACTTATTTTAGGTCCATTCAAATAGAAATTAAAACTATATCAATGTAGAAATTCATCGTCATCGCCCACCTGAAAATAAATTTAAAGACTACACTAAAAGTAATAAGGCGCATACATTATGTTAGTCATAATGTATGTGGCTTATCGTGAACTTCTTCATCTAAAGTAGTAACAAATGCCACACCTAGTACTATATAAACGACGAATGTAAACTATCAAATAAGTATCACAGACATCATATATTACCTGCAGGAAATATTCAAAATCGCTCCGATGACAATTTCCTTCTGCAGAAAAGGTAAACTTATGGAAAGTACCATCTTCACATATAACTGAAATGCACAAGATTGTGTTACTTAAAATATCAAGCAAACATATTGGTTAATGGTAGAAATATATAGTTATAAGGATCGTTTAAAATAAATAGCTTGTTGTTTCCCAAACAGTTGTTTTTAATCAATTTATAATTTTCTGAAACATGTTGGGAGATCTAGATATCAAATGGGTGATAAGAATATCGCATTTCCGAATATACAAAGTCTAGAGCGCATCTTGTTATATGGCTGGTATAATTCAATCAATCATAATGTCAAATATATTTTAGTACTCTTTGTGCACGACTTATGTGTCCCATTAAGATTGCCTACGAGTTCAAACCTTCATAGAGCGACATGCCTTCAGTATATTGCAGAACCAGATTAATTTAATGAATTTCTAGCACCAGTGAGGACAGAAATAAGTGGTGGCCAACTCTTAGGCCCTGGAGAATAAGCCGTTGGCCTTGGTTATGGCTAATTTTGTGAAGATAGTTTTTGAGCCCCTTAAAAGTCCATCTATAAAAGAGAAGACCTGTGTCCAGTAGCGGGATGTTATGTGCGTGCTGGCTATATACTCACCGACGGCGCTAGTATCGTCTGTGAAGGCGCAGAGTGCCTTGATCGGGTTCGCAGCTGGTGTGGCACATACATGGGCAAAGTTACCACGAGCCGCCCACACGTGCAGCGTACCTTTGTCTGACACACAGCATACTAGCGAACCAGAGCAATTGAAGTTTATGCTGAAAGATGAAAAAACAACAAATTATAAACTCGTAAACCTTAAAGGTGAGACAACTTAGAGGAAATAAAATTTATAAATAAAAATATATTATTGTTATTTTGCACCCACAAATAAAAATCTATTAACAGTTTCGGGTTTGCTCATATGACACTTGCATCCCCTTCCATCCATCCCCCCTCTTATCATAAAGCTGACATGTACTAATCTAACTTAGATACAATCACGCCACCTCTAACTAATATAAGCTGAACAAACGACAAACGTTGCTTCAACTATTTTATATTAGTATATAAGTTACATGAATATATTTTTATACAATAAAATAAAATTTGACAAATAGCCCATACCAGTATACATCAGCGTAGTCAGATCCGCGCCGTAACTCGTGAATCATCTGTTTGGAGCTGGTGTCCCAAAGTCTAATGATAGTGCCCCGCTCTGAGGCAGTCGCTAGCTTCGCCCCATTTGGGGACAAACTGAGACAAACCAAGTCGGTTTGGTGACATCCTACTACCGCGGGGGAACTAGACTGAGCACCTTTTACAGCCCGCGAGACATCCTGAAAAAAGATTATAAACTGTTAGAAAATACAATTTATATAAATTGTGGAAGAATAGTATATATGTATAAACTTCTACATTTATGCAAAATATGTTATCTGTAGACTTGTCCTTGAAAGTAATCCAAAATATAATCTAATCAAACGTTTGAAAACTTTATTATTTTTTACATGTTATTGCACATGAAGCGCAACAGCACGGAACGCTGACGATGCCGGTTCAAGTCCTGCCCGAGTCGAAAGTTTTTTCAATTTATTTTCGATTTTTAAATTATAATCTAATCAAATTTATTAAAGTGTTACAATACACTTTTGAACGCCATAAAGAATAATATATGAATGTTAGTTATTAAATTACTAACGAGAATCCAGTCATTTTTTTAGGAATACGATTTTTTTTTATTGAAGTAAAAACAGGTACAATGCAGGGGATTAAAAAAGTTTATATACTTAATATATTAAACGGAGTTACAGACAATGGTGTGAACTAAACTAATAATAACTATTAGAATTGCTCGGCTCCATTCTGAACAAAATCAACTCACCAATAATTGCAACGAACCCTTTCGATGCGCCGGCGCAGCCAACAGCTGTATCGCGTTGGTATCGGTTGCGAGCGCGCACAGCGGTCTAGCAGACGCCGGAGTACGGAGCAATGCGACACGCTGTAACGATGGCAGTGATAGAACTTGGATCGAGGATGTTAAAACTACCGCCACTCTGCAATGCATTAATTACTGATATGAACATTTCGGGTATCGCCATGATTCGTTCAAAACTAAAATATGAACTAGTTCATATGGCATTAGTAAAACTTAGGACAGGATAAATACATATTAATAATCTTTCTAGAGAAAATTCGCAATCTCCCAAATTTTATCTTTGAGCTTCCACAGTTTTTTTCAAATTTTTAAGGAGTCTAGACTTGTGGCATGAGTATAGAAACAATACTCCGTCCGTTTGGCAGTTCGTGTTTAATTGTACTTAAAGACAGACCCAAATACAGATTTTCAAATGTTTATATTGAACCATTAAAATATAACACGAATCTTAAAATGCCAACTCGCACAGAGCGTGGGCGAAAACGAGCCGATATTTAATTTGTAATAGAGGAAGTACAAAGGCCTTGGTATGTCCTTAACTTTGGTCAAAATTCGTGTTCAGCATATTAATTACATGTTTAGACAATACCTATTTTAAATTTACACAATGTATGGTAAAACCATCTGATGGTATAGTTTTATTTAGCTTACCTTTTATGACATATATACAAAATTCTTAATAAGCACTTACTGATTGATAAATCTCCGAATTTGTACATATATGTATCTTTAATTTAAATTATTTTATTATTGTGTTAGTGGGTGAAGGATGTTTCCTATCTTATCACATTCTTTTGTATTCTTAAGAGCGTGTACGTCGCGTTTGAATAATGTTTAAGATATTGAAATTAAATTACATTATAATGATTTTTTTATAAGTATTTCTAGTATATATTGCACCCCATTCTGGTATATAAGTTTTTATTCTGTATCATTATTACCATTTGTGCAATAAAGTAAAAATAAAATAAAGTAGTCTATATGCGGCTCTCGTGAAATTACACTTTAAATTTGGTCACTATTTTTTATGTACTCACTTATCTTTCCTGGCCCGCAAGGCTCGTATCGGCGACTTAAAGAGTACTTCTGCTTTAAAGGCTCGCTGCTGGTCATCAAGGAGCATGAGGCTACTAGGTTTCCGGGCACGCACTACCAGCAACCAGTTGGTACGAAACACCATTTCACATAGTGATACTTCCCCCAACTCCTCTTTGTCTGAAGAGAATATTTAAATTGTAACTTCATATTTCTTTTGAAAGTAAAACAAACTATATTGATCATATCACATATGTTACTTAAAATTTTTTTTTGATGTAAATATTACAAAACAAAGATTTTTTTTACTTGTATACAAGTAAAACAATCTATTTTGATAATTTGTGTACCGCTTTTTAACTGATGGAGGTACATCTCGCGTGTCATTAGTTAATAAAACATTTGCGCTATAGTAGCAGCAGCATGTAGGAAGATATGAGCTGGATAGTATAGTCCTTACACATCCACTATTTTAGGCCTATCCTAGTAATCCATAAATATCATTGTAACTTGAATGATTATATGTATTAATTTTATATACTTACTATAATGTGCCTTTTCCACGAGCGGGTCCACATTATAGATGCGCAGCCCTGATGTGAGACAACAGGTGAAGCAGCCTGCAAAAGGGTAGACTGTATTTTTATACCCTAATATCTATAACAACTTCTTCAACTCACTTAAAGGAAGAAAAAGGTTTCAGCATAATAGGCTGAATATATATATATATATATATATTTTATTAATTAAATAACAATTTCATTAATTTAACCGCTGCGTTTACTATAATGTAATTTATTAGTAATTAGGACATAAAAAGTTGGTTATAAAAAATATTTTCTCAATTAGTAGTTTTGCTCATTTGTCCGTTAATTAAAGTGTAATTATTATGAATTATTGATGTCATTACCTTACTCATATAGAAAATGTAATAGAACATATAAATATGCCTAAATTATAATGTTAGGTACTTCTTTAAAATTATGTTTACATACTATTTATTCAGCATATAAACATTATTTAACTGAATACTTAATTCCATGTTATCACCTTCATGAGTTTTGTGACTTTAAACCTATTCATTAATTGATTGATTTAAATTGTATGTTTCAATATAGTTTAATAATTTAAAATTAAAAGTAGATAGTTAATACTGAAACGCATATATAGCATTACTTAATGTAAATATTATGCACACAAACGGAATATTTTGACAAAGGCTACGCATGTACGCAAAACATTTTAAACTACGTAGGCGCGCAAACTAAAAATATAAACAACACGTGGATTCGTACTGCGACAATGGCCTAGCGCTCTACGTAATTTTTAATTATTCACAACACACGCTTACCCCTGACACTAACGCCCTATCGCTGTACACGCATGGGTCAGCCACATCATTAAAAATATCAAGCTTAGCACGTCTTGAGAACAAAGAACTGAGTGACTAACTAGGAAGCCTCTACACACCTTGATTCTGGTTAAAAGCCAAGCTTGTGATCCCGCTGCTTCTTCGGCGCGCCATGTTCGCTCCACAACAAATTTATCATAAACATTGAGTCGATTTTTTGTAAATTACCTTAGTGGACATTTTCACATCGAAATTTTAAATACGCACATTATTTTATTTACATGTTCATTGTGTGCAATACACAGCTGATTTGATGACTGACAACAGTGGTTATTGACAGTTGACACCGACAATTGACTTCAATGACAATCGATGTTACCATATCTGAAATTTATTTGAATGACGTTAATAAATTAGTTAGAATATTATTATTTATTATTTATTTATTTCCGCTCATAAATCCTTACTTTAATTTAGTTAATAAATAATCTTTCTATGAAACTACTTAATTGTTTTTTTTATGTTTTTGCAATATTACAAAATATATAATGACGCATATTTCTTACTAATGATACAAATATTAGCTGGCTGATTACAAAGTTCATTTGGAAAAAATATCAAAATGTTTTTATCTTCCCTCATTCAGGAAATATTTTTACATATCAAAATTTTGGCTTCAAAAGCTATGTTAAATTATGTAGGGTGTCAGTTAGCTAAAGTAGTTATAATAAATTTAAAAAACATTAAACTGCTGAATTAACGTAGTATAAGGTAATTATCTAAGGTGCGTATATATTTTATTCAAGATTTCATGTTTGTTTTCACCAAACATTATCTACAACATGGGATTTTAGTATTTGTTGGTATATTTTTTAGGAAAATAAACATGGATTTCAGCACAACAGTGAATTCTGATTATCAGTGGCCATTTCCAAAACCAATTGTCGGCAAGTAAGTGCATTGTGTCGAATATGTATTTCTTTAAAGATTTGGTGTAGATTTATTAAAAAAAACATTATATTCATATTGGACAAAAAGGTCTTTGCTCACAAATTTCATACAGGCCTTCGTAATTTTAAAATCACTTCAGTTAGCTTTTATCAATTATGTGGTATGAAATAATAAAAAATGCTGAAAACAGTCGTTTCTCGTGTTAAAGTTTACATTTTCTTAAATTTGTCCCGAATTGTAGCGTAACTTAACTCCGTCCCTTACTTTCATAATATAAACGTAAAATCTGGGGCACCTTGATCATTTGTTTGACTTTTACTCTATAAGAGGATTACATTGATAACCATTACTTTTACTTATTTAAGTTTGTTATTATATTTCACATTAAAGTCGTTAAGCTATATTATATTACGCGAATATAATAGCTTAACGACAATATAATGATATATAATTAACAACGCGACTCCATTCGCTTTATAATACGAGTATATGGATATCTTAATATAATTAACTTTTTGTCCAGACCTTGCGAACCACCTTCGCCTGAGGCGGCCCCCACAGTCAGACCAGCGCCGGTAGCTCCATACTGCCACTGCGATGCACATTCTTACTCTCCGCGTGTCGAGCAATATAAGCAACTGCTTGAAAAGGAACAAAAACTATGCCAGGATTACGAACAGCTACGGAAACAGGTTACCTTCTTACTTCTGAAATATTAATTCAGTATATGGTTACTTTATTATTTATTAATAACTGACGTCATTCTAGATGGTGGACGTCACCAACGACATATTGGACCACCCCTGCGATGACCTAGACGCAAAGATGACAACTATGTACCAAGCAACCTTTCAGAAGAGATGTTAGTTTAATTTTAAACTTTTAATTAATGCATATTATGTAAATAAATATAGGTTATTCTGTACCAAACTATTTACATGGCCGCTGGAGCCAGAGCAGCTTAACTACAATTTTATGACTTTACTTCTTTATATGTATTTTTATAGTCTGAAAATATTAATCTGCAAGAGCACAGGCACCGAAAATAGTTAACATAGTTCTTCACACATGATAGTAGGTACAAATTTATTTTCGCCTAAGTTAATTACGCACCTTTATTTTTCTCTTTATTGAAAATCATGTTTGTTATTAGGCCACTCTGGCTCTAGAAGCCTCATATATAACTCCTTAATTAGTTAATAAATTCTCTACTTACAGCATTTCCTGTGACGGACTATAGAAAAATAATCGCTGCATCGCAGTCCAGCGCACCGATACCAATGGAGAGCAATAAACTGGGGGTGTTACGATGTTATAAAGACCCGACGCACTTCACAGAGAACCCTCCAACCGTTCGTCCTACTATAAACCCCCCGGGGGTCGTCCACACGGGGGTTGCCCCCAAATCGATACAGACGTATTTTACGGATTTCCCCGGGAGATCAGAGTATATGGACACGTACAGTGCATCAGCGAAAGCCTGCTGGAGGTCAATGCAAAGGTTCAAAGAGCCTATGCCATCTACGAGGCGAAGGGCAGACGACAGTTGCGTTTAAGTTTCGGCCGTTTTCGTTTTTTAATTTTCTGTCTCGTGCCACTAATAAAGAAGGGAAGATATTGTTTTCTTTAAGTTGGAAAAATCCGTCAAAATAAATCTAGCTTAGCATATCAGTCTTTCGGTCTGTTTTTAAGGAATATTTCTTGGAGCAATCGAAGTGTTAACATCTCCCGATGATGCCGTCCGCACGTGATGGCGAAACGTCGAGAACCGCTTCTCGCTCACGTCGGCCGAACGGCCCGAAAGACGATGATATGCTGAACGATGGCCGTAAAAGCCTTACACAATTTATTAAATCTAGCTTTGTTGTAATCTAGTTGATAATGGAGAGCCTTAGAATACTGGCAACATAGAATTTTAAAATATGACTAGTTAAAATTGAAAATGCCCCTAAATATATTTTTGTCCTAAAAGCAATGTCATAATTATGCGTACAATTATTTTTAACATTTTTATAAACATGAAGAACATAGAACGAGTCACTGCGCAATCTGCAATTAGCCGTCTAGCTAATGTAGAGTAATTTAGCCTAATCCCCCCAATTCTAATAGACCGGTCAATGTCGACTCAATTGTTTTTATACATCCACTAGCTGTGCCCGCGACTTCGTTCGCGTGGAATAGTTACTAGGGGTAGATTTTTTTATTATTTAGGCTGTTTATTAATTTATGTAATTGTGTGTGCTACTTTGCCGCAACATTCTCACCTCACATCACTCCTACTCTAACTCCAACTCCCACTCCCACTCCTATTCCCAAAAAGCTAAAGAAGAAAGTTTCATTGTTCTAGCTTCAAAAACCACGAATTTCCATACAAACTTTCACCCCCCCTTTTGACCCCATACAACCCCGGCGTGAAAGAGTAACAGTAAGTAAAACTAAAGTTTAATGGAATTTAACCGAGACCCACAATTATATTAATAGTATGTTTCACGTAAAGAAGATCATTAAAAGGTTTAATTATTTGTAATCATGATTCCTATCTATTGATGCAATTGGAAAAAATAGCTTTTGCTTTACCTGGAAGTAAACAAATCGCCGATATTCAGTGAAACGCCGCGTTTGGCATTACAAATTCAAATAAGCCATTTCACACCAAAGTTCACATACAAAATTAAACAAAACAAACAAAATAAAGTAAAATGTGTAAAATAATAAGTAGAGAAGATAAAAACCCGAAACGCTTCGCAGTTTCAGTAATTATCAATGGCAAGTAATCATAAATAAAATAAATGAGACAAAAACGATGTGATTTATGATATTGTTTACTATATTATAAATTACAGCATACGGAAATATATTTGAAAACTTTATTATTGTTATTACACATGAAGGCACTATACATATAATTTAAAAATCGAAAATTAATTGAAAAAAAAAAATAATTTTTAGACTCGGGCAAGATAAAGTTAGTCGGGCAGGCATAATAAAGTTTTCAACGTTATAGCTTTGTTATTTCATCTTCAATGATTTCTTAAGCTGTAAAGCATAAGAGGTTGAATCTTAATATGCAAGTGTTAAGGTTGAAATTACATTGCGCGAGAGGTGCATGTATCAATAAGTTGAAAAAATTCGTCGATGAGGTGTAGGACTCGATACCTCGGTTCAAGTCCTGCCCGAGTCAAAAAATTTACAATTTATTTTTGATTTTTAAAATACGGAAATATAGTTAAGTATTATTATATACTTATAAGTATTTTAATGTTGGGTCCAAAATTTGTCAATATTAGGTTTTTTTTTATTATGCAAAAAGAAAGTCACAGAATGGAGGGACAGGGAACGGAAGAGAAAGAAGAAGCTCTCAGAATACATATTCGGGAAGTGGTCGGAGTCACGTGAATTAGATAAGCTTAGGATAGAAGAGAGTGGAAAAGGTTAGATGAGGCCCTAGCCGATTGATATACGGATCTAGGCTTATTATATAAAGTAGATAGGAGACTAGTAGAAAAATAATAATTGTAAATAAGAACCATTTTTATTGTAAGTTTTAAGTTTAGCTTTCTTAAATAATTAACCTTTTCATGTCATTTCATTGGAGAAAGCAATTGATAATAAATTATCATTACAGAGAATGGAATGGTAACTTCAAAGAAGCAGCAAGCTTAGACTAGACTCGTAATAGTGGCCTAGTCGTGTACTTTCGACAAAATGTTTTATTTATTCACTAGTTTCTTAGTAACCTCAGAGTGAAAAACACATTATAAATAGCAACATGAACTTAAAAAAAACATTTTTTTCTACGCTTATATCTTCTCAAAGATAAGGCCCCTAAGTTCCGGGGCCCTGGTGCACTGCACCATACGATAGCTACGCCACTGGATATATTACGCTGCGAACACGGCTTTTCAACTGTGTTCGAAACCTGTGACAATATAACTAGTAACCATAACGAAGTGAACAAATGGTAAAACGGTATTATATTATAACAAAGCAATTGTAATCAACAGATCAATGGTAAACGACAACTCATCGAGTACAATACAATAGAGAACTTTAAATATAAATGGATAAAAACTTTGTCTAGTGGTCTTCAAAAATAGCATTCTGGTAGGTATATAGGATTCGATACGAATAACATCACTAGTTTTTTTTTAACTTGACAACTAGAGTTGAGAACCCCTTGTTGAGACTAAACTATAGTTCTTAGGACTCCTATATAGGAATTGGCTTCAGAAGGCCATAATATCTTATAGCTATAATATATATATGTATGATATATTAAATTATGTCTCGATTTGTTTATGATTGAGGAGAACAATCGTAAGATTCACTTGTCGATACCCATTTCGGTATTTGGAAATCCACAGACTGAAACCGACACGCGATTTAATATGATGGCTTTTTTAACTATGGTCAGTGCTCCGTGACCCGGACGGAATTATGACATTCATACCACCCATTCAATATTCAGATGTCTAGTCCTCGAACATGCTTCAGAAAAATTGAATTTTTTATTGGGTACTTACTGTGCTTTACTAAATAAAAAGCTTTTAATATAGTGAATTATTACAATTTATTTTAATGAAGATAATAGAGGGTCGTGCTTCGTACGCTATGTGCGTTACACATAACGTAATAACTTAAAATATTATTTATTTTCGAGTTTCTTCAATTTAATCCAAATTCCGCTCTCCGGCGCACAGGAGAATGCCGTGGGTTTCACCGGCATGGGGACCTTGGTCCTTTCGTCCAGAACCAATTCGTATTTCGTTAGAAGCTTTACCAGCGCCATCTTAGACTGGATGTATCCTTGACGCACACCTAAATTAATAAAAGGAAATAATATAATATCGCCCGGTGTAGAATAAAATGCTAGAGGCAGAGTGGCCTAATAAAAAAACATAATTTTAAATAAGTAAGTAAGTTTTAATAATAAAAATGTGTAATTAACTTAGGCGAAAATGAATTTGTACGATTATTTGTGCAAGAATTATGTTAACAACTAGCTGTGTCAGCTTCTTTGTCCGAGAGAATCGTTATTTTGGCCATCCAAATTCGTTTTTGCGAACCTCCTCGTCAGTCGCGTCCCTTCCCGTCATTCTTGCAAGTCTTAAAAGTTGGACAAATAGCGTCGAGGACTTTTTAGAACATTTATTAGTCACAGGGCAATGTTAGAGCCTTCCTCGATAAATGCTCTAACGAACACAAAAATAATTTTTCAATTCGAACCCGTAGTCCCTGAGATAAGCGCTTTCAAACAGACAAACAAACTTTTCAGCTTTATTTATTAATATAGATTTTCGGCCACTATGTTCTTGTAGATTAAGATTTTTAGACTATAAAAATATAAAAAGGTCGAGTCATAAAGTTGCAGTTAGGCCACTCTTTATCTAGCGGCCTTATATATGTATAAAGTAAAATGCAATGATATCTAATGTATAAAACTCTTACTGTGTCCTTAAAAGATCTGCCAAGGAAGGAAGTGCTATGCGAAGGGACTTTAAGGATAAGTATATCTGAAGAGCGTAGAATATAGCTAGAGAAACATAAGAATTTAAAGTCAGATATAAGGTAAGATGGGATTTTAGGATTAAATAGAATGGAATATAAAAGGTGAAGGGTATGAGCATTACGTCGGAGTCGAATCGGTAGCCAGCCAAGCTGTTGACGAAAAGGACTAACGTGGTCATATTTTATATGCGTATTCAGTAGGTCTGAGCAATTATTACTATATTTATAGCAAGCAACGTTAAATAAAACATTACCTATACAGCATATTATTGTTTTCAGGCTTTTCGGCCGACGTGAGCGAGAAGAGGTTCTCAACGTTTCGCCATCACGAGCGGGCGGCATCATCAGGAGATGTTAGCTCCTCGATTGTTCGAGGAAATATCTCGCTCACGTCGGCCGAATAGCCCGAAAAACAATTTTATGCTAAACGATGGCCGTGAAAGCCTTACAAAATGTATTAATATACCTATACACTTTTTGGGTCCTTCTCCAAACGGCATCCACTGGCATGGATGCATCTTGCCTTTATTTTCAGGCGTGAATCTTTCAGGATCGAATTTCTCTGGATCTTCGAACAAATCTGGATCCATTTGTATTGCGTGGATGGGGATGAATATTAAGGTACCAGCTTCGATTACAAGATCAGTGTTAGGCACTTTGTAGTCTTGGTTGCATCGTCTGAATAACGCTCGCAGTGGTGGATATTTTCGCATGGTTTCTATAGAAATAGGAAGATATCAGCCAGTTTTTAATTTTAGTACTAATTACAAATACGGTCGAAAATTCATGACGTAGGTTATTTCATACTAAGAACCGAAATCGTAAAATCGTCCATTAATCGATAGAATTGTTTACAATTCTATCGATTTATGGACAATCAATTTTATATCAAAATTATATATCAAATTTATAAATATATATCAAAATTGCCATAGAGCGATTTATCGCTTTATGGCAATTTTAGCTGCTAATATTTACTGTTAACAACCCAAAACCTGATTCCGAATATATATTGTAATCACCTAATGTATTCTTGTTCTTGTGATGCATACTCGCTGAAAATACGTCTAAAATTGTCACAGCAGGTACTTCTTATGTGTTAAGCAAGTGCAGTACATTTTGTACATTATTTTCAAATAATTCATTTAAAATTATAATTGTAATAATATTACCTTCAAGAACCATATTCATATACGTCATTTCGTTCTGCGCCTCATAGGTGCATTGTCCATTATATTTCGCCAGCACCCTGTTCACTTCGTCTCTCACTCTTGCTTGTATATCGGGGTTCCGGGCCAACTCATAAGCCGCGTACTTTCCGGTTGTAGCTGATGTTTCGTAGCCAGCGAACATGTAGAGCATCGTGTTCGCCGCTATGTCGATCAACGTGAAGGAAAAATTGTCTTCTTCACCTCCTTGGAGTGCAATAAGGTTTAAAAAAGAAAAAAATTAAATACTAATATATAAAAATGATGAGTTTTTTGAACTCAGGAGCTACTGATTAGAATTGAAAATATCTGTTCGATTGTTTAGAGCATTTATCGAGGATGGTTTTAGATTATAAAACATTACGTGACAAATAACAGTGGGAAAACGTGGAATCAAATGATTCAAGATACTGAACGGATTTGAATGAAATGGTATTCTAGAGCCTGAGAAAGGACTGAGGTAGGCTACTTTTTAATGCCATTTTTAAATAGACAGCTCTAATAATATAAAAAAATTCTACCCAAAGTCACTTTTCTACGCGGACGAAGTCGCGGGCACAGCTAGTTAGATATAAAAGAGAGATTCTTTACATAATCTGAAAAAATTGTGCGACAGTAGACTATTCTTTAATATTAACTTTTGTACATTTTATAAGCGCTATCCCTGATATCGAGAGAAGAAAATATTGTGACGCATGTCATAGAATTAAACTCTACGACATGTGTCATCTACCATCCAGCATTTGGCAAAAAAATTCAAGCTGTAGCAATTAAGGGGTGATGATGAAGAGACGTACCTGATTTCTGGTCGTTCTGCTTCAGATCAATAAGGGTCTGCAAGAAGTCATTACGATGATAGTTACTTTTCTCACGATAGTCAACGGCGTCCTTTACTAAATTATAAAAGAAATTGCTAATCACTGGATCTGTGCGCTTCAGTCCGAACTTTTTGAAAAATTCTGGTACGAAAAATGCTAGTCCTCTTATTATAGTCCTGAAAAATACATAAAGAAAAAAGTAAATTTTCAATAGATATATAAAACCCTCCTTTAAAAGTCATAAGACGCGGGAAATATTCAGTTGAAGAAGTTGAAGATTGCAGGATTAGTGGGAAGTCATAATATACATTTTCTTTGTCAATTAATTGCACAGCACTTGAACCGGCACCTACTATTCCGTAGTGCTGCTGTAACAAACAACACAACAACGCCACGGTAGCTGATTTGGTTAAAGCCGTGTAGTAGGTAAAGACCATGGAACGCTGGAAATGCTGTTTCAAGTCCTGCCGTGTCGTATCGATTTTTAATAAACTTACCAATAGGTGGAGGTGTATTCAAAGAAATCTCTGCATCGCCTATGGAATTCCGTTTCGCCTTTAACGAACCCATCGTTCTTGATACCAAAACCGACGCTACCAATAATCTCCACAGCGTACTTCCCATAGAGATCGGCGAAGTTTATAGCCCGCTTTTTCTCGTACATCGCATCACTGTACGTCAACGCTTCGTTCGCAGTTTTCTCGACAAAAGGAAACATGGACTTTAATTTCGCTGGGCTGAAAATCGGTGAAAGCTTCCTACGCAGCGATTTCCACTTGGGCCCGTTTATGTGAAAAAGGTGACCTCCGAGCGGGTCCGTTACACTCGAGCTTGAATACACGCCGTGCGAATTGAAGGACTCGAAATCCCGCACAAGTATGTCCTTAGCGAGATCTAAATTATTGATACTCAATACGGGTATATTAAAACAGTATAGCCCTACGTACGGCAAGTGCTTGTATTGGAAGTAAGCGTCGCAATAAGGCTGAAATATTTGTTTCTTCCTCTTTATAACGTCGCGAACGTTTCCGTAGAAGAAGGTGGGTTTGGGACCTAGCACTCCTTTCTTTTCCCAGTACGTAAATTGGCATTTGAACCATATATAAATCAAAGTACTTATTAACCCTATAGATACGGACAGAATGGCAAATAAATATAACATTTCAGAGCGGTATATTTGAAGACGTCGATTGTAACACTTAATTCGAGATTCAAACTGATGTGGTTAGTAGACGAAAAATAATAAATATACGATTCTGTTTTTATACCCGACCCGCGTGACTATTAAGAAATAATAGCTTTATTATGGCTTAACTTTTATTTTATTTGTCAATAAACATTAGCAAAAAATTGTACTTTACACTTAGAAAGTGTTTGCAATTTTCGTTAATCAACAAAGTTGCTAAGACTTTTTTGTAGATGAACCACAATGATTACAACTTTTTAGTAATTTTTTATGCGTGTATTAAAAAAGTGTTGTTATTTTTTGGTAGGAAAAATAATTTACTACTGAAACATTTTCATCTCATTTGTGTAGTTTCGCCACTATTAAGAAAATTTTGATCAGATATCAAATTTGTATGATTAAGACATGCGCCAATATAGTAATTTAACTATATGAAGAATTCAGAAAAAAATAATTAGGTAACATCCAAATTCATAAAATAAATCCTAAAAGAGTTTCTTATGATAATATAAATAATTAGTGTCAAATTAAAATGATTAATTTACTAGTTTTTCGTCTATTGCGCATATTTTCAGATAATTAATTTTTCACGGGTCAGAACTTTCGTTCTTCCTAAAAATCTGTATTTACATCATACGCGTATACTATGTGCAGCTTTCAGAAAAGCTGATAACATTTGTGCTTTGATAAAATTTGTCATTAATAATAAATAACAAAATCCGAATGATAAGCAAGTTCAATTTGACTAGTAGCATATAATAAGAATTTTCTACAAACTAAAAAAAAATTAAAAGTGGAAGAAAAACAGGTAGGTACCGATATAATTTATATAATTATTAATTAGTATTGAAAAATTAGCTTTTATTCATACCTACCTAGAGCTAATGATGTTTAGATTTGAACAAACTGTTTTTTTTTCATCTATCCATTTTTCATTATGTTATTTTTTTTTCCTATTCTGGGTATGTATTATTATTTTTACGTTTGTTTATCTAAGTATAAATCAATGGGAATAAATTGAATAGAATGATCTATTGATCAATTATAAAAAAGTGCGTAAGTCTTATTTAAATATTAACAAAAAACAAAAAATTTCTTACACCGATGTCAACTTTTCCCAATACTTATTTATTTTAATATAAATATAATAAATAATACAAATTATATTAATTGCTGCCAACTTTCCCCAATTTCCCCTAGACTCATATAAAAGCTAATTATCATCCAAGACTCTTGGTTAGTCTCTAGTTTGTTGCACATCCATTCAGATTATTAAGAAAACCAAGATTTAAAAAAATGTTTAATTTTTTATTCAATTTTGGCGCACAGGGCTTAGGGTTTGTAATTGTAGTGGGGCTTTCATTATATTTATTAATTTATTTGTGGTTTAAGTCCAAATTTTTATACTGGGCAAAGAGAGGGGTACAGGGGCCCCAACCAGTATTCCCATTCGGGAATATGCGCGATGTGATAAGGAGGAAAAAACAGCTTTTCCAGCCCTATATTGAGGCCTATTTTCAATACAAACACTTGCCGCACGTCGGGTTGTATTCATTCAATTTGCCAGTACTATGTATAAATGACCCTGATTTAGCCAAACTTATCTTAATAAAAGATTTTGAGTCATTCCAATCGCATGGGATATTTTCCGACTCCTTCATCGGAGACCCGTTGGGAGGTCACCTTTTCAACATACACGGGCCAAAGTGGAAGTCACTACGTGTGAAACTTTCACCTGCGTTTACTCCGGGGAAATTGAAAACGTTTTTTCCTTTCGTGGAGAGGATTGCGAACGACGCCTTGGAGTACAGCGAATCGAAATGTAAAAATAAGGAGACTTTGAACTTCTCAAACTTTTACGCTAAATACGCGATGGAACTAGTTGGCAGTGTTGGTTTCGGCATTGAGACGAACGGCTTTAAGAACGCTGAAACTGAATTTCAGAAGCGTGGGCATCAGTTTTTCGAATACACCTCCATATATTGGTATGTCTGTTTATGAATTATTATAATATTATGAATAATGTTATTTCAGTGTTTTGGAATAACATTTTTCATTCCTAATATTTTGAAAACTCCTAAACAATACACTTAAATGTTAATCCTCTGTTCTGCCTGACCGATACTACTTATACTTTCATTGGGTTTCGAAGCTAAGAGCTAGCTTACGCTTACGGCAATGCGTCATTGAGCCTATATTTGGGGATTACTAGCTTATCCTTATAACCTTAGCTTATCCGTAGCAGTGGACGGTGGGTCGTGACCCAGATGGAGCTTTCGATATTACTTCCACCCTGGATATAAATTATCCAGATTTCTAAGCCTTGAGATTAAAAGCCTTGTATGTATATTATTTGATGGTGTTTCTAATCTTTTTATTTTTTTTTTCAGGACAATTGTGCGTGCGATCGCGTTTTTTGCGCCGGACTTTTTCAAGAAATTCAGAATGAATCGCACGGATCCGAATATAAACAAATTCTTCTTTAACCTTGTTAAAGACACTGTACACTACAGAGAAAGAAATAACTATCATCGCAGTGATTTTCTACAGACGCTAATTGATTTGAAGAAGAATGATAATGATGTCAAATCAGGTTTGTTAACGATAATTTGAACTGTATGTTAGATTAGATTATTATTTAAATAAAACAGTTTCAACGGATTCAACAACGAAATCTATTAGTTGCAAATTATTTTTAACGACGACTCGACGTTTGAGATACTTCGCGGCAGCCTTGGTCACGGGGAGACAGCGTCTCCTGCAAAGTTATTTTATTTAAATAGAGTTTAGTAAGACTAAGGACTAAGATTATGATAAAAAAAACATTTTTCATACAAAGTAAATAACGCACAATTGGTTAAATTTTACTATACTTTTGTTTTGTTAATTAGAAAGCGAATAAAATGTCTCAAACGATATTATTTAAAAATGTTATAACATATGGAGAATAAAGTTCCCAACACGATTTATAATTTGCTTACTTATTGCTTTCTTACTTCTGTCTCAGTCAGTCATAAACTATCTCTTTTATTTTAGAAAAAGACAGGGACACATATTCCTTAACATTTACGGACGTAGCAGCGAATACGATGCTCTACATGCTGGCTGGGTACGAAACCTCTGCTACCACGGGTATGTACGCGGCTTATGAGTTGGCCCGTAACCCCGATATACAGGCAAAAGTGAGGGACGAAGTCAACACAGTGCTGGCGAAACATAATGGACAATGGACTTATGAGGCGCAAAATGAAATGACTTATGTGAACATGGTTCTAGATGGTAAGGTTTTTGCATTTATACTAATATTATAATGCTGATGAATTTTTTGTTCGAATGCGCTAATTTCAGAAACTACTGGTCCGAATTTAATAATATTTTTTCTGTTGATTGATTTACTTATCTATATTTATATTTGGTTCAAGAAATCAAAAAAACATATATGAAAGAATTTAATTAATATTTATTGTTCTGTTAATATCATGCCTAAAAAAACTGTTCCGCGCAGACGTAGTCGCATGCACAGCCAGTAAATAAAAAATGAAATCCCGTTTCGCCCCGTGGGGTATGGACAACATTTAAAATCTGACTGAAACAAATCCCCCCTGACCTAAACAAATCTATCGTTGCCCCGGATTCGAATCTAGGACCTCTCGCGCTTGTCGGAATGCTAGGCAACGCGTTTAACCATTTAGCTACAGAGGTGTTTCATATGTATAAATGATACATATATTAATAAGTGAACTAATATTTAAACTGTTAAAATATAAATACTGTCTATAGTTTACGCGAGTCGTAAACATAAAAAACATGTTAACGGTTTAAAACGCGATACATTAGTTAAACTTATTTGAAAATAATTTTTTAACTTCGGCCCGACGTTTTGGATGCTTTGCAGCAGCGGTGGTCACGGGTAGAGTGTTAAAATATTTTATTTAAATGTATACTACTCGCGAAAACTTTAAACAGTGCTTAACTAAATAAGGCAATAAAATTTTAAACTACATTTCTCATTTAATGTTAACAGAGACCATGCGTAAATATCCACCAATGCGAGCGTTATTCAGACGATGCAACCGAGACTACAAAGTGCCTAACACTGATCTGGTAATCGAAGCTGGTACCTTAATATTCATCCCGATCCACGCCATACAAATGGATCCAGATATTTTCGAAGATCCGGAGAAATTCGATCCTGAAAGATTCACGCCTGAAAAGAAAGGCAAGATGCATCCATGCCATTGGATGCCGTTTGGAGAGGGACCTAGAAAATGTCTCGGTATGTATTAACTTAGGTATTTATATAAATCTCTTTTAACAGTTTAAAACGGGAAATTTGTTTAAAACTTATTTACAAATTATTTTAAGTACAGTCCGACGTTTCGGATGTTTTACAGCAGCTGTGGTCGCAAGAATCATTTTACCAACGTCTGTAATTTGTAAATAAGTTTAACTAATACATTTTGCTTGTTAAACGGTTAAAAGTGTTTAAATAAAACACATTAGCGGTATTAAAATACGATATATATTAGTTAAATTATTTTGACTACGCCCCGATGTTTCGATGTAAATGTGTACTACTCGCGTAAGCTACAGACAGTATATTCTTATGTATTTCATAGTCAAAATAGGAGTCTTAATAGTAGTTTTTTATAAACAAAATAAATATCTTTAAGTGACAAAGCCTACGCTATCAGCCAAACGAAGCTATAGTCTAAGAGCCACATGTGCAAACAATTGCTGTCAACTATCTGTACCCTATTGTTGCCCCTTTTTTAATGATATAGGAGGATAGAAAAGCATGGTGTTGGCTTGATGGAAGGTGCATTAGGTGCAGCCATAGATTTTCTAGACAAGATGCGCTATGGACCTTAGTATGGTAATTATAGTTATTCAAAGCTAAAATCATTGCCATACCATATTATTCACCTCGAAATTATAGTATGTCCAAATTGACTTCCACTTCTACCAAAAACAGTCTGACACAACCAAAATAGACTAATAGGTACTTCTAGGATGAGGTATCCATATTTTTAAAACCTTAAAACAATTAAATAAGCGGCTGGCTTACGTAATCCGATCCGATGTGTCATCTGTCATATTGATGTTTATTTTTTGTCAAAAGAGATCTATTGTTAATTAGAAGCGTATTTACAATATAATTTTCACTGTCGTGGACATTTTGTTAGATTATTTAAAGTAGAATAATTCTGCGTATTTTTGGGATATCTAGAACAGTTTTCGCTGCGCAGACGATGGAAGCCCTCAAAGTTGAACGATTTTCCCCGTTTTTTCACATTACCCTTTGTTTCTTCGCTTCTATTCGTCGCGGCCTGATGTCTCATGGCCCAAAACCTCGATTAATAGTCTAGCCAACATACAATTTTTTCTAACCAGTAGTTCCTGAGATTACTACGTTCAAACAAATAAACTATTCAGCCTATGGCATTAATTATCAATTGAAAAATAAATGGTAAGTTTTGTAGTTTACGCTAGTGATATTTATTTCAGATTTAAATCAGATTTATATGCTAAATTAGACACTTGAATTTGAAAAATATTCGATACAACGGATAAATCTATTGAAATTATTTAAAACTACCTACACAATTATTAGACATTATAAGACAACTCATACCCATGTCCATCCACTCCTTTCAGGTCTCAGACAAGGTTACATCCAGTCAAAGATGGCGCTGGTAAAGCTACTGTCTAATTACGAGTTGCTTCTGGACTCGAAAACGCAAGAACCTCTTCGTGTTAAGGCGACGTCATTTCCTTGCGCCCCAGAAGGTGGTGTATGGATTAAATTAAGAAGATTGTAATAATTCATATTTTTTTTGTAATTATATATATAAACTTTTGTTACAAAATATGTATAACACATTCATGAATTAAGACATTAATGTAATTATGTTGGGTGATAGAGATTTTTATAATATATCTCAGAGTTAAATTAAAAATCTATTTAATTTGCTATGTAACGTTACGTGCGGGATTCGAACCAGCATGTGAGTGCTGCTGCTCTAAGAGATAAGAATATATAAAACCTATTATAGTTATGTATAAGTGTTGTTTGAGACGGGATAAATTATTATTGTAGTTAAAAAATATGTTTTTTTTTTATAATTTAAACCTGCTTAGATTAATATATGATAACACGTAGTAATAAACGTAGTCTTTTTTAAATAAAACACTAACGGTTTAAAACGCGATGTATCTTATTGAAACTTATTTGGAGATAATTTTAACTACGGCCCGACGTTTCTTGCGGCAGCCGTGACCGCTACAAGCATAAGTTTAACTAATTAATATCACGTTTTAAACTGTTAAGCGTTTTATTAAAATGTGTACCTTTCGCGTAAACTACAGACAGTATTTCAACGTAGTCCTTTTTATAGTGAGTGTATCTTATTTCATATTTTGTGCTGTTATTAAAATATAGACACGTTTATTATTTGTTTTAGCATTTTTAGTAAATTGCAATTTGTAGTATGTGGTCTTCGACAATGCAGCGCCATCTAGTAGCGTCAATAGTGACCGAGAAAGAGATAAAAAAAACACATATGACATACGTTTTAATTTTATATACAATTATCATAACACTTAATACTGGTAACTAAATAAACTTATAATTACATAATATACTGAACAGGTACTATAAATACGTAGTTATAATGTAGCTGTACTTTAAGTAGTCTTCAGAGTGATTTTTCTGTGAGTTACTTATTTCTCCTCTAGGCAAAACGTATGCAAGAGTAGAGTATGCCAACATTAGGAAACACACCGCCATTATTATCTGAAAACGGAAACAGCTTATATAGATGGAAAATATTATATAGGCAAATAAATTATATATATTGTACGCGTTAGTATTCGACGAGGACAAACAAATTGATGATTAAAATTATAATATTTGGTAGAATAGTAAAGTTTAAATAAAACACTTTAACGGTTTAAAACGCGATATATTAGTTAAACTTATTTGAAAATGATTTTTAACTTCGGCCCGCCGTTTCGGATGCTTTGCAGCAGCCGTGGTCCAAGCGTTTTCGCGTGGTCGCGTTTTAAACCGTTAAAGTGTTTTATTTAAATGTGTACTACTCGCGTAAACTATAGACAGTATTTAATAGTTAAGTTCTTTTTTCAAAAATGGATCTGACCGAAAGTTGATAAAAAATAATATACTTCGATTTTTGCTGAGAATTTTGGAGATTTTTTTTTAATCCTTTTTTTTTTGATCGGCTCGTCTCGCCTCGGTCTATAGTAGCAAAGTTTGGCTAATAATCAACGGGTCATGGGCTCGATCCCCGGAGTTTAGATGTTTGTTATCAATGTATAAATTTTTTGAAGCATATTGGACTGCTGGATATCTGGATATTAAATGGATGGGAGGAACAGAAAAATTCCGTCAGTAACCACTGTCGCCAGATAAAAACGCCGTGAAGTTTAACCGCGTCTCGACTTTAGTCATTAAATTTCCGAATATCCAAACCCGAAATAGCTCGACAGAGCATCATTTTTATACTTTATATGGGTGGGGAACCTACCATCATCTCCCTCTATTATAAAAAAAATGTATCATTCGTTTTCAATAAAACGTTTCTTATCTTTTAATGAGAGCAAATCAGAATGATACGGGTTCCTCTGTGATCATATAGCTAAAATGTATACCTAAAACATGGGGCGTAATTTCATCAAATTAGAGAAAATTCGTACTTCAACTCATTTCGTTCGTAATAAGTACTTATATAAAATTCCTTAGCTACAATAACAAGAATCATGCCAAAACATTTCTCTTACATATAGACAAATACCTTTGTAGAGATCATTAAAATTGATATAATAATTATTTAAATAAAACACTTTCACGGTTTAAAACGCCCTATATTAGTTAAACTTAACGTTGTCTCCCCGTCACCACGGCTGCTGCAAAGCATCCGAAACGTCGGGCCAAAGTTAAAAAATAAATAAGTTTAACTAATATATCGCGTTTTTAACCGTAAAAGTGTTTTATTTAAGTGTGCACTACTCGCGTAAACTATAGACAGTATATAATAATTATCGTATATAATTTATAATGAGTAAATTAAGAATAATAAATCATTGTTTCGAAGTAAGTTGTAGAAAATGCAAAACAAAGTGTAGACATTTAAACACTTAACAGACAAATAATTTGTAAAAAGCATGACTCAATATTGGGAAGTTATTTTTAAATGGAACGAACTCTACATTCGTTGTGTTCATGATTAAATTATCTCTTTCAAGTACTCGTCCAAAGTCTAACCAACCAATTAGTTAATAGTAATGAGAACTGTAGTAATTACTTATAACCTAAATATGATGGATATGAGTGGATATGGATGGAAAAAAAGAGTTTATTTTGTAGACGCGCAAAAAGTTTTCTATAATTAATTTGAATGACGTAAATATATCACTTAGTTAGCAAGATTTAATAGATCAATATTAATTTTACTGAATGGTTGTTCACGAAATGACTCGATACCTTTTTTTTCGTTAACACTACGTAAAGCTTAATTAATCAGTCTTACCGTGATTCTGTGCATCTTATCCACCACAAAATAACCACGTGTTGATTCATTTATAGCTTAACTGAATAGCGGTCTTTATTCGAACACAGCCGAGTAGGGAATGTGTCTAATAACAAGAGTAATCCCGTGCGCGCGCGCATTGAAAAATACACAAAACTGAGTGTTGTCGGAGATTCGTCGCCTATACACACTTTTCTCGAGTTAAAAATATCCACATTACTTACTGAACCGGCGTACATTTGTATATGTTTGAGACAATTTTTAATCTGTACTGTTGTTGTTGTCCTGTACTGTAATATTACAAAGAAAAATGTGTTTTTTTGAACGCTCTAATATCATTACTACTTTTGTTATTTAGGGCATTTGTCGAGGAAGGGTATGTTCGATAAAACATTACCCGGGAAACGTGAAAAAACGGGAAAAGCTATATAACCTTGGTTTCCAAAAAATGTGTATAAAAGAATGATTTCTCTTTAAACGATCAGAGATAAATATTAATTTAATTATAGCAACACCATATTTAGATTAGAACCGAAATAGGCTTCGAATATATAAATAATTTAATGTTTGCTGCTGCTTAGTTATAAAAATACATACTTGACAAAAGTACAGTCTCTAACAACGACGATTGTGTACAATGACTAACATTATTCCAGTGTATAATTTACAAAGGTCAGGTGGGGTCATCAAAACTATTCCGTATATTATGTTCAAGTAGGTAATGCTATCATTAAAATATAAACAAAAGGTCCAAAACCCCACTAAACGGGACAAATAAGTCATAACACTTTGTTCTCGTTGGTCTATTGATAGCAAAGCATGCCTAATAATGTGTCGTTTTGAGTCCAACGTGTTTCTAATTATATTATAATTGTTCTAAAAATGTTAGACTTCCTCTGGAAAATCTAGATTTTAATTGGAAACTGGAATCCACTATTTCGAAATAAAACTGTAATTAGAATTGATTACAATTTAAGAACATTTTATTTATTTATTTATCAAATGGAAACAAACAGATACACTACGTAAGTGGCTAAGGAAGAACAATAAAAAAGAAATAAGGTTAAAATGCATCCTTAACAGTTTCACAAATAGTTAAATGCTATATACAATATGAAAAAACAAAACGCCGATAAAAATTACAGAAAATTAGACAAAATTTTTATATAAGAGTTGACAAACAAATAAAATTAATTATACGTTTAACTAAAAACTAACCAAAATTAACATAATTTAATTGAAAGACCTAAGGCGAGATAAGCAATCTTTTTAATGTTTTTTTTAATGAAGCAGTAGAGGAGTGCAAAAACAAATCGATATCGGCAATAATCGGGAAGAACACATTCTGGGTAGTGGGGTGCATACGCAAATATATCTATTTTGGTGCATCGACCGTGTATCAAACTTCCGTCCTAACGAAATTTTAAATACGACTATCACTCAGAACTATTATAATTAAATCAAACTGTCGGTTCGCCTCATCATTCCTAGATAATGATAAGAATATATTTTATTATTATAATAAAGATAATATAAATTGTACTTTAATTGGGATATTAACAACAATATTCTAAGTAATATATCTGTACTAATATTATAAAGGTGAAGAGTTTGTTTGTTTGAAAGCGCTAATCTCACGAACTATTGGTTCAAATTGAAAAAAAAATGTGATCGATGGACTATTTATCGTTATTTATCTTGAAGTATAAAAATAAACCAAAAATACGTGCGACAGAATGTTTCATCTTTAAAAGTCCTAAATAATATCCTAAATAAATGTCTATATTTCAAGATAAACTCTTGAAACGACGGGACGAGGACGACATCGTGGATTGTTACAATTGATAAGGAGATATTTGCAAAATTGTCATTTTTTATGCCAAAAATAACTATTCTACGTGGACGAAGCCGCGAACATCGCTAGTACTAGATATTGATAATTCGTAATGGAGTCGACTTGGTGATAAAAACTTGTGTAAATAAATCAGATGATATCGATTCGATAAATGTTTCTCAATAGCATCTCTAAGTATTTTATCACGTTTTGAGATAAGGATCGGTTATGATGACACGCATGTATTGAGTTTAGTTTAAGCCTCGGCTTCGAATAATCTTAATTACTATTGTATAATTAATAACGGCTGAATGATGGAGTTATAAGCATTAACGAAAATATTATTCAACATAATTAAATACAATTTCGTTAATATTAACTTACATAATTATGTTTAAATGATTTGATTTAACTTCTTTTATTGTTTAATTAACTGTTTTACTATATGGTATATAAACGGTTCGTTCGGAACGAGTTCCGTACTCAAATGGAAAAAATGTATGTTCGTCTTACGGTCACCAAGCTGAGTTGAATTTTATCAAATTATGTGCTCTTTTTATCGCTATAATAAAGAAATATTACATAAATATTTAAATAGTTTTATTACCAAATGCGATTTTTTACTAAGTACTTTTATTCGATCAATCGTGGCAATAGGTAGAAGATATACTCAGATGTTTACCTCGTGCTTTGGTAGTCAAACCTTCGTGCGCGAGCCAGCTCGCACTTACCCGGTCCAAATTATCATATTATGTCCAGAATTTTGATATCAGTTTCAATTTTAAACTTCATGCTCATCAAATTCTTCCAAATTTAACGCTGTTATGGATATCCGCTATTTCAATAAAATCTTTTAAATAAAACACTTTAACGGTTTAAAACGCGACATATTAGTTAGACGTGGTCATGGGTGCTGCGAAACGTCGAGCCGAATTTAAAAATAATTTCCAAATAAGTTAAACTAATTAATCGCGTTTTAAACCGTTAAAATCTTTTATTTAAATGTGTACACCTCGCGTAAACAGTAGCTAAAATGTTTTGCTTAATACCATCTCTACCATACTAATGCTCGCATAATCTAATTTATGTAATATTATAGTAAGTATTACTAATTATTGTGTAGGTAATCTATGCATTGTATACTTGAAAATAAGAAGAAGAATAAGTTGAATATAATTTATTGATCGGTGTATTTGTTATTATTTTTTAATAATGATACATCTGTGCATATTGGCAAGGACTTTTAACGTCATTTTTGATATTTCATAATAATGTCATCAAAATCTATTGTAACATAAAGGTGTATTAAATTTTAAGTACTATATTCACAAGTAAAATTGCTAGGTTATGTTTAATAGGCTCTATGTGTTAATTTTATGCATGTTCAATATACAAAATAAGCAACGATGTATTCTCAATACCAGAATCGACTTTTCTCAACCACTGCCGGTTATCCTTCGAAACGGAAGGATCCTAGAACCCGATGACGGAGATGGCCACATCATTTTGGGTTCTGGTGACGCGATGATGCTAAGTTGCGAAAACGGTGGTACCTTAGTCCATCCGAATACTAAAAGTCAAAGGGAAACGGCATTGATATATTGTGAAGTCAATCATTACTTTAAAAATGAGGACTGGCTCAATGCTCCATCAAGTTTCTCAAATTTTAGATGTAATAACCCTCCAAATTATCACAGCAAACGAACCGACAGGATCTGCTTTGAAGGAAATCCTGTAATAGAAGTTGGATATACAGTCCTGAACGATTTTTATCCTGTGTTCGAATCTTGTTTCGACGAAGTGAATTTTAACGCGATTTATTCCAAATACACTCAGAAACCCTACAACGCTATGTACCAGACTAGAGTGGAACGGCCTTTCTTCATAGATAACAATAACTATAGGAATATTTCGGTAGACTTGCTGTTCTCTCCACGAGGTCAGAAAGCAGCTGTGGCTCAGTTAGTAGGACCTTTAGTCAATTCCTATATAACAACGAGCTCATTACTTTCAAGGGGACATTTGGCAGCGAAGACAGATTTTGTCTTCGCGTTTACCGAACGCGCTACCTTCCACTATGTGAACTGCGCCCCACAATGGACTGGGTTCAATGGAGGTAACTGGAATACATTGGAAGTGGACTTGAGGAACCATATACACGCTGTGGGATACGATACAATTATTTATACCGGCACGTACGGTGTATCACAGCTAGTAGATAATTACGGACGCCGTGTGGATCTTCACTTGTACACAGATCATAACAATAATCCAATAATACGAATACCTCAATACTTTTACAAGGTCGTGTATGAACCGCGAACTAAAAGAGGAATCGCGTATGTCGGTATTAATAATCCGTATTATACTCTATCCGAGGCGAGAGATTTATTCTTCTGCGAGGATATTTGCAGGAATACGAGTGGTTTTTCTTGGTTGACATGGCATCCTGACAATCCTATGGAGGGATATACGTTTTGCTGTACAGTCCCAAGTTTTAAAAATACAGTACATCATTTGCCACCATTCGAAGTTAACGGTTTGCTGATATAGGATCTATACTAATATTACAAAGCTGAATAGTTTGTTAGTTTGAATGCGCAAATCTCGGCAACCACTGGCTCAAATTAAAAATAATATTCCGTTAGGTGGCTTGCGAAAACCGATTCAAGAATAATGTATCCTTTAAGATGAACTTAGAATAACTATATCAAATTGCGTCGAAATACTTAAACCTCAAAAGAACGTGTGCCAGTCCAGCGAGTTTATTATATAAAAGTTGAAAAATAATATAATAAGAGCCTTTCGGTATTTATCAAATGATTTCTGTGTTAAATTAAATCAACTAAGGTCAACGTTTTTCTCTTATCTAGACTCCGATAAGGTCTGACCTCATAATTTCCCTCTTTGTTGTAACTATAATAAATTATAGTTTAAGTTTAGTATTGTTTTATTATATATTTTGTTATTTTTCTACATTTTTATAATACGATTTGTTTTTTATTATTAAATGTATATTCGTTTTTTTTTATTTCTTTAAAACTTGGGTGACATAAGACAAGTGAAGTTTTATTAAAACATTAACTAATGATCATTATCTAGAAGAAAAATTAAGTTTTAATACGCTATAGTTAAACATCTTAGCTTGAAATCATTAAGAATCGGATTATTCGGCTACGGGTAAGTAATTACTTAATAGCATTTTTTAACTATATTTAAGGGTGCATTTTCGATCACGAATTCATTCTGTCCTTGACTATCATAGCTTAACGTAATTAAGAAAAAAACGAAATGAAGCCGTATAATATTATTGTAAGTATTGTTGTGATTATTGCAGTGTAAATAATTTTTATATTTAATTTTTCCAACTTTCTAACAAATGTCTTCTTTTCAGACTTGTGCTATTATAGCCATTATTTGTATATTGAGCGTACAAGGCTTACCAAGCTCAAACAGATACAAACCAGTCGTCAATCTAAACCCAGAAAAACAAAATGTAACAGAGAAGCCAGTTGAAGTAAGAAAAAGTTCCCTCTTTCCGAAGAATAGCAAAAAATATGTAGTAACGGAAAGTCCAATGCCCGGGACGACGTCATCTTATTTGTACAAGTACTTTATGGTGAAGCGGCCTTTGATGCTTAAGTTTGCGCCTACAGCCAGGCCATTCCTTAAAAACGATCAAACCGTAAAACACCAACCTTTTATGAAAGATGTTAAATTCATCGTATCGACTCCTGCACCGTGGGAAAGAAATTCAAAGAAAAACAACGAAGCAAGCCATCCGATTCATATAAAGGCTAATGATACAAAACAGAACAGTGACTCCGAAACCGTACAAAAGGAGCCCACTTCAGAGCAACCACGTGTGAGCACGACTGAGGAAGTGCCAGTTTTAGCTAATAAGGATTCTGGCGATACTCAACCTCAAAATAATAAGACAAGCGAAGTTATAATTTTGCCAATTAATCTTAATGATTTAAAAGCAAATCCTAACGCAATAGCTGAGGAAGTCAAAGACATTGTAGATTTTATGAACAAAATTCACTCCAAGAAAAACAAGACAACAGACGGAAGCTCTTCAATTCAACCGGAACACGATACAATGTTAGAAGCTTCTTCAACAGAATCAGTTACTAGCTTAAATCCTGAAACAACTACTACCAAACCAACCACAGTCCCAATGACAGCAGATCCTGCATCATACATGACTACAATTAATAAGTCATCAATACCTGAGAGCAACAAGCTACAAGATAGTTCACCACAAAATTTAAATCAAAATCCAGATGATGATGTCGAAGATATTATGTATCGCATACCCAAAAATGATTCACAAGTACCAGAAGTATATGGCACAACACAAAATTTATTGCCAGAATCAACTAACAATGAAATGACAAAAAATCCTTTACAAGAGGGAAGTAATAATGTAACAACGGAAAAGTCATTACCAGAGATGATTATACTGCCAGTAAATGTAGATGAAATAAATAGTCACCCTGAAAATATAGCAGAAGAAATCAAAAACATTATGAATGAAATTAACATGATACACGCACAAAATGGATCAGATGACAAGTCTACTAAAAGTTCGCCAGAGCCGGTAACTGAAGTGACTACTAAAACACCAGAACCGTCTTTTATCACTGAGCCAACTACAATTTACACTTCGCCAAATCCTGAAAATAATTTAACGAGAGAAGTGCTACCGGAAATCCTTTACATACCTGTAAGCCTTGAAGATCTTAAACCAATTTCTGAAAAAACGACTGAAAACATTATATCAAGTACTGAGGCTGCCGTATCTGAAAAAAATAACAGTTTTGAGAGTCCGATAACAACAGAAAATAATAAAAGTAACCAAGAATCCTCGACCACACCATACAGTGAAACTTCGACAGGTACAACACGTGATAAAACAACATTTTCAACAACACAAAAATCCTTACCAGAGGTAGAAAACGACACAACAACTGAAATTATACCTCACGATATTGTATACATACCTGTAGACTTGAATGAACTTAGATATCATCCTGAAGTAATAGCAAATGAGATTAATGATATTGCTAATGATATTAATAAGACTCAGCCTAAAACAGGAAATGTAATATCAGACCATAAAGACAATAAATCTTCCGAAAGCTCTACAATTAAGCAAGAAAGTGAGGTTACTAGTGACTATTCTATACCAACACAAGTAAGTGAAACTACATCAGCATTTACTACGACCGAGTTTACCACCCAAGAGACCACCGAAAGTTCCTCGACCAGTGAGATAACTACAGAAATAACCTCAACACATTCGGAATCTACTTTGGCGACTCAAAACACTACACCTGACGTTGTTTTATATATTCCTGTAAATGTTGGAGACTTAGAAACAAACCCTGATATAATTAAAAATGAGATACAAGATCTGGTTAATAACATGAGTAATGCTACAACAAAAAATTTGGAACATTTAAATGATGAAGTTACTACACGTCAAATCGAAACGACAACAATTTCGTTGCCAACCGAAAGTATCACTCAAAACACACCGTCAACTGTAATTATTCAAAATTCTACCTCACAAACAAGCACTGAAAATTACATAGTTGAATCAACCCCTGCAGATAATAACTCGGAAAATAATACAATGACAGTTATAGATAATTTGACGACGGAGAAAACGTCATCAGATGTTGTGTTTATTCCAGTTAATCTTGATGATATTCAATCGAATCCCGTGATTGCTAATGAAATGAGAGACATTATAAATTATATGAACCATTTGCACCCAAACAAGAACAACTCTACCACTGAGACAACGCATATGGAAGATATAACGACTGAAAAATTGTTACCACAATCTACAAATGAAGTCACTACAGAAAGTACAACAATACAATATGTTACAACTGAATCAGCGACAACTGAACATGTAGTGTCTGCTGAAACTTCAACTCCAATACGCGAAGAAGCAGTTACAACAGTGAGCCATCCAGAAACTGAAGTAAAAATTGATACCACTACGAAGCCTAATGAAATTCCTTCGACGTCGCCAAAAAGTGATAAAACTACTGAAAATTCACATGACATAGTTTATATACCTGTAGACCTCGATGAACTGAAATCACACCCAAACTTAATAGTTGATGAGGTAAAAGATTTAGTAAATCACATGAACGGAGAAAACGAAGGCAATTCTACAGAGGCTCGTGATCATGCAAATACACATTCAACGACAGCACTTGAAAGCGTTACTGTTACACAAGAAACACCAAAAAACGACGAAGCTGCAGAAAATATTGAGAAAAATGAAGATAAAAGTAAAAATCCAGAAGAAGTCTCAACGCCTACGACGACAGCTGAAACCACAGTCCCAACTACGAGTACCGCTGCTTCAAATGAAAATGAAGACGACGATGATGATATTGATGTCGGCTACATTATTAATAGAAACTTCTGGAATAAAGTACTTGCCGATCAGAAACAAGGCAAAACTAATGAAATCACAACGGAAAACACAATAAGGGATGATATTTTGGATGTTGTTTATACACTGCCAAAAGATAAGAAAAAGGTTTGAATTGAGTGAAGGCCAACCTTAGTTTTTAAAGTGTTTTAAAATTAAATTAATAATTTTACTATTATTTTTCCACAGCTATAACTAATTTATTTATTCTAAGTTAAAATGTAAATACGTACAATTAGGCATAAAGTTTTTATTATAAATATGTGATTTCCATGTGATTCTAATACTTAATCATTTATTTGTAAAATCTAAAAGTGAAAATAAATAAATAGAATTTTCTTAATTATATTTTTTTGACAACTCTAATATAATATATTATTAAATAACACATAGCAGAGATCTATATTAATAAATATAGAAATATTATAAAAACTAATTCGATGAAAAAATTTTCTAATCCTTTATCTTACCTTAATATAATACAAAAGTAATTAATACTTGTATACATTATAATAAATAATTAATCTTTTCAATTATCTTTCTTTTGCCCCTTGGCGTATCTATTAGACGTCTTAATTACTACTTAACTTTTTTTAAATTATAATAATTAAACGTCAAACAGCACAATTATATTTATATTCTACTAGCTGTGCCCGCGACTTCGTTCGCGTGGAATAGTGACTTGGGGTAGAATTTTTAATTATTTAGGCTGTTTATTAATTTATGTATTTGCGCATTTATCGCAGCCAATTTATGTTGTAAGTGCTACTTTGCCGCAACACTCACACCTCACATCACTCCTACTCTAACACCCACTCCCACTCCCACACATATTCCCAAAAAGCCAAAGAAGAAATTTTAATCGTTCTAGCTTCAAAAACCACGAATTTCCTTAAAAACTTCCACCCCCCTTTTAACCCCTTACAACCCCCTTTTCGCAATAAAAAGCCTATGTCTTTTCTCAGGATCTAGACCAAATTTCATTCAAATCCGTCAGTAGTTTTGGCGTGAAAGAGTAACAAACAGACAGAGTTACTTTCGCATTTATAGTATTAGTAAGGATTTATTTTTATTATCATAATATAAAATAACCGCCTCTGTAGCCGAATGGTTAAGCGCATTGCCTAGCATTGAGTTATGCGCGAGAGGTCCTGGGTTCGAATCCCAGAGGAACGAAAAATTCTTCCGGTCGGGTAGGGCACAGAAATCTGATTAACCACTTGCCTGTTAAAGAACGGATCATTGAAACGGACACAAAAATGTGTTCGCCCCATGCCCACGGAGAACGTGATTCCACTCTTAAGCCATAATTAATAGTTATAAAAAGAAATAAGACTTGTACTAAACAATATTTAAATAGAAAATATTATATAATAACTCTTAAATATAATTATTGAACTAAGTAACACACAATTAAACAATGTATTGTGATTATATCATTGTAATTAGACGTCACTCTACTGAAACAAATATAAAATAGGGATTATTGAGACCTTCTCATCGTTTTTTATTACTTTAAAGATTGCATTGATCCTTACACTTAATTCTTTTCTGTTTTTTTTTATGGTAGAGCAACCATGCGGCCCGATTAGACTATGTAATACTCCAATTATGTCCAGCAATGTCAACTGTCAAAATATCAATCCAGAAAATAAAACCGCAACGCGAAATTTAGAGCTTTTTCGTCTGAGGTCGGCAGTTCGTGACCCCAGGCGGAATTTCGACCTTACCATCCATTTCATATGCAAAATAATTTAAAAATCGAAAGTAAATTGAAAAAAATTTCGACTCGTGCAGAACTTGAACCGGCATCGTCAGCGTTCCGCGCTGTTCTACCAACTCGAGCACTCAAGGACTCGGTAGCTCAATTGGTAGAGCAATAGCACGATGCCGGTTCAAGTCCTGCCCGAGTCGAAAATTTTATCAATTTATTTTTGATTTTTAAATTATATAGTGCCTTCATGTAAAAAATATTAATGTTTTTAAATGATTAGACAAAAGGGTGGACTCGTTGATTGTTAGCCATACTTTGCTACACATACAACGGACAGAGACTAATTACAAAATATTTTTTTAATTTGTGTTGGTTAGAACATTTGTCGCTCTATATATGTATATACTTAGATATATTATAGAGATATTCTAATATAGATGTGACTTATAGACCCGAAGAAACTGCGGGAAATGTGGAAGAAACGGGGAAAATGATTCATCTTTGTGAGTTTCCGATGCGTTGTCTGACCTAATAAATGATTTGGCGTTTTTTGTCATTACAATAGTCTGCTTAACAATAATTTTACCAAATGAAATGGAATGTGGGTTGGCCAGTGATAATCAGCTAAACAATTTCCGGCGAAAAGGCTGAGATCCGCTAGTATTACGTAAATAAACAACAAAAGGACGTTGGCCGTATTAGCTAGTTAAAGGACAAGAGGGAACTAGTCTGCTTGTTCTTCTTGGGTTTCTTCTTTGGTAGTAGTTAATTTACAGTAAAGCTAAAACTCAGACACTTTTATTTTAAACCTCCGTACCCCGGGATTACAGCTTCTGTAAAACGTCCAAAACATGGGGCCATAAGTGAAATGAATTGTAAATCAATTTATAAAATACATTTTGCGTTTTAAACTGTTAAAAGTGTTTTATTTAAATTTATACTAATCGCGTAAACTACCAACAGTACTCAGTACAAACACTATTGTGTTTAAAAAATTATATTTACCTTAGGAATAAATACTTGTAAATTTATATTAGTAATGGCTTACTGTATAGGAAGAAACTATAATATTTTTTTCTAAATTCTCTATACTATAAAATTTAACTTTATTATTGCATTATGATTTCAGCAATGCTTGTTATATGTAGTTGATATACGGATTACTACATATATGTCCTAAATTTGACTATTGTGGTAACACAATACATACTTTCTGTCGGGCTGGGTATACATAATATTTAAATAGTGTCTGTAGTTTACGTGAGTGGTACACATTTAAATAAAACACTTTAACGGTTTAAAACGCGATATATATTCGTCTCTTTGTCTTCCAGTGAGCACGGCAGCTGCAAGGTATCCGAAACGTCGGGCTGTAGTTAAAATACGTTCACTATATATCGCGTACATATGTACTTTATTTGTTTGGAAATCAAGCCATCGCGGTTAGGCATTTTTTCCTAATAAATTAGTGTTTTAATATTATATATATATACATGTAAAATTTTTAAATAAATTTGAATAAATTGAAAATAACATATATAAATTAAGTGAAATTACCTATAGCTATAAGTTCTATTGACTTTTAAGTACATTTTAATTGTATAATATAAATAATACTATCGTGTAAATACAACATTCCGCTTTTTAATTGCTCCATTGGCATGTTTTTTGTTTAAGAAACAAAAAATACAAATCGCTTATGCAATATACTAACATTAGTAAAAATAGTTCAACTTAATAATAACATCGTTAAAAATACTTGAAATTACGTAATTAATGTATAATTAACAAATTACTAACTATATTTAAGTGGATTTTTCAATGAATTTTTCTATTCATCGTTTGGACATCGATCAAAAATGAAGACTAATGTTGTAAGTACACAATTTTCTCCCATTCTTATTAGTTTAAAAGCAAATAAATCTATAACGATATTACGTTTCAGGTTATTTTTGCTTTGGTGGTTGCAATAACGAAGTGCCTTGTAGAAGGTTTACCAACACCTAAACAAGACGCTAGTACCACCGAAAAACCAGCTGAGTCGGACAAGAGCCAAAAGCCGTTACTAGAAAATAAACCAGGCGAGGATGTCATCCTTATACCCGTTGACCTTAAAGAACTAAAGTCAAATCCAGAAGAAGTATACAGTGAAGTTAAAAAGCTAGTGGATCTGATGAAGAGTAAAAAAGATAAGGCAAACAAACCGGACACAACTTCTAGTACTGAAACCTCGCCGACGACACCAGCAAATAAAAGTAGTTCTGAAAAACCCACATCTACATCAGGCTCTAGTAATACTGAAAACCCTACAACGACTCCTGTAAACAAGGCTAGTACTGACAAACCGGCAACTACACCTGGTAACAAAACGAGTACTGAAAGTCCTACAACAACTCCTGAAAACAAGTCGGGTAAACCCTCCACGACACCTGATAACAAAACGAGTACTGAAAGCCCTACAACGACTCCTGAAAACAAGGCTGATAAATCTTCCACTACACCTAGTAACAAATCCAGCACTGAAAGCCCGACAACAACTCCTGTAAACAAGGCTAGTACTGACAAACCGACCACTACACCTGGTAATAAACCAAGTACTGAAAACCCTTCGACTACTCCTGGAAACAAGTCTGATAAACCCTCCACGACACCTGGTAACAATACTAGTACCGATAATCCTTCCACGACGCCTAATGGCAAAGCTAGTTCTGAAAAACCATCCAACAACTCAACTACTGAAAAGCCTTCAAGTACACCAGCAGGTAGTTCCACTGAAAAACCATCATCTAAACCTTCGAACGACGCCAGCACTGAAAAACCCTCGACAACAAAAGAAGCCACTACGCAAAATCCAACTACTAAACCTGCAAACGTAACCACCACAGAAACACCTTTAACACCAGAAAAAGACACAGCAAATCCGCAACCTACTAAGAACGCCACAAGCGAAAATCCAAAATCAGGAAATGATACCACACCGACAACCAAAGCGGCCACCGAATCCACAACTAAAGAACCATCTTCTCAACCAACAACCGCGTCATCTGAAAAACCCGCAACTAATCCCCAGAACGCTAGCTCAAGTCCATCCACTAAACCAAAAGACAAAGCTAACACTGAAAAACCGACTTCACCATCTTCCAAGGACGCTAGCACTACAAACGCCACTACGCAATCACCGAACGTAAGTACTGAAAACCCTTCATCAACAAGTGAAGCCAGCACTGAACAGCCAACTCCTTCAAACAACTCCAGCTCCGAAAAACCAAAATCTAAAAGTAATGAAAAGCCCTCAGGAAAGGATAAACCAGAAAAAGAGGAATCAAAGAAGCCCGAACATAAACATGACGCCGCAGCAAATAAGCCACACAAACATGGTGAAAGCTCTACCGCCGAGCCTGGAAACGTTATAAACGAGAACTGCTATTACTGTATAAACGAATATTTCTTTGACAAACCTAAAAAATAAACGATTTAATGAGTTTCTCAAATAAATACATAAACTATATACGATTCATTTTTTTTAAACGTGCTTGGAAATCAGAGCCATATTTTAAGAACCTCCTTCGAGATGAATAAAAGTTGCTGTACTGGTCTAGCAGCGGCTGGAAATGATTGTTTGAAAATCGATATCTGTCGTGCTTAGTGGCCAAATAAAATACTACTTACGTTAAATAATATTTGTAATTTAAAAATAAAACGATTTTCTCCTCCGCAAAATGGTGACCAGAGGAAACTTATCAAAGGGTTATTTTAAATTTAAATCACGGACTGGCTCTATATAAAGCTGTTTAGTAAAAAAAAATACAGTGCCGCGTAAAAAACTATCACTTACATACTGTCTGTAACTAATATATGTTGCGTTTTAAACCGTTAAAATGTTTTATTTAAAATATTACTAGATAAAAAAATTATTATGGTTGTAAAATATTTCATTATTAATTATTGTACTAAAATAATTACAAATCGATGACAAAGTGTAATCTCGTTTTCTTTGTAAACACTTTTTTATGTCCGTTACACTGATCGATTTTATTAACCACCAAGTTTGATCAGATTTCTGGCCCGACCAAACCGATTTATTGTTTATCCCGAGATTCGAAACCTTTCCGAAAGATATTTCGCGCTTACGCTATAATAAGCTACACAGTTTTCTACAAAACGAACTACTGTTGGTATCGGGTAGGCAAAATTTAACTTCATAACAATTGCTTATAAAAATAAATAATAATATTATTTATGGTACATACAATCTTATTAAATTAAAAATATTACATTACTGATTGATATAATTTCGAGTGTTGTTTACTCTGTAGTTTGTTGAGTCTGTAGTTTACGCGAATAGTACACAATTAAATAAAATACTTTTAACTGTTCAAAACTTGAAATACATTATTGAATATATGGAATACTAAAATTATTTTAACTACAACCCGGAGTAAACGTTTAATTTCGTTTTAAAGTCCAGACTCTTTAATCTTAACAGGGCGCACTCGATTTATATCACTTTTCGAGCATCTGAATTAAAGACAAAAATACCAAAAGGAAGAAGAAGAAGGCAAATCAGCTCCATAACTGCACAATTTATTGCTGCGCCTAACATTCCCTTTATACTTGGTAACGTCAAAATTTAAAACAATAAATGCACTAAATATAATAATATTTCGTTCTGTTATTCCGTAATATGTCTTAATATAATTAAGTATTTAACATCATATTTCTTTGCGCTTATAATTACTTGTTCACGTCAACGATTTAAATTATTGCAACTGTTTCTGTTTAAATAACGATGTCTACTTATTTAAAATTATGAAACAATGCTAAGTTTTCTGTTTTCAACGACATTAAGTTATTTTTATAATTTGGAGTAAGATTGTTTATGAAAACTGACGAAAAGAAAGGCAAACAAAGGTCCTATATAATTTTTGTTAAGTTTAAATCAATTTGTTACGGATGTTTAGGGTTTTGTTATTACATATCGTCGTAAGTACCTCATAATATTATCATAGTTCTAGCCACTACTACCCACAGTAGGTTAAATAAGTGTTATTATACAGTAGGTATAATAAGTGTTATTATATTTAAATAAAACACTTTGACGGTTTAAAACGCGATATATTAGTTAAACTTATTTCAATATGATTTTTAACTAATATATCGCGTTTTAAACCGTTAAAGTGTTTTATTTAAATGTGTACTGCTCGCGTACACTATAGACAGTATTTAAGTGTTATTATAATTGTGTACAATGAAACGTACTAATGATATTCCTGAGGCTTTAGGTTAAACTAATACATCCTTCTAATTATCTACTCAGACCGGAGAAAATCACAATACTGTTTCACATTTTAATAGCATGCATCCTAATCTCTTTGTAGGCGCAGGTATAACATAATTACTTAAAGTAACTATAATAAGAGCAGGTAAATTAGTTAACATAGTAACAATGGCATAAGCTGATAATACCTAGAATAGATAAGCTTTGTCCGATTATAAAGAATTAACTAATGGGCAAAAGGCCTATATAACTAACAAATTCCAAAATAATTCTTCATTCGTGGTTGGGTATCGTAAGTGTTTGTTCAAAATGAAGCTTGAAGTGGTTAGTATCTATAGCAGTTATAATATTTTACATAGTGTTTACTTCAATTTATTTTTTTTTAATTTTTCTATTTCAGATTTTCCTATTGTCTATGACACTAGCAATATACGCATCGGATAGCGTACTAAGAAAAACCAACGATGGACTACAAGTTAAAGATTCAGATAAAACGCACAGAAACGTACATATGCCTCCAAAGAGTATTCAGTTCGTCATAACCCCCAAACCAACGCAGCAACCACTCGTATCTTTGTACAAAGCGTACGTCGGTAAGAAGCCGCTTATGCGAAAATTCGTCCCTACAGGAGCCAGGATTACAGAACCACCGATTGAAGTGACCAGACGGCCAATCATGAAACAGCGTCATCTGGTCGTTGGTTCTACAACAGCAAAGCCACAGACCAAGCTAGACTTACACGTCACCATAAGGCGACGGGTTAATTTCAGACCAAACAAAACAAGCAACCAACCAAACGAAGATAAAAGACAGACGTCTGATGGTAAAGTAGCTAAGTCGCGTATTGCAGCTGTGGTCGATGATAATGATTACGATAATCTAAGAATCGTCCCCAGCGACTTACTATTTGCCAAGTCGCAGAAAGTTTATACGATTGTGGATCCACCAAACAGCAATCCAAAGGACGCCAATATCAACTCGAAAAATCATTTTAATGAAGAGAAAAGCGCACTTCTCGATCTGAATAATGAAAAGTTGAAGCCTGATACGGAAACTAACACGGTCCATTTGAATAATGAGCATCAAAGTGATCATAATGGAGAAAAGCAAGATCGGAAAGAATTTATCTTTGTCAATCCGAAAGATCCGCAAAATACAAAAGACAATAGTGTTCAAAAGACAGAAGATATGAAAGAAAGTATCATGAAGTCATAATCAATAATGTTGCTGGAGATGTTTATTGATTTTTTAATCGTTTACTGATTTCTTGTAGTTTAGGTTATTTTCTCAATCCATGTGATTAATTTTACTCAATGTCTGTAACGTGTATTTAATAAAAGTCATAATACAAATAATTATTTTATTTAAAAAAAAACTTAAATATAAGACAAGTAAATGTACATCCTTAATTCTAAGTACAGCGTAATGGCAATATTATTTCTCATGATTAAAATTATTATGTCCATGCATTGATCACACTTTTAGCAAATATAAATTAATTTTAACTAGGCAAGCCGCTAGAACCGTTTGGTAACATCACACCAACTCATTCAGACCAGTACAAATTATTCGATTTAATTTGATATTTAAAATAGATCATGTTATTAACCATAGACTATAGAAATTATTGGCAGACATTTAACTGCATTCAGTATCTTTTTGAGATCTTTCATGCACTGCTTCACGAAACCTATCACAAGCAGAATTGAAAATAGATTTACCTATATTGTACTTGTAGATTATTAGTGAAATTAGTTTCTTTCTATCACTGTTAGATTGTGATTACCGTTAAATTGTTAACTATCAACCGAGTTAAGTCTCAATATTCTGGATTGCTTACATTGTGACGTTTTTTCATTTTTGAATAAATGTTCGAAAGCATAGTAATTAACAACATTAATTAACAAAATAAAAATTCGAAGATTAATTCTCTTTATAATTGTAAGTAGTACGTGCGGTTAGCAATATTTCCGCAGCTTTAAACTCACTAGGTATTTTACAATCTAACGGTAATTACAATCCCATTGTAACAGATCTATAACTGGGAATAACCCGTCCTTAGCTGCGCCAGAGTTGTCAGAACGTACGGCCTACATACGAAACTCCGCCGATAGATGGCGTTGTAACCAATTATGAATAGGCACATTTATTATCTATTGTTTAAGATGGCAATTCACACTGGTTGTTGCTTACAGCTTTTATTTCTTCGTGAGTCTAAATACGTCGTTGAGTGGTGAGTACGGAGTCCGGGTCGGTATTGCGTTGTATGCGAAAGATGGCTGCGCGTCTGCTCGAAGAATCACGACACCTGTATAGCAAAACCTCAATTAATACCAGAAATGTCTATAATAATACTGTAAATAAATAATTATGAAGCGTTACATAGAGTAAAGTATAGTAAAGCTAAGCTGACAGGTTTGTAGACGCATATGATGTACAAAATTAGAATTCAAACCCTGCCGTTTCATAAAACTATTGTCCCGCCCTTTGTCCTTATGAGCAATTTTTTTCATACATAATTTTTTAAAAAAACATTTACCCTTATTAAAACTCTTCCTATACTAGTTAATCAAATAATTGCGTAAATTACTGGTATAGCTTATTATAATTTAATAATGTATAATGAAATCTCATATATTAATTCGGTACTATATAATATGATCGATGAAGGAAGCACTTAATAAAATGTCATTTAATTAAACTTTTACCAGAACCTTTCGCGCTTTATTTTCGACGTCGATATAGGTATACATAACATTGTACCGTACTCATTAGTTATAAAACCCCCCAAATTTTAAATTTTATACTTACAAATAACCCACAGCGTATAAATAGATAATATAATACCGCGCCCAGAGATAAAAAATAAGTGAGACACTTTCTACCTGAGGGGTTCACTTTCACTTTGATCTTAGTCTGTGGCGAGAGTACTCCATAATCCACATCTTCGTATAAGTCCTGAAAAAGTTGCCATAGATAAAGAAATTGGCTTTGTATATCAATAATACATTATGTTAGTCATCAAAATATAAGAAAGTTTATTTAAAAATAAAGTATTTATGCGTTTACAACGCAATTTAGCAGATTTATTATAAAATTAAATTAACCTCCACAATATTAAACATGATACTCGTATTACCTATTATGTGTTAAATAAATATGGCTATAGGCTCCATCATTGAGTACTGCTGTCAACTTGTCGTCTATCAGTTGATAGACTGACAATTGACATCCGAAAGCGATGAAATTTATACGACCAAACGGTCGTATAAATTTAATTATAATATACGAATTAATTATAGTCATTGTAGTTTATTTCAATAAAACATTTTAAATGTGATTAAATATTTTATTTCTTCTTGTCTTTATTCATCCGTCTGAGACATGTACATAATTTTCGATTTCTTAGAAAAGCTCTATTCATTAAAATAAATCACTTAAAGGTTGTAAAAGCGAAATGTATTACTTAAACTTTATAATTTATTTAACTAATACATTTCGCGTTTTAATCTATTTCAATGTGTGCTACTCGCTTAAACCACAGACAGTACTTAAATCTTTCTCCATCAATCTTTTGACAGTGTCCACAGATAAGAATCGTGAGGCTGTGCTAGCATTAATCTTAACGTTGATCAAACGTATGTTGTCAGACTTAAGAATATAAAATTGTATGTGTATGTTATAATAGTCGTTACCTCAACTCTGTATCCAGACGGATTGTTAAGTCCAAGCTCCCGCAAAGTGACTGCGACGTCTGAGGGCGTTCCGTCCGTCCGTCTGTTCACAAACGCTACAGCGTACGAGTAGTACTGTCCCTGGATGGGTATAATAGGTCGCGACCAGATTTCAATGCCTCGGTGCTGAAACAACAAGAACAATATTAATGTCTTGTCTTGATCTTTTTTTTGTCACTTTTTAATGACACCTTAAAATTACATCAATGAAGTATAATTTTTATTTGCTATAGAACTTCTTTTGCTTTGAATATATGCACAGTACGGTCATTTTTTATATACTTTAGTATATCTGTGTTGTATCATAGAGAAGGACAGACAAGCATGTTTCACTTGATAATAGGTGTAATAGCGCAGCCATAAAACATCTTATCAGCTAGTACCTTATAGATCCTCCTGCCCTGTATCCCCAAGGGGTCTTGGTCCACTTCAATGATCTTCCTGTTCTGCAGGATCGCCTTGTATTCCGGCCGAATCGTTCTCAAGTCCACACTCATTAACAGGGGCGCTGCCAGTATCGCCCAAATCGCGAACTGAGTTTTACTTTGCTCGTATGACAGACCGAAGTTTCCAATGATGAGCTGAAATGGAAAAGAATTGGTTGATTTAGGTGTACTTAAACGTTAAAACGTTAACATAAGGATTTCACTTAAGACAATAATATTTATTTATAATAAATATTATTGTCTTAAGTGAAATCCTTATAAATATTTATTTATAATAATATTTAATAATATTTATTTCACTTAAGACAATATTATTTATGGCTCTCGAATCGGCTTTTGTAAATATGTTAAAATATTTCTTAAAAACTCTCGGTCACTCTTCATCGAACTGGTTTTTTGGACAATAACGAAGGTTTTTTGGCCTGAGCCTTCAGTTGAAAACCTGAAAGTTCTCATTTATCGTGGCTGTACTGATGTAAGGGTTGTATATTTTTTCGAGAGATTACGTGGTCTACTACCATAATTATACCATTTAATACATTATTATGTTTTGACCGCCTCTGTAGCCAAATGGTTTAACGTGCTGCCTAGCATTGCGTTTCGCGCGAGAGGTTCTGGGTTCGAACCCCAGGGAAACAAAAAAAAAAGTTTCGGTCGGATAAGGCACAGAAGTCTGATCAACTACTTGCCTGTTAAAGAACGGATCAGTGAAACGGACACAGAAATGTGTTCGCCCCATGCCCCACGAGGGGGAAACGGGAACTCATGCACATAATTATGATTTAGAAAAGCATAATTTTTGGATAGGTGAACTAATAAAGTTCTAGACTATTTCCATATTTGATCTGTCAACACGTATTTATACCATGTGTAGTGCGTTTGTCATATTTTCCATTTACACGTCACGTGCTCATGATGGCATCTTATACGTTAAAAATATATTTAAATTGAAAAACATTGATGACACGAGCGGAGCCTAAAATGGCATCTACAGCGTTACGTTACTTTAACCAGATTTACATTATATGTTTATTTAATCTAAATAAATATTTAATTTATATTCATATTAGACAAATCAATTGGTTGGTACTAGTTTGATACATGATTGTATTTCCTGTTTGTATCTACAGAACATACATTTGTTTAAGTGCAAGAAACGTGAGATATTGTATGGCAAGGTATATCTAATTTTTCTCTCACCATATCTGGGTCGTTCCAGTGGCCAGGACCGGCGTTCGGCACGATGACGTCCTGGTGATTTCCGTAATAGTCTATGATAGACTCGACGGACGCCCAAGAGTCTTGAATGTCGTCGAAGTTCCGCCAGAGGTTGCAGTGCTCGATGATTGATGAGAAATTTGGCTGAAGACACATAATTATAAATTATCGCATGTGTAACAAGACACCTCTAGACATAGTTACTTTTACGTCGGCAGGCAGACATATTTCTGTATCTTTTGTAACTGGAAACGACCGAAACGACTTTGTTCTGCAGAATTCTAACTAAGATTCTTTTTCTTTGTAACATTAAAGCAGTAAAGCATTTTGCTTTGGAAACGGCTTTTGCATTTGTGGACGATGAGACTTGACAGAAGGAATTTCGGTATTGATAACATTTAACATCCATATTTCAAGACGAAGTCCAACATGTTTGGAAAAATACAAACTGATTGTCATGTTGGACTGGATGATTATTAGTCAGACATTGTTATTGTTGAATCAACGACTCCGTCGCGATTTTTTCATGCTTAATACTTGTTACAGTGGTCAGTATCTTCTTTTATATTTAAATTAGATTTTTTAAATTTAATTTAATTTAATTATATATATAACATCATAGTAAAAAATAAACAACAGCATAATTTAATAATTCGACTGTTCAAATCCAGTTTTAAACGCATATTAACTGTTACTAATGAAGCGTAATTGTCTTCTAAGGACAATAAATACTTAAGCATCGGGAATTGTTTCCAATGAATTGTTAATGTTAATGACGTCATTAATTCTCAGTATCAAGGTACAGTGCGATTAAAGTAGAAAACTATTTGGCACTCCATTAGGGTAGGTGAAGACGAATTACATAATACAACTACCATCACATTAAATTTTTTTCATGGTTATATCGAATTGTAAGGTCCTGCATAGTATTGCTAAGTAAAAATAAAGAAACATTACTTAAACTATATTTTGCTTTATCACTCTGCTATCAAACTGTAGTTACATTTTTAATGTAAAAAAACGGCAGCAACTCCTAAACCAAGTAACTAAGCATTTAAATGAAACACTTTTAACGGTTTAAAACGCAAAATGTATTAGAAACTTATTTTTACTTCACTTGACAGCAGCCGTAGTCCCTGGGTATAGTTCCCGTTTTAAACGGTTATTTTTTTTATTTAGATCAACATTTATCACTCACCTGTAGCCCCGCGTATATTTGATAGACCGGCCAACTACAAGAGTACACCATTTGTCTCCCAGTCAGGTTCAGCTGTCTTCCAAAATCTGGATAGCCCTGGTCCATGTCTGCTGGCAGCGCATAGCATCCATCTAGCTTTACGTAATCCACTCCCCAAGCTGCAAATGTTGCAGCGTCTAGAAAAGATAAATATAACATTAGTTAATTATATACAATTCTTGTGTGTTTTGTCACGATGTGGTAACTCCTCTAAAACAGCTGAACTGATTCTAATAAAATTTGGTATACCTACGCATTTGTAGGCCTGACAAAGTAGGTTTTTATCTCGTTTTGTGTGTGAAAAACTGTGTTTGAAGGGTCAGCTAGTATTCTAGTAAGTAAATGTCTATGATACTTTCCTTAAAAAGGCTATATATATTAAAATATCACTATTATTTAATGTATTTTATGGTTATATTAATACACCGTCTCCATAGCTCAATGACATAACTCGTTCTCTAGCATTGCGGTAAGCACGAAACGTCCCGGGTTCAAAATCCCGGGAATCCGGGAATTAACTGTTCGGTCGTGAGGGGCTCGTTCGAAAACAACGGGATTTCATACACATTTACATTGAATATATAGTTATTAATATTATTGACGAAAATAGAAAGTTCTTTGCAAGCTTTTATTAGTGCGAAAAGTACTATCTACGTATCTGTACTTAAAATAGATAACTTATAGAGCTAGCGGGTAATGTAGAGCAGAAAGTGTAAGTTATACTAAGTAAATTTGATACTACATATCGCTTGCGCAAGATTTGGTAACAATATGACCATTCACCATCTAATCTACTGATTGTGTCAAGGCATGTGACTTGGGTGTCTATAGTAGTCAGAAGCCCTAAAGCAAAGCAGACTGCATATTTATATTTTTTTATGAGAGATTTCAACATGCTGTCGACTTATTTTGCTTTTAGATATTCTGAAATTCACAGACTGAAACCTCAACGCAATTGAAAATTACGGCATTTTATCTGTGATTCGTGACCCGAACGGAATTTTGATATTCCTACGACCTGTTTAAGAGTTTAAGCCTAAGATAAAAAATTATTTAAAAACTGCCTAATCCGGTAAGATTGGAGTGCGCTGCTATAATTGTTGCAGCGTGATAACTAATGTCATTGTCAATTCATTGTATTGATCAAAGCAAAATAAAAAGTCGAAAAGGTATCACCTAAAGTTTATGTAGTCACTTAGATGTTAATGTCGTGCCGCCCCGACACAGGAACTCGTAGTAGGGGTCTATTACACCCTATAAGGAAATAAACACAATATTTTTGTATACTGTCTATAGTTTACGCGAGTAGTACACATTTAAATAAAACACTTTAACGGTTTAAAACGTTTGATTTTAGAGGTTGGGCCGAAGTTAAAAATCATTTTCAAATAAGTTTAACTAATATATCGTTTTAACCGTTAAAGTGTTTTATATAGTGTATTATATGTTTATAAGGCTTGAAAGCATCCGAAACGTCCGGGCGGATAAAAATCATTTTCAAATAATTTAACTAATTATCGCTTTTAAACCGTTAAAGTGTTTTATTTAAAAATATTTTTGGTAAATAAAGAATTTGTATTTGTAAACAGCTATGTTCTATAACGACAGCACTGAGCCTATAGAGATAAGAATAATGCGGATTAAAAGTAGTTGCGCATAGACAAGACAGGCAATTGACCGCAAGGAAATTGCATGTTCATTAATGGATGAGGTTATCCAATGATCAGAGTCGATAGACCTAATCACTAGGAAGCTTTCAATTATTCTACACGCGACCTTTACGTAAACGCGTTCGCGTTAAGAATAGCGTTAATAACACTTCAAAGAAGGAGGCTGTATACCACTGAAAAAAACTCGTGTATTGATACCCCACCAAAAACATAAATGAAAAAAACGAGAGCCAAGTTCAAAACAAAAATTATGCTTGGCTTCGGCGTAAAAATAATGGAAACTTAAATTAGTGCCATGTTGTATGCAAAATCCAAGTAGGTAAGTTCTTATAGGAACAAAATAATATTATGAAAAAGTAATAAACTTTATTCTCGTTGTAGTTGAGAATCTCTTTCATTTATTTGGAAGTGTGAATGGATAATAGCATGTTTTGGGATAAGATATTTTTTTTCAAAATGACACACGTAACATGGAGATGGTAAGACCAACTACCGTCAGATGTTAAAGAGAACCATAAGACTGCCACAATTTAGAGGGAACCCTGAAAACACGGTTTGCTGCTCAGCCTATATCTCTAGATTTTCTACGCAAAAATGTAATTGAAACTGAAAAACTGAGGCAAAGAATTAAAATGTATTTCTTTTTATCAGACGCATTGCTTGTTAATCTACAATTTTAATTTTTTTTTTTAAAAATATAAAAAAAAAAAAAAAAAAAAAAAAAAAAAAAAAAAAAAAAAAAAAAAATGGGCCCCCCCCGGCGGGCCCCCCCCCCCCCCCCCCCTTTTCCCCCGTCTTTTCCCCAAGAGCTTCCGTTTTTTATTTTTACAGATTGTTTCGAAATTACAACTTTCGCCTGAGACAATGTAACGGATGTATAACTGTCATTGTCAAATATGTCATCTGTCAAATACAAAATAAAAGTGTACAAAACGTAGCCAACTCTGTATTTATGCGAGAGCTATCAAACTAAGAACTCTGAGAAGAACTCTGTATCTGTTTCTGTTACTTTTTTTACTTTTACAAGAATGTAGTTTTTTGCATAATCTGTATTCTTTAACATGCAAAGTGTCTATGGAAGAAGTGTATTGTGAGAAGAATGCGCCGCATGATTAATGGTGTAAGCCGATAAATCACTTAATTCACACATGAAAAGCCACACGCACGTAATTGTCTGTTTGCATCTGTTACGTTACACAATTGAAAACATTGCGTACAATATAAATATGTCACGCGATTTTCAAGTGGAAAATTTGTGTTTAAAGTCGCGGAGCATAGAATTCACGGTTATAAACTCGACTATTTGCACGCGATTCTATGTACAATTGTGACAGGATACAAGTTTTACTTAAGCTTAGAGGTATGAACTAGGCCTATATCGACAAATCAAGACGCGCTGTCAACTATTTTGCCATTAGACATACGAAAATTTAACCAAATTAAAACCGAAACATGAATGTATACTTCATGCGATTTTCAACTGTGACACGACGCGTCATTATAAATTGAAAATTCTGTTTTACTAATAAAAATCAATTCAGTTTGTAAGATAAAAGAAGAATAAACATACCGTTGAGTTAAAAAGAGACAATGTGTGTTAAAAAACTTAACTGATTGGGGAAATGGGTGGGGATATCGAAATTCCGTCAGGATCACAAACCACCATTTTTTCGCGTTTCGGTTTCAATCTGTGTATTTCCGAATATCCAATACTAAAATAGGACGATAGCGCATCTTGTTGAAATGTTATATGGCTGAAGTATTACGATCTATCATCTACCATGCTTGTCGACTATCATAAAACAATTGTACGTTTTCGAGCAACAGCGCGGTACGTTGTGTTCGCTGGTTCGAATTTGAACTTTCCTAACAGATAAGCAAAAACAACAATGTACAACACAAATTAACAGCCATAATGTTTTATATGAATTTTCGAAATGTCTAAAATATGCCTGTACAGTAAAGACATTATAATAAATGAGTTAATGCTGGGTTCATGTTAGGTGATTGGCATTTTGTAATGTCATTATAATGGCCACAAAAGTTGCGAAATGTTAGTTGATACTTGCAGTTTCAGAGGTATTTTGTTTAGCCTAACTTGTTGTATAGATAAATAATATACGAATCCATTTGCAATTAGTGTTAAAATACGTGCAAGTAGTTCGTGTGTGAGGGTGCGCTAGTGAAATATTGGTTTAGTTCATTTAATAAGGAATCATTCTTTCATACATATTTTTTGGGTATATTAAACCAATTTCGCAGCGTGCGTATAGGAAACCCACAAAGCTGAATAGATTTCCCCGTTTATCCCACATTTTCCGCTATTTCCTCGCTCCTATGACTAATATGACGATCTATTACCCTATATGTATATAACTTCTTCGAAAGTTATTTTTGTGCTGGTTAGGCATTAACCAACACAAAAATAGTTTTTCAATTCGGACCAGCAGTTTCAGACTATTAGCGCGTTCAAACAAACAAACAAACTCTTCAGGTGTATATATTAGTATAGACTAGCATAGTGTGTCAATAAGACTTAAATGAACGAAGAATAAAAGCGGATCAGTTTGACAGACGCTGCCGTAAATTGCGTTAAATTTTGACCTTTTTCTTATGGTGCTCGCCCCACGCTCACGTAGAATAAATGCACTAAATGTGCGTTTTAATATATCTAACGAATTTCTCTTCTCTAACTTACCACCAGCAAGATGGCCGACGACCCCCGGATATCCAGCGCAAGTGAAGTTGCCATAATCTTCATAAATACCAAACTTCAGACCCTTGCTGTGGACCTGTAATTAAATAAAACAACATTGTTTATTTGTTGGCAATGAATTCGCCAAAAATTAAACGGCAAAGCCGCTGTAGTTTTCTAAAGATACATTATATGATGTGCTTGTGTCTGAGTTTGCATAAATACGTTACTTATTTTAAATTTTCAATAATGATCCATTATCCAAAGCCTACATAGGTAGACAGCACATTTTGTTTAGATGACTGGTGGTATTTCACCTACCATCAAATAAACCTCTTGTCTGTCCTCCTCTTTCATAAAAAAAATATGTAATGCATAAAAATCCATTAAGCCCAATTATGAAGTATGTAATACATTTTCGAACAAACTCGAATATTCTATATAAAAAATATTTGTTTTTAACTTAGTAATCGCTAACTTCCCCCACTCACTTCCCCGCCCAGTACTATACTTACCTCGTACATAATCTTAAAATTGAATTACAATCAATAAAAAAAATAATCAATTATTAAAACCTTAAAACAAAACAACAAAATATGGTAGCAGCTTTATGTTATGACTCATTGATTCGGAACCTCGAAGGTTATATCTCATTTTTCAACAGCAAAAAAACCTTTTGATTCGTTAGAACAAAAAATATCTCTTCATGTAATTTGGATTAATTTGGTTAACGACTAGTCTAGTCTTTGCAATATAGCATTTTAAGCGAGTGGTAAGCATTAAACAAAACACATTTGACGGTATTTAACTATTATTTCACCATATAGAAAGGAACGTGGATGAAAAAAAGTCGTATAACAATTGAGAACGCTAGAGCCAGAGTAGCCTAACTGCATTTTTATGATTTGAGTTATTTACGTTTTTTTGAGTCTAAAAATGTTAATCGACAAGAACACTGTGACCGAAAATTTTTAATATAATTTTTACATAAATAATGGTACAAATTTATTTTCGCCTATGTTAATTGCGCATTTTTACTTTCCCCCTTATTAAAAATCATGTTTTAGTTATTAGGCCACTCGTCTCTAGCAGCCTCATTTGTAACAACAATAATGCCCATAGTAATAGAATTTAAAATATATATTCATGTGTGAGAAAATAAAAAATATATCAGTGTTACCTCGCTAAGTACAGAAAATTTCGACATAGTCTAGATACTAGCTGTATTTTATATAAACATTAAGTCGTGATTCCATTGCAGAAGCCTACTGCGTGGGAAAGTTAGTAGCGCCACAGATAAGAAAAAATCGACAGTAACTCATTACACACCATGCACAACGTCCAAGCCAATAAGTAAACAAAGATTCATATATTTTAGGTATAAGCATTTTTTACTGTTAAAAGTTTGACATTTAATTAAATCTATTGTAACACTGTGCGGTAAACATATAATAGATAGTTACGTGTATTTTAAACATTTTAACACTTATTTTAATAACACTACTTCCGTCCCTTATTAGCCTTTAAGCCTTGTTTGCCTGTGTTTAACCAGATACAATTCTAGTTTGATGAAATACTTCAGGACTCTACAAGCTAGAGTGAATGGCCCACTGATTGTTTGATTACACTGTGGCGTAGATCGCCTGTCTTTCGAAATGTGCCACTGTGGCAACTGGTAACGACTTCCTCTACCGTATTATTCGTAAACATTACACCGACATATAAATAAGTCTTTTACATCCAACTTGTATTTCATCATAGTATTTCTTTAGCTATAACTAAAGTTTTAAGTTGTCAACACTATGAGAATTGGGTATAAAGTATAATGTTTAAATAAAACACTTTAACGGTTTAAAACGCGATATATTAGCTAAACTTATTTGAAAATGATTTTTAACTTCGGCCCGGGGTTACGGGGAGAAGTATAGTGCTTAAAAGCTTAACGAAATTAAAATACACTAAAAATTATCGGAAAGAACAAAAAATTATAACAATTACGATATTTTCATTGGGAAATGTTTAAAATTATGATTTGAAGTTTGACCACAGTATACCGTGTCGCTCTACCAATCGTGCTTTCAAATCCCATACCATCCCAGTTTTTTTTAATCTTAAAAAAAAATTTATAAAATATATAATTATAATATATGGAAAATATGATTTAACATCAAAGTCCTAAATATATATATTTGCGTGTATATAAATGTAATTACGTACGTAAGCGTCGTGATCATGGCTGCTGCAAAGCTTTCGAAACGTCAGGCCTTTATTAAAGTAGGTAAATTGTACATAAGTTAACTAATAAATTTTACGTTTTAAACCGTTAAAAATTATTTATTTAAATGTGTACCATTTGCGTAAACTACAGATAATATTGTGATAATTAGATTGACTAAATTGAAGGAAATATGTTTGATTAAAAATCGAAAATAAAAAATTTCGACTCAGGCAGGACTTGAACCGGCATCGTTAGCATTCTGTGCTGTTGCTCTAATCAATTGAGCCACACCAACAGTCGAATATTTTCAACTTATTGATTAATCTCTCGCAAAAATTATATTGTATGGTCGAAAAAACCTTATAAGTTTCAATTAAAAATTACGTAGTAAGCTACAGTACTTTGATATAAGTAAAATTCTCACATCATTTAGCATATAAGCCTATCACTTTATGCCTATATATAATGAACAATGAACTAAATTATCATATTACTTTGCTTTGTTTTCCATAACACAACATAGGCGTTCCCACGCAGATCCTTACTCGAAGGTTACAGATCACAAGATATTTTAGCATTAATTTAGTGTAAAGCATATACTGTGCTAATAAAACAGTAGGAGAACATTAATATACAAGGAGATTATACTTATAAAGATAATTTTATGGCCAGATCTATATTCCGTACACAAACACGAGCTCGTTGGTATAACGTTTGAATAATCAACGTATCATAGGTTCGATTTCCACCGAGTCCAACATGCGACTTAGTCTGGATATTCGGATGTTAAATGGGTGGTAGGAATATGGCAATTCCGTCTGGGTAACGAACCACCGTCCACAGATGAAAAAGCCGTCTCGTTTAATCGCGTTTCGGTATGTAGATTTCCGAATATCCAAAGCCAAAATTGGTTGACCGGGCAGCTGTTCGCTAGTCTACACAGAGGAAATTTTTTTGATAAGCTCAAACTCTGACCTTTTTAAAATTTTTTCACCATGGAATTTCGAGATAGGATTTTATTGGAATAGGTCCTAATTTGTTTCGACAATTAAAAATCAACCAGAAAAATTGACCTCTACTGAAGAAGCAATGTTCTAATATTGAGATCTTATAAATATCTACAAAAAAGTCCGCGACACACTATACCTATCTAAGTCGAGTGAGGCACAACAACGATTTTTTTATTTAAAAATCTTAATTTTTTTTTGACTACATTTAAACGCATTTATTTTACTCATGCTTTAATCCTTATAAAATAAATTATTTATCACTAAGTACAGTTTATGTAATAATATTTGTATTTAAAAGATTAAATTGACTTTGGTTATGAAGTTATGGCGAAATTAAAATATTACTATTTTGCGTTGCGATGTGGGCGTCACCAAGGCGGGGGTGCGAGTGCGGAGGGGAGTTTAGATCTATGAGTGAAGTTAAGTGCTTAAATCCATAGACACCTAATCGAGGACGCAGTACACTATCCCCAGGAATTTTTAAATTCTCTGAACCCCGCTGGCTACCACCTATGAACTGTTAAAAGTAGGACGCCATAATGCTTCTCAGAAATGTAAACCCCCTAATGTGTTGCACGAGACTTCTTATAAAGGAGCTAAAAGATAATTTAATAGTAGAAGATTATCACCGGCCCTGAGCTGTGAATTAGCTCATATACCAAGAATACCCACGATTCCTACTGATTTGCCTATACCTTTCAAAAGGCTCCAATTTCCAGTAAAAATTTCTTTCGCACTAACGATACAATCCCAGGGCCAAACATTCAAATTAGTAGAATTATTTACGAAAAGAATGTTTTAGATGGCAACTTTACGTTGCCCTTCACGGTCGGCTCCGACCATAGTATATTTTGTTACCAGAAAATAATTTAACGTCTAATGTTGTTTATAGAGAAGCTCTACAATAATCCTTTATTTATCTATCCTAAAACAACCGGGTTAACTTCGGGACTCCCGGCAGAAGTGAAAACTTAGTATTAATTAATTTAATATTTTCATCATTAACAACTTTAACATCCTCATAAGACAATCTATGCAGCCTGTGGATAATGATGATGTGTTTGTCCATCTTTCGCGGCAAGGAGTGATGAATTGATGTTTTTTTTTTAAGTGGAAATAGTTAAATGGAGGACAGTGACATGGTATTTACCACCCAACGAAGTGGGTGCGGGTCAGCTAGTAATATAATAAAACAAATCTAAAGGCGTAATTTTACAATCTCTTCGTTTTCGTCGGATAATGATTATTGTCCCTACTGCGAATTCATTATACTGTGGTCCTACTTGTATGTGTTATTGTTATGTATTGTTCACAGTTCACATAGAAGGGTTGTTTCGAAATTATCATTGTGATATAATGAGATTGGGGCCGATGTGATTAAAAAAGGTTCAGAGCGAAGAATTGAAAGGAATAATAGGACGTCTGTTAGTTTACATTGTTTTATCTGCGAACAATCTTTTCCTGAAGTACAAATGCTTTAATTCAGCAACATTGTTTTTGGGGCTCTTCTTGGGGAGAAGAGGTTCTCGACGTTTCGCTATCACGAGCGGACGGCATCATCAGGAGATGTTAGCTCCTCAATTGCTCGAAGAACCTCTTCTCGCTCACGTCGGCCGAACTGTCCAAAAAAGAATGATATGCTCAACGATGGCCGTGAAAGCCTAACACACTGACTGAAATTTAGTTTATTAGTTAAGTTTAGTACACACACTTCCCAAATAAAGTTTTTGTTTTTAAACAAAACATATATTAATACATTTTAAAATATATTAATACAAATATTTATTTGATTTTTAAAGTCCACCATTTATATTTTAATACATACACAATTCTAAGTTAACCTTTACTTAATAAGTTGCAAGTTATTAA